GGGGGAATGAACGAATTCCTATGCCCCACAAATAACCCAGGGATGCATTTTAAATAAAAGCACACATTCTACTCATGTAAAAGCATTCTGATTCCCAGACCTTCCATGGGCTGGATTGAGAAGGCAATTGGGCCACATCCGGCCCTTACTTAGGTTGCCTAGCCCTGATCTAGTCTTAGCATCCTTTTCTCACAGTGGCCAACCAGATGCCCCCAAAGGGAAGCCAATAGGTAGGACATGGGCACACGTACCCTCTCCGACCCCCCTTTCTCCAGTATTGAAAGTATTCAGAGGCATTTACTGCCTTTGACTATGGAGGCAGAACATGGCCATAATGGCTTGCAGCCATTGAGAGCCTTATTGTCCTCGATGAATTTGTGTAAACCATGGGTTCCCAAACTCTGATCCACAAGCCTTGTTCAGGTGGTCCATGGTGTATCTGTGGATTTGTGACTGAAGATGGTAGACAACACATCATCACATTAAATACCTGTGCAGATTTCGTATTTTTATTGTTTCTTTTATTATTATTATTTCTGTGGAATAATGTGTGTGTGTGTGTGTGTGCGTGCGTGCGTGAAATAGAGAAGTGATTAATTGACACCTTATTTTCAGTAGCCCCTGCTTGTTGGTTGGTTGGTGACTTGTTCTACATCTATAGTTGAGGGTGAAGGTCAGCTCCCTTTCCTTTTGCACCCCACCAAAGCAAATTACAGTTGTGTTTGGCTTCTTTGACCTCTTCCCCTCCAGAAATGGATGGTGGTGGTGGTTGTTTGATTGGGGGCCTTCTTTGCAGTGGCTTCCTCCTTTGAGGAGTCCTCTGGTTGCCTTCATTACAGGCGACTCCCCACTTACATGGGGGTTATGTTCCGGTGCATAAGTGGAAAACATGTAAACAGACTTTCAATGCCCTCTCTCCCACTCTCTCTCCAATCCAGATCAAAAATACTGTACCAAAAATATCCACAACTGGAACTGAAGCTGTGGGGCCAGCAGGAGGCTGGAGGACGTGCAGAAAGCAAAGCCCTGCTGTGCCTCCGGTCTCCTATCCGCTCTCACTGAAGTCTTCTTCGGGCTGCAGGGAGGGTTTCCTCTTGAGCCACGAGGACTCTCCAGCTCTCTCCCTCCATTTCCTGGTATGAATTAAATTACAGTACAGGAGACTCCCCACTTATGTGGGGTTACGTTCCGGCCCCTTGTGCACATAAGTGATATATGTTTAAGTGGGGTGCACCCCACTGCGCCTCCAGCTTGCAAGGAGACCTTCCCTGGAGCTCAAAGGGGGCGTCCTCCTTGGGCTCTGGGGAGGGTCTCCTCACAAGCTGGAGGTGCTGTGGGGCTTGGTTGAGTCTCCCCCCCCCCCACTTCTGGGTTTCATGCGTAACCAAACCAAAAGCCTCCCCAAATCTCCTGCTCCTGACACCTCCGAAATGCCTTTTTGCCTGCCACCTGCTCAGCCTCATGAGACCAGCACTGACCCCCCCTAAGCAACTCCCATCTTCCAGCATCCCTCCACTCATGTCCCTTTGCTCCTGAAGCTACCCTCACAAAGCTTTCTCTGTCCACCCTGCGAGGCTCCCTCAGCTGGTACCTGCCACCAGGCCACTTCCGAGTCCCAATAGTGCTTCGTGTCCAGCAGGGCCACCACTAACACCAAAACAAGGCCCAGCCAGGGCACCCAATTGATGTTTGATGATTCAGCAGTAAACAGTGGGTTTTCCCAGGGAAAGCAGTGGGACAATACCAAAACCTCTAGGACCCATGACTAGAAATCACGGGTCAAAGAGAGTGTAGGTGAGCCCTGAGTCAGGCCATTTATCCATTTAGCTTTGTATTGTTCACACTGGCAGGCAGTAGTGGCTCTCTAGGGTTTCAGATGAGGAACATCCCCTGGTATCCATCCATCCATAACTACCTACCTACCTACCTACCTAGGGATGCCATGGAAGATTAAACCCAGTCATGGCCACTACTCTCCCTTTCTGAAGTTCTCGCTCCTTGAAGGGGATAATCAAAGTTCTGTGGAGCTCCATTGAAGGTTTATCAGGGAATAGCAGGTGTTAGAAATGTTTCTGCTGCAGTTTCCTTTTCACCCCCCGGCACAGTTCAGGACAGCATGGTATTGTCACATCCCTGAATCTGATATTGCAAGTGGAATTGATAAGAGGTGCATGGCAAGTTGGCGCCTGGATCACAGTAGCCCAGCTTCCCCCAACCTGGCAGCCCCCAGATGGCAGTGGTGGTCCAGTACATGTGGTTGTGGAAGGCTGTGGTCGCCTGATGAAAGAGCCCCCTCTCAAGCCGTGTGTCGATTGCATGTTCTTTGGGTGATTGCTCAGCTGCTGCCCCCTGTGTGTTGCTGAGTGTGTGGTGTGGAGGCCTTCTCTTGCCCCTTGGAGAATGACCCACATGCCAGCCGTGTGCCACCCCTATCCCCATGCTGGATCTTGCTGCCTTCTCTCCCCCACCCCCCAGCTGATGCATTTGTCCATGTGGTGATCTGATGCTTGCTCATCAGTAAAGGTCATGGCCGAGTCCCTGGGCAGAGTAGGGGCTCCGCTTCCTCCTCACCAGCTGCTCTGCTGCCCATGAGAGAAATAGGTTAGGCACCGAATGGACAGATGGATGGGCAGCTTTGAGGCAGCAGACAGCTGGTTTAACCCACTGGGGGAACACGCCCCCCCCTTTGGTCTCTCTGTGTTTGGGTGCTTGCTGTTTTCTCCCGAGCAGGAGCAGCCATGCAACTTCCATGCAACTTTGCTCTGAAGAAGCAGGCAGACACGCAGTATTGTCCAAGACAGTTCCTTCCTACATCAGCCTGGGCATGGAGGCTGCTTCTGTCTGTGGCACCCTTGACACATTTCCATTTAAAAAGCAAACTGGACAGGGGTGACTTGATAGGGTTTCATGAAATGTTTTTTTTGGGGGGGGAGTTTTCCTCCTCTCCCCCCTGCCTAGTGCTAGAACCCCCTGAGTCCACACAGTGAAATTAACCAGCAGCCAACTTGGGGCAGACTATATATAAAGAGTTTTGTTTAATTGTATGTGTAATATAAATTGTCCATCTGAATAATTTATGGAATTACGGGATTAGGATGGTGAATTCACAGCAGGGTTGGTGGATGAATCATGGTTCCCTCTCTGGGAAATAGGGTGCAGGAGGCTTCGACTTGATCCAACAAAACATTTGATCCAACAAAACACTTCTTGTGATTGAGGTGGGGAAAAGGATCTCCCCCCCCACCCGTGGTGTGTGGTGTGTTTTGTATCCCTGGAAATTAAACTCAGGATTGGAAGCAGCAGCCTGGTTTCATGAGGAAGTCGGCTGAGACTGACTGACTGATGACCACCTAGATGTTGTATTAAAGGCCTAAAGCAGCCACTTCCCCAACGTGGTGCCCTCCAGGTTTTAGGGGCCACAGCTCTTACCAATTAGCCAGCAAAGCCAATGGGCAGGATTGACGGTGGAGGGTTGGGATCCAAAACATCGTGGAGGCTGAGGAAGGTGTACACAGGCAGGGGAGAAGGGACAACATTGTGTAATAAACCTGTACACTGGAGAGCCAGTGTGGTGTAGTGGTTAAGAGCAATAGACTTGTAATCTGGGGAACCGGGTTTGCGTCTCCGCTCCTCCACATGCAGCTGCTGGGTGACCCTGGGCTAGTCACACTTCTCTGAAGTCTCTCAGCCCCACTCACCGCACAGAGTGTTTGTTGTGGGGGAGGAAGGGAAAGGAGAATGTTAGCCGCTTTGAGACTCCTTAAAGGGAGTGAAAGGCGGGATATCAAATCCAAACTCTTCTTCTTCTTCTTCTTCTACAGGAGAGCCAGCCCACCCCACCCTCCCTGCTTTCCTGTCTGAATGCAAAGCTTTTAGGATTAAAGAGGCCAGAGATTTGACAGGAAAGTTGGGCTTTTGAGAGGCACGTTGTCAGGTGGGAAAGAAGTGGCAAAGCAGGATGCCCCGACTTCCAGTGGGTTTCTGGGTCCAGTTCAAGGTGCTCATGTTACCGTTCAAAGCCCCAAATGACATAGGCCCCAAATATCTTAAAGGCCACCTCCTTCCCTACAGACCGTCTCGGGTGTTAAGAGGGGCCTGGTTGGTCGTACCGCCTCTCTCAGAAGTTTGGGGGGATCCCCAAGGGAGGGCTTTCTCTTTGGCAGCCCCTAAGTTGTGGAGCTCCCCACAGAGATGCACCTGGCTTCCTCACCATACGGATGTTACACCTGTGTCACTTAAGCTGTGTGTTTTCAGGGCCCGCCCTATTCTTGTGCACGCAACATGTTTCAACCGTTTTTAATTCTGATTTTTCCATTGCTGTAACCTGCCCTGGCACCCGCTGGTGAAGGGCAGGGAACAAATTTAGTAATATTAATAGTAATAAGTAGGCATTGTGGCAAGGCTTTCCAAGGCGCAAGTGGGTTGCTCACCGGCAAATTTGGAAAAATGGGGAGTGGGGGCAGAAAGCAAGCCTGTGGTAGAGAAACTTGGAAGCAGGAGGAAGGGTCTGCTGGGTGCCGAAGAGGACAGGCAATGACCGAGGAAGACTTGATATTATAGTCTGCCTTTTGAGCAGCAGAGCTTGGCTCTGAAAGCCATATTGTGTAACTGTGTGTGGTTTGTAATGCAAGCCGGCCAGCAAGCGCCAGGTTCCTGCAGCGGTTGTTGCTGCCACCTCCAGATGGGAAAACACGTGGATCCTATTTCTGAATCGTGGGACTTCTCTGGTGCTGGGTTAACAGGTGTTCAGTACCTCCTGGCATTAGCTCTTAACATTTGCCAAGGAAAGAGTGGTGTTTGGTTGCGTCTATATCAGGAGCGGTTTTTCTGTTAAGTCTTGAGATGCCATGCAGATTGGTTGGCCGCTAAATGAGGCAAAACGCAGCGTTTGTGTTCTTGCTAATTGACAAAGGTTGTGCTGCTATAAATCTTTAAATAAACCTGCAGAAATAATGACGGTGAATATTAACTTTGTGTTTTCTTTTTCCTTCACTCTCCAGCAAAACTGTACAATCTAAGGTGGACTGCATTTTGGTAAGTAGCCTTGAAACCAAAGTTGCTTTCATATTCACCTAGTTTGTGCAGGGAGTGAGCCTTCCAACTCTGTCATACGCTGCCAGCTTCTTTAAAATACCCCAGGCTGGGACGCTTGAAATGGAAAGCTTTCTGTAGCTGACAGGGAGCAAAAGTACCCTCCTCTTGCAGACCAGGCTTTTGTCTCATCACATGGAAAACAGACCCAGGAGTAAGCTAAAACTAGATCTTTTATCTAACAACACCAGCCCCTGCTTGTTTTATAAGAAGCCCGGAGAAAAAGAGGTGAAAGAGAAACTGAAACTCACAACTCAATAAGGCCATTTTGCTTTCTGGGCCTAGAATCCTGGGAATTGTAATTAGTTAAGGGTGCTGAGAGGGACGTGGGTGGCGCTGTGGTCTAAACCACTGAGCATCTTGGGCTTGCCGATCAGAAGGTCGGCGTTTCAAATCCCTTCTACGGGGTGTGTCCCCGTTGTTCGGTCCCTGCTCCTGCCAACCTAGCAGTTTGAAAGCACGCCAAAAAGTGCAAATAGATAAATAGGTACCGCTCTGGCGGGAAGTCAGGGGTCCCTTTACCTTTTATATTTAAGAGGTTCCAAAACTCTTTGCAGGACCCAACCAGCAACCAGCCAATTTTTTCTCCACCACAGAATGGGCAGGAGGCGCTTGGGCCTTAATCTTTAGTGGCAGAATTGCAATCTCTCTCTCTCATTCTCTCTCTCTCTCTCTCTCTCTCTCTCTCTCTCTCTCTCTCTCTCCTGGTTTCCAGCAGTGGAAAGAGAGTAGAGAGCCTACTCTGATTTTTATATATACATTGATAATGACCACAAATAAAGTGATTTTTTGTCTTCTGGTAACTCAAAGGTTTATCTGGGGCAAAACAAGCTGTGGGTGGGTGGGTGGGTGGGTGGGTGTGGGTGTGTGTTTGGCAGAACTCCCTCTTGCACTTTGACATGCTTTTGAACAGCTCCTGCCAACCTAGCAGTTCGAAAGCACATCAAAGTGCTAGTAGATAAATAGGTACCGCTCCGGCGGGAAGGTAAACAGCGTTTCCGTGCACTGCTCTGGTTCACCAAAAGCGGCTTAGTCATGCTGGCCACATGACCCAGAAGCTGTCTGCGGACAAACACCAGCTCCCTCGGCCTGTAAAGCGAGATGAGTGCCGCAACCCCAGAGTCGTCTGCGACTGTCAGGGTCCTTTACCTTTATTTTTTTTTAAGGGTGCTGAGAGTTTTTAGGAGACCCCGGTTCCCATCACAGTTTCAAGAATACTGCTGGGAAGATAGATTGACTGTTAAACCCGTTATAACTCTTAACAACTCTAAGCGCACTCTTAGCAAACTGCACTTCCCAGAGGTCTTTGGGGGAAGCCATGGCTTTTTTTTTTTAAAAAAGGAAACTTTATTAATTTTCATAATAAATGCAAAATACAAACAGCATCAAACATACTGATACAAAAGTAAAATAAAAAAATTGGAAGACTAGAATGGATAAGAGAGAAGGGAAGAAAATGGAAAATAATATCCTACATTAATTTGTGTGATGCATCTTTTACAATCACAGTCCAAGGCACCTAAAAACACTTTATCCTAATCTTCTAAAATATATACTCTCCACAAACCTAATGGGACCATTGTTCAGTCTCTGTGATATATATCAAATATATAGACTAAATAGTATAAAAATGATCTGATTTAGATTCTCTCCTAGTTACTTTTATTTGATTTGTAAGGTGTTTAGAGAGAGCTAGACTGTGTTTTAATTTGTTGGAAGCTGCCCAGAGTGGCAGGGGTGACCCAGTCAGATGGGCGGCATATAAATAATGTAGTAGTAGTTGTTAAGGAAAATTCTGGGTTGAGAGACTACTCAACAGCCCAGCTCCTTGGGGTACCAGTCCCCCGTGGGTCCATGCGGCCAGTAAACGTAGGAAATCCCAGCCAAGCAATTGGGAGCAAAACAGCAGTCAGTAGGCTTAGATCCTTTTTTGTTGTTCAACAGCAGCGAGTGAACCCAGAGCATGGGGCGACATTGATTTTTAAAACTTCCCACCACATCCCAGAATACAGTTTGCACAGCATTATTGATACATCATCTTTACATCACTGATGTGTCACCAAAGGGGAGGGGTAGACAGGAGTTACACTAGTTCAACCTTGGCGAACATGTCCAGACAAGTCCTTGGTCCAAGATTAGCATAGGCAAAACATGTCAGGGCAAGACCCAGGTATAAGATTAGCATAGGCAAACACCTCTGAAGTCCCATCACCCAAAGTACAATAGAACTTCCTTTGCATGTCTGGACCCCCATGCAAGACCGGTGATGGGATTAGGTTTTCCTTGGCCAACAATCAGCTCAGTAATTGTCACTTCTGGTTACTTCCTGGAGTCCCTTTTTCAAGGGCAAAATAGCGTTGGAATGGAGGAAACTGGCAAAGGAGTTGATTTTATATTATTTTTAAAGCTAGGTAACTTCCCTGAGGACACGGGTGGCGCTGTGGGTAAAACCTCAGCGCCTAGGACTTGCCGATCGCATGATCGGCGGTTCGAATCCCCGCGGCGGGGTGCGCTCCCGTCGTTCGGTCCCAGCGCCTGCCAACCTAGCAGTTCAAAAGCACCTCCGGGTGCAAGTAGATAAATAGGGACCGCTTACCAGCGGGAAGGTAAACAGCGTTCCGTGTGCTGCGCTGGCTCACCAGATGCAGCTTGTCACGCTGGCCACGTGACCCGGAAGTGTCTGCGGACAGCGCTGGCTCCTGGCCTATAGAGTGAGATGAGCGCACAACCCTAGAGTCTGGCAAGACTGGCCCGTACGGGCAGGGGTACCTTTACCTTTTAACTTCCCTGAGCTGTCAAGTTGAAAGGATACATTCAGACATAATATTTGTAACATTTTACAACTTTAAAGATGTGCCCTCCCCCGTAATTTCCGTAACATAGTGGTAGTAGTAGTATATCCCAGACTCTACCCAACCAATAATTATCAACCAAGGGAACTGAGCAAGATTTCCATTGACAATCTGTTGACATTCATGCCACCACTAGTAATAGAAATACCAGTTTCTTATGAGATACTGTGGGATTTGTATTGCTTTTTATCAAAAGCCAAAGTTGGCTTTTGACTGGATCTGGTGTTAGTGATTGATCTATGATTTGAGGGATAGTGCTAAAAGCCTTTATCCAAACACTATGTAAAACTTCACATTCCCACCACATATGAATATATGTTCCAATAGTATTACTGCCTCACCAGCATAGTGAACAGATGTTTGTATTGATTTCTGAAAGCCATGTCGGAGTCCAATACCACCTAAGTATTGTTTTTAGAGTGGATTCTTGAATCCTAGAAGATAGTAGTTTTCAATGGAGCATTTACTCAAATTTGAACCTACTCATGTTCATCAATCTGACATTTAAGGTCACCATCCCAGGATATCCTAAGTTGCTGGGAGGAGCCAATTGCCTAGCTTATTAGCAACTTGTAAATATTGGATACCAAGCCTTTAAAATTCAGAGATATTTGAGCAACTAAGGATTCAAAAGTAGAGAAAGTAAACAATTCCCCTTACAAGGTAGAGATATAGCATATGTAGTAATTTGAATTAACTGTGGTACATTTCCAATATTTTCCTTTAGGGTAGACATGGAAGGATGACTATTAGGAATAATATCCTTAATTGTATAAATTGCTGCTGCCTTCCATTCTTTATATTGTACATATTTATCTGTAAGGCAGAATGATGGGTGGTCCAGTACGGGAATTAAAAAGGATGTAGGCAGAGCTAAATGTGAACACCATCTCTTAAAGTGTTTAAAGTGGTATGATAGCGATTTAAATGTATAGTGCAGATGGGGCCTAAAAGATTGAGGACACAAGAAATTTAGAGAAGAGTTCTGTATTGATTGCTGCAATTGAAACCATAGCAGTTTAGCTGTAATTACATTTTGGGCAAAAATATGCACTCACTCTCTTCGCTACTGACTGTGAACTCTGTTAAAAATTCTGTATTTAGCAAGAAGTTGAGAAGTTTACAGATCTACAGAAACTCTACCTCTACCTTCAGCTGCCTTCTGGTCCTAGCAATGGAGAGAAAAGGTATGTGCAGTTCAGAATAGTCATATAAGTCACATTTGCTGCCTAATTTCCTGTTGTTTGATGTGACAAACAGATGTTTTGTTGAAAGGCTGCTGAGGAAGTTGGAAAGACAAAGAAGTCTGTACCATGTGGCAGTCTGGCTGTGGCTCTGTCCCACTGCCTAGGACCAGACCTCATCACTGGGGTGGGGTTAGGGTAATAGGCATGATGGAAAAGTGGGGTGGGGGTACTGCCTTTGCTGACCAGCTCCCTCCCCTTGCTGTCTCTGCCATTGTGGGTGGTACCTTTTTGTTCATTAGATATTATCTGACTCTTCCTTCGATATCTCAAAAGTGCACCTATATTTGAGGTGTTGGAAGCAGGCAAAGTTGCAGAAAGCAGATTGGTTAAGAGTCCAGGTGATCTATTGAAATTGGAACCTCCAGGGAACCCGAGTCTGCCAGTCTGTCCTTTCTCTGGCTTAGGATTCAGTACACACTGGATGGTAATATAGCAATAATAAAAGTCGTCCTAATTGATCCTCTTTTCTCCTGGCTCAGCGATCAGCTGTCTGTGTCATCCAGCCGCGCCCAGCAAATGCACGCCTTCTCCTGGATCCGTAACACCTTAGAGGAGCACCCGGAGACATCCCTCCCCAAGCAGGAGGTGTATGATGAGTACAAGTGAGTGCTTACAAATGTATTGTGGGGAGGTGGGTTTAGTTGTGCATTGGGAGAATATCAAGGAGGAGGGTGGCCTTGATTAAACAATGAAGTACTTACTTGTGCTGCAAAGCAGAACAGCACTGCACAAAGCCGGGGAGGGGGAGCCCTCTTGAATAGTGGAGAGCAGGGGTCGGCAACGGTTTTTGAGGCTGAGCCGGTCCACTCCCTGACAGACCTATCGGTGGGCTGGAGTGTGCACACCCGCGCCTGCTCGTGCGCTCAAGCTATTTCCAGTGCTCTTCCAGGTCGGAAGAGCGTATGCGCATGGGTGCTTCTCTGTCCCGTGTACACTATTTTTGGTGCTCTTACAACCTGGAAGTCGGTTCCCGCAGTGAGAAAAAAAATGGCGCTGCGAAAAAAGCATGGTATCCCAACGCCGATCCACGGAACCCACTGCTGCCACACACTCGCCTAAGCATCAACAGTGATGGGCAGAGCATGGCATGTGTGTGGCAGCAGCACCCCTCCCGGCTGTCTGAGACCACCACTTCACCTTTCTTCATGGGCGGGCCGGTCCTGCTGCTAGGTTCTCTCCCACTAGGAGAGTTGCACGGGCTCAGCCAGACAATGGCAGAATTGCTCGTTCAGCTTTCAGGTTCAGTGTGCTGGCAAACGTAGCCGAGCGTCTCTCCTCCCGTGGCTTTGTAAATTATTAATCCTCGTTGTACGGCCTATAAAAGTGATCTCTTGACCCACAAAGGCTGCATGGTAGATGGCCGAGGCAACAGCGCTGGGGTGTGTGTGAACCAAAGGGCAACAGTAAAAGCTATTTGAGTGCCGAAATGTACTAGATGGAAGTGGGGTGCTTGTCTGGGCACGGGAAGTGTTTCATGCCCTCTGCTTTATGCATAGCACAGTATTAGCTGGTCGTATTTTCAGAATCATTTGCTGCTTCCCACATAAGGTGCTGGTTGTCACACCCTAAGCTGTGCGCAGCACTTCTGCACTTGCTAGTCCGGCATGAAATTCTCCCCCCTTTTAAAGGCAGCCCTGTGGGTTCTGCCATGCCTTTTCCCTTCTGCTTGAAGGCTTTCCCAAGGAAAGCCCCAGAGGGGGTCCCCATTACAGGTGTCTCTCAGATGTGGTCCTCAGCAGCTGAGGAAAGCAGCCTCCCCTGGAAAGGTTACATCCGGGCTGTGTGGGCAGGCGATGATGGGCGCTGCAGTATCCTGCCTCCACTGTTAACTTGAACTGCCGCTCCTGCCTGTTTCCTGCTGCACTTCCAAAGAGAAGGGAGGACTTTTGGGGACAAGTTATAGCTTAGTAGTAGAGTGCGGGCTTTGCAGGTGGAATGACTCAAGGAACTTGTTTGGCTCGGGATGATGGGAGCTGGAGTCCTGCAGCATGTTGGACCACAGGTTCGCCACCCTTGGTTTAAAAGGTGCATACTGCTTTTCCAGAAAGCAGTCTAAAGCACTTTGCAGCTGATCGACTCAACATAGATGGCCCTCATTTTGATCCTGTGCCTGATCCCCTGGGTTTTTTGGGGTTTTTTGGTTGCTTAGCACTGGAGGGGCTGTAGCTGAATGAATGACCGAGCACATGCTTTGTGTGCTGAAGGTTGTAAGTTCAGTTCCCGGCACTCCCAGTTACCAGTGCTGGGAAAGACCCTTTTCTGCCTTGGCAAGCAGCTCTCTGTGGCCTAGTCAGAGCATACCACTGACCAGGACTTTGGGGAATTAATAGCTGGACAGTACCATGTTGGCTACCCTGGGTTAGATAGGCCAGTGATTTGGGGACAGGCCAAAGCTATATGGATGGATCAATCTATGGTCTTAGTATATAATGTGCATTAGCAGTCTAAGACAATAGCCAGTTACATCTGGGCAGCATAGTTTCCTCTTTCTAAAAAAGGCTTTGTGTGAATGAGGGGGAGAACAGGCTTGTCCTTTTTTTTGCTTGGCCAATTCCAGTCCTTCTTAATGCAGGAGCAGGAAGCTTCCTACCTGCGGGTCTTATGTACAGGTATTACAAAAGACTGACTAGAGTCTTTGGAATATGTACTGGCCAGGAATCAAAGATCACATGGGAAATGTTGAATTGTTTGTTCATCTGAAAACTTTTGTAGGCTGTCGGAGGAGCACCGTTTGGAAAACTTGTTTTGCTTTCTTGTCCAAACGTGGTGCAACATTTGTGAAAATTATACTTTTAAAATATGAAAGGGGGTGGGATCAGACCTATTACTTAGGGACACTTATCCATTATATGCAAGCCTCTTTGAGATGAACAGAACCTCTCCAAACTGAGGCTTTGGGCTGTGAAATTGCAAATACAATTTAGTGTAAACAGGTGTAAAGTGATGCACATTGGTCCTTAGAGGGGGGGAAATCTTCGTTTCACAGTTATGCTGCTGGGGTCACTGTGGTGACTGACCAGGAACAAGACCTTGGGGTTGTAGGGGATAGCTTGATGAAGGTGTCAGTCCAGTGTTCAGCAGCTGTGAAAAAGTTGATCCAGGAAGTGAATAGACTTCCAGGACTTCTGGGGAGGAAGATGGCAGACTAGGCATCTCTTGCGAGATAATTATGTGGTGATTAAAGATAGCCAAGCCATAAGTCTTGGTTGTCACACTCTCTCTGGGAAGACAGAGAGAACGGAAAATAACATCTGATTCTCTGAAAAAGCAGCTTTCCATGCTGGAAGACTGAGAAGTTTTGAGGGACCCAACGGGGTGAGTAACCTAGACCAGAGGAACTGCTCAAACACCTCATAGTAGTCCTGAGAGTGAGTCCTTAGGGCGTAAGGCCAGCAAAACCACCATTTATTTTAATTACTTTTGAGACTGTTAGAAATTATAACTGAAGTGATGGTTGAAATTTGAGTCTGGAATGTGAACTGATTCCTGGCTTAAGAAGAGACAATCATTAAATAGCTGGATGCAAAACAGAAAGCATGTTTTAATTCTTTGTGTCTAAGAAAGATTCTAAATGGTTAAGGGGTGTTCCAACTGTTAGAACTCTTTATTTTATTTTGTTTTATTTTTAACCTTTTGTCCCTCTGGTGAAAGTGCTGGCTGCAAAAGTTAAAACTAGTTTACCTATGCCACTGTGGGAAAAGAATGTGGTCTGGAGACAAGGAAACTAAGATCTTAAGGTGGAGAGTGAATTGTTAATAAAACTAAGAACACTCAGTATGGCAGAAACACTGTTGGGCACCCCATTGACTGCTAGCATCGTGCAGCAACTACTATATGAGCAATTAAAAGAAATCAGGGCTGAGATGGATGACATGGTGAATGAAAATGGAACAGATAAATATGTGGCTAAAGAAGACACAGAACCTTTGATTAATAATACTAATAAAGGACTGTCAGAACAGGAGCGTGGAATGGTAGAGCTGAAGGCAGTAGATGATGAAATGGAAAGGACCTTCACACAGGTGACTGGAGCAGTTAAATAGTCATGTGGTGGAGTTACGATGTTGGAGGAGTGGAAAGAAACCATGGATGGAGAGATTAAGAAATATTCTGAACTGGCAGAGAAAACAGCTGAGAGGAAAAGGATTTTGTGTACAATTTGGAGTGAATTTAGAGGAAAATGCTACCAAGTCTCTAGTGGCTTTCCTGGGAAAAGAATGGAAGAAGATTTTTTTTTTCTAAACTAGGTTGGAAATCACAGCCAACAGAAAATGGAACCAGAAGATGTGGAACTAGGTGTGAATTAATGAATCTACAATTAGTAAATAACCATGGATTACTCTTTTAATATATGGCCACAGTGGGGAGTCTCCTGTGTCAATAAAGGAGGTGGATTAATAGTTTCTCAACATGGAGGAATTGTTGTTGAAGTTCCTGGAGGCAAAGTCATAATGCTGGATTGGTGGAAGACTATTGTTGACGTTTATCTATAATAATATTAATTGGAGAAACCCTCAGACTTTTTGTGTGAAGGAAAAATGAGTGAACGTGAGATGTCTGAGTCTGAAGACTGGGAAAATACTGCCTAGCAGGAAGAGGAACAGCTGGATATCATCCTGGAGTGAATAGTCTGAATAATCTTTATACATATAACTGACAGATGGAGAACCAGAAGCCTCTTTTCCTTTCTTTTATTTTTTCACTCTTTTCTTATCTTTATCTCCCTGTTCCTTTTTCTTCTTCTTCTTTTCTTCCCTTGCTTATGTTTATTTGTGTCTCCTACTCTGATTCACTGAGGAGATTGTACGCAAGTGAAGGTGAGGACTGGCCGGTGAAGGACCTTGTGTGAGAGGCAGGGAAGGGAAGATCTCCCAGAGTGGGAGGCTGAGAGAAGAATCCCCAGGTGAGAGCTGGGAAGGTGTGAGACGAGAATTGAGTTCTACCTCTGAGAGAGAGAGCTTTGTATTTACTTTGGGTTTTTTGTTTTTTGCTTTTTAAAATTTAGATTAGTTTGCTTTTTATTTCATTGCATGATGAAAACGTTTCCACAAAAATTTATGTGGAGAAAAATAAAAAATAAAAACTGCCAGTATCGTTATGCCGTTATACATATATGTGGTTGAGACCATACTGGAATGCTGTGTACTCTTCTGGTTGCCTCACCTCTGAAAGGATATTGCAGAGCTGAAAAAGGTTCAGAAAAGGGCAACTAAAATAATTAAGGGGTTGGGGCAACTCCCTTGCAATGAATGGTGACGACATTTGGGGTTTTTTAAATTTTGAGAAATGGTGACTAAGGAGAAACATGAGGTGAATAAATGATGTGCAGAGAATGGATAGGCCTCTCTCATAATACTAAAGGTCGGGGACATCCAATGAAGCTGAATGTTAGGGCAGACAAAAGGAAATATTTCTTCACATAGTTTAACTATGGGATGCAATCCTATGAGATGTAGCGATGGCCACCAACTTGGCTGGTTTTTTAAAAGGATTAGACCAGTGTTTCCCAACCGGTGTTCCGCGGCACACTAGTGTGCCGCGAGACGTTGCCTTGTGTGCCGTGGGAGGGAGGCGGGCGAGTCAGGCGGCGAGAGGCGGGGCGGCGGCGAGGAGCTCCCTCCCTCCCACATCCCATCGCCGCTCTGCCGCACGCTAGCTCTTGACTGCTCTTGCCGCACGTATAGACGTGTCTTATTTCCGCCCTGGAGGAAGGAGCAGGTCAAACGCCCTACAGAACCTGCAAGTTGCGCCCTGCGTGTCCATCTACCCATTTTAAAGTCTATGGTGCCATCCGGCTTCTGCCCTCCCGAAGTCCTCCTCTGTTCTGAAAGAGCGCTCACTTCCGGGTTCTGTCTGGCCGTCTTCCTCCCGCTCTGTGGTTGGCTGGGAGCGGCCTGTGCGCGACAATAACAGCAGCATCATGGCCGGCATCAAAGGTAGCGCCGCTGTGGCGGTTCTGAGGGGTGGCATGGAAAGGGCCTGGGAGCAAGGCGGAGCGGGGGGGGGGTCTTCCGTGCCAGGCCCGGGAAAGGACGTCGCCCCTCTGCCCTGGCGGTGACATCCCAGCCTTTGTTGTAACACTGGACGACCTCCTCGGCGAGGAGCGAGCTCCCTCCCACATCCCATCGCCGCTCTGCCGCACGCTAGCTCTTGACTGCTCTTGACGCCTTGCCGCACGGCTAGGCTAGGCCGGCCTACTGGGCTGTCGCAGGCGGAAGGCCTGCGCATGCGCGAGGTTTTCGCGCCTTCGGGATTCCCTTCACGCCTTCCTCCTCCCGGGGCCTTGAGAGCGCGGGAAGCGGCAGCGCGAGACCGGCGTTGAGCCTGGTAGGTATTGCGCTTGCCAAGGCAGTCATTTGGGAAATGAAAACTTGCAAAGCAAGCAACCAGTTCAATCTGAAGTACGTGTATGCTTAATATCCTGTATCTGAAACCTGTTCTGCCCCCTCCCCCACACTTGGTGCCATTTTGCAGACTGTCTACTGAAACGTCATACTTTTCTCAGCTTAAATGTTAATAAGGCCTCATCTACACATGCAGCAGAGTAAGTTGACCCAGAATAGTACCAATTCAGATGGCAGATGGGAGAATGACAGTGCTGAATGCTTTCCCATGTAGAACAGTCCCTGCAAATAAAAACCTAGCATATTTGGAAGAGGGATGCTTGCCTAACCATTACCTTCTATGCTGTTACTATTTTTTTTTTTTTTTTTACATAAGTAAAAAGTGACCTTTCCCCATCTGGCATGGTGGTGTGCCTCGAGATTTTTTTCATGAAACAAGTGTGCCTTTGCCCAAAAAAGGTTGGGAAACACTGGATTAGACAAATCCTTGTAGGGTAAGGCTATTAACAGCTATGGCCCTAATGGCTGTGCTCTACCTCAACGTGCCTTTGAAAACAAGCTGGTGATTGCCAATGAGGAGAGCCTTCTTGCTGTGTTCAGGACTGCGGCATAGTGCATCATAGCGGACATGCGGTTGACTACTGCGGGAATGGAATGTGGGGCCAAATGGACCTTTTGGCCTGAGCCGGCTTAAGTTGTCACTAGACAATCTCATGGGGAAATTATCCTGGGGATGGGATGGGATCAAACTGTAGCTCGATTCATGTGCTCCATAAAAATGGTTGGAGCTGGTAGCCTGGATGCAGAGTTGGGCAACCAGGTGGCTAGACCCAACCAAGTAGGCATGCGGGGGGAGACAGGGCAAGGCAGCAGCCTCTGTGATTGACGGGGACCCCTGCAGCTAAGGCCCCTGTGAGGCTGTCCTGAGAGTGAGCCGCCTGGTTTTTCCAGGGCTGCTGACCCTGTTTCTTTGGTACTCCAGGAAAAGGCCTTGTGGATTCGGCCTTAAATGCTGCTTTGCTGACCTAGATAATTTAATACTAATTATTTATTATTTCTACTGCACCCATCTGGCTGGGTTTCCCCAGACACTCTGGGCGGCTTTCAACAGAACATTAAAAACAAGATAAAACTTCAAACATTAAAAACTTCCCTAAACAGGGCTGCCTTCAGATGTCTTCTAAAAGTTGGATAGCTGTTTATTTCCTTGACATCTGATGGGAGGGTGTTCCACAAGGCAGGCGCCACCACTGAGAAGGCCCTCTGCCTGGTTCCCTGTAACCTCACTTCTCGCAGTGAGGGAACTGCCAGAAGGCCCTCGGCGCTGGATCTCAGTGTCCGGGCTGGATGATGGGGGTGGAGATGCTCCTTCAGGTATACTGGGCCGAGGTCGTTTAGTGCTTTAAAGGCCAGCACCAGCACTTGGAATTGTTCTCGGAAACATACTGGGAGCCAATGTAGGTCTTTCAAAACCGGTGTTATGTGGTCTCGGCGGCCACTCCCAGTCACCAGTCTAGCTGCCGCATTCTGGATTAATTGCACTTGCTGAGTCACCTTCAAAGGTAGCCCCACGTAGAGTGCATTGCAGTAGTCCAAGCGGGAGATAACTAGAGCATACACCACTCTGGTGAGACAGTCCACGGGCAGGTAGGGTCTCATCCTGCGTACCAGATGGAGCTGGTAGACAGCTGCCCTGGACACAGAATTGACCTACGCCTCCATGGACAGCTGTGAGTCCAAAATGACTCCCAGGCTGCGCACCTGCTCCTTCAGGGGCACATTTGCCCCATTCAGGACCTGGGAGTCCCCCATAAACACCCACCCACCCCCTGTCCCCCCAAAACAGTACTTCTGTCTTGTCATGATTCAACCTCAATCTGTTAGCCGTCATCCATCCTTGAACTGCCTCCAGGCACTCACACAGGACCTTCACCACCTTCACTTGTTCTGATTTAAAAGAGAGATAGAGCTGGGTATCAGCCTTGCCCCAGTCCTGCTCTCATTCATTTCTACTTACTTGCTTCCCTTTTGTTTCAGGAGCTATTGTGACAATCTTGGATACCATCCGTTAAGTGCTGCTGACTTTGGGAAGATCATGAAGAATGTCTTCCCCAACATGAAGGCTCGCCGTCTAGGCACAAGAGGAAAATCAAAATATCCTTTGTGGAAATGTTTTTGAAACCATTTCACTTAACTTTCCTGGAAATCAGGGTCAGCATCAAAGGGTGGCATTCCCCTGGACCTGTTCCTCCTCTTCACTGCGGCAGCCTGCTTGTTCACCTGTCCTTCACTCTTTCAAGGAGGCAACAGTGGCAGGGAGGAGCAGGAGAAAGAAGGCTGGCCATTTGCTCATTGACATTGTCTGGCAAGAGCAAGCAGACAGTGGCAGTGGTGAGGCAAAGGTAGCTTTGGCCATGAGCAGGGGGAGCACAGGGGGGCAGTTTGCCTCACTAGAAGAGTGGGGGTCCATTGAAGGCCTGGAAGGAACAATAGAAAGACAGAGCTCCTCTCTTAACCCTTGATCATTTTTGGATCACGCCTGCATTTCTGCCCTTAAATTCAGAAAGGACGTTCTGTTGACCAATCAGCTTTGTATCTATGTTAGGTCTGTGTAAGAAAGTTAATTTAATGCAAAGGGAAATACTGCAATTTTACAATTATTTACACCTTAATTTTTAAAAATCACGTATTGCTATAGTGGACTTCGGAAGAAAGCTTTTGTGCAGATGCCGACACTCCCCAACCTTGACTTCCACAAAACTGCCGATGGGGTAAAGTAGACACCTGAGCTGTTGGGCAGAATGATTAAGACCTTTTAGGTAGAACAAAAGGGCTTTAAGGAAAGCTGACAGCTTAGCACTGCAGAATTAAAGATCACTGGGTTTGATTTGCAGAAGTTGGAATGTTTAAAACTAAGGGATTTCATTATGTAGTAAATGGGAAGGAGGCACAACTTTTTAAAACGCAAGGTAAACCATAAGGTCAAAGACTCCTCTGACACTTGTGGTTGTTACATTTCACGTACACATTGGGTGGGAAGAGAACAGCTCCTCTGCTTTCAGAAATATACTGCATGTCACTTTGGAAATGTTGGGGCCAGGTGCCTGCCACAAGACTCAAAGAGCATGTTTTCACCATATATTTTTGCATCTGTCCAAATGCAGATGTGTCCATCTCATGTCTGCAAGCAGTAGTGTTGGAAATGGCATTAAAAGAGGGGGCAGATTTTATCCATAACTTTTTTTTTGGGGGGGGAGCATCTTTGGGGGCCCTCCAGATGTTGCCACACTCCCGACTCCCATAACCACCACCCGTAACCATTGGCCATGTTGCCTAATGGGGACTGATTGAGACTAACAACATCTGGAAGTTCCCCGCAGGCATTCCATAAGCACTTTTTTGAAATGAGCAAACCTGATTTCAGTTTCCTTTTGTTAAAATGGTTACTGAAGCTTGGGGCTGTTTTTTATCGGGTGTAGGAAATTTTGCAGAGCCACCATGACAGTGTCTGAAATAATTTTAAAAGGCTAAGTCAGAGTGGAAAATCCACTTCAGGTCCTTCAAGAACCCCAACATAATGCCAGAATTCTCTTACTTACCTTACTATGTTATGGAAGGGACACCATGGAGCTTGTGGCAAAAATAGCGAATCCTTTTCAAGGGAAGCAAAATATCAACATACTCTCGCCCAGGCCTTCCTTAAGCAGCAGCTCAGTACTAGCCCCAATCTCCATGGCTAGATTGAAATGCTGTGTTCTATAGCGAAGCTGTTGCTGTTGCTCAGGGTCTCCTTTTTGTTTTTGTTTCAGCTGGAAGGGGCAGAGTCCTCTGGGCACCTGCAGAGTGCCGACGAAGAGGTGGTGTCAGCTGCCTGCCAGCTGGTCTGCCAGTGGGCCCAGAAAGTGCTGAGCCAGCCCTTCGATTCCGTCTTGGATCTGGCCCGCTACCTGGTCAAAAGCCACTACATAGGCACTAAATCAATGGCAGCTTTAACTGTGATGGCTGGTGCCCCGGCAGGTGAGGAGGTTTGGCTCAGTGCACCACTTGATGTGCTGTTCCTGGGAGGAGAAAAAATGTTGGCGTTTTCCATGTTATAAGGGTTGGAGGGTTCATATCCCCCTGCTTTAAATATGAGCGTGGTGGGCCTGTCAGCATCACCCTTGAGCCAGTGCCACCAACTGGACTCATCCACTTCAGCCCCGACTGGGCTAGGCGAGCTGGGTAACACTTCCAGAGACCACCTTCTGCACAGGAACAGGTCAAAGTGCTGTGGACTCACAGCTTAGAGTTGTGAGCACCGGATTCACTTCCACAAGAAGACAGTCGTCACACAGCAGAGTATAGCAGAGCATAAACGACTTGGAGAGCAGCTCTGTAGAATATCTTCTTTATTCTATCTACAACTATAATACACAACTATATACAGAGCTAAATGAGGTGTAAACGAAAATGCTGAACTGCACTAAGTGTCTGCAGCTGCTCTTAGCAGCAACCTTATCTATACACACGATCTCTCTCTAACACTCAGTCTATCTCTCTCTCTTTGATGTGAGGCTGGAGCGGAATAAGTAGAGAGCAGAAACCGCCCCTCCTCTCTGGAGAATCAGCAGAGAACATCAGCAGATTATTGGATATGGGAGGGGTGAAATCTCCTCAGGGCCCATGCTGAAATCTCAACAGATTTCTCTTGGAAAAGGCATTTTGGGGACTTTTGGTTCATTCTTGTTGGCCTGTCAGTAATCTGGTTTGGGGAGCAGAGTTTTCTCTGCACTGGCTCCAAGGATTATTGCATGTTCTCTCTCTCTCTCTCTCTCTCTCTCTCTCTCTCTCTCTCTCTCTGTGTGTGTGTGTGTGTGTGTGTGTGTAGTCAGATTTCCATTATCCTGTACACTGCTTAGAAATACTAAACATATTAGTGGTGAGGAAATACTTCTAAAGAAAGAAAGAAATTTTAACAAGGGGGCCACTTGGGACAAATTCCTTCCTATATTAAATTGAGGATGGTAAAGTCCCTGCAGTGGGAACCTGCTATTTCACCTGATAGGTGGGTTTTCTATATGCAGGGTATTTTATTATGAAACGTGACATTTCCCCACTGTATGACCGGAAGCAGTGCAGTCTGAGGAAGGCCTTTTCTCCTGAAAGTCAGTGTGCCACTTGGCATGCAAGTATCCCTTGTCTGCCTGCCTCTTGTCTAGAGCTGCAGCAATGACTCAGCGTGGGGGGGGGGGGAGCAGGCCTAACTCTGCACCATGGAAAGACCCACCAGCTATCTGGTTGCAATACAGGGGGGCCTACAAACTCCTGCAGCAGGTGGACTTGACAATCGTTTAGTTGTTCTTATTTCCTTTTCTTTTTTTCAAAATAATTTTTTATTGATTTTAACATATAAATTATAAAATGTACCACAAAACTTATCACTTATACAATCTTTTTAGACGTCCATCAGCACCTCTGATCATCCATCGTTTTAACCACTTCTTATGCATTTCTTAACTTTATATTGCCTTTACATCTCTTAACAAATCATCCTTCCCCTTCTCCACTTTTGCAATACTTCCAATAATACTCCTCACAAAACTTCTTGCAAACCTACAAACGTCGTCTGATCTTCACAAATACTTTTCAAATAGTCCGTAAATTTACTCCAGTCTTCCGTGAATTTCTGGTCCCGCCGGTTTCAAATCCTTCCTGTTAGTTTATCTACTTCTGCATAGTCCATTAACTTCATCCTCCATTCTTCAATCATCGGTAATTCTTCTTGCTTCCATTTTTGGGCCAGTAATATTCTTGCTGCTGTTACTGCATATAAAAAGGTCTTATATTCCTTTCTATTTATATCACTCCCAACAATGCCCAGTAAAAATGCTTCTGGTTTCTTTATAAATGTATATTTCAACATTTTTTTCATCTCATTTTACAAAGGTGAGGGACTTCAACTTCCATTCTCATTTCTGTATACAAGGAAGAGACTTGTGTCTCACAGAGATGTGTTCACTGGGGACCTTACAAAATTTATTCACTGCCACCTCCTGCCAGGCATTTGAGGTGGTCTTAGGCAGCAGTGGGAAACTCCCGGCCTTTGGGCCCAGTTAGGCCTGGCACAGGTCCCAGCTTGGCTCATGAGGCGTTTCCCTACAAACCATGCCTATGTGATGTCATATGTGGGGCAGGTATGTCCAAGACTACACAGGGATAACTGGAAGCTTAATGTGAGCTCCCAATTCACTACCGTAGCCAAGGGTTAAAGCAAGGCTCTTTGAAGGCACACACCCTGCACCAGTCAGCTGATTGGTGCCAAATGCACGCCTTTAAAGGAGGTTACTGCAGCAGCTGACCAGCTGTCACAACAACCGCCTTTGAACTTGGACAATAGTTGTTGTGGTTAAGCAGACTGTGTGGCTTTTGCAGTTGTAGTGTGGCTGATAAGCCTGATGTTGTGCTCCTCCAGGTACCTGAGGGCACAACCCTCTCCTCCTGTGCAAGTGAACCCGAACTGCGTCCGAAGAGCTCGGCCGAGGATTGTGTGGGCCGTCGTTTCCCATGCTGGTGCCCCCCTGCCATTTGGGACTACAACTCCCATCAGCCACAGCATCGTATGACTGAGCTGGCTGGGGCTGATGGGAGTTCTGGTCCAACACAGCAGGAAGGCTGGTGTAGGTGCTCAAATGGCAGGCCTGCCTTACCCGCCCTCCTCCTCATCTTTTCCAGGAATCAAAGGGATCCCCCAGCCTTCGGCTTTTGTCCCAACCGCGGAGAGCAATTCCTTCCAGCCCCAGGTGAAGACTCTGTCCTCCCCAGTTGATGCAAAGCAGCAGCTGCAGCGGAAGATCCAGAAGAAGCAGCAGGAGCAGAAGCTGCAGTCACCTTTGCCAGGAGAGTCCCCGGCCAAGAAGGTGGAGGGCACCACCAGCAATGGGGTCACCAGCCTTTCCAACGGGAGCCCAGCCATCTTGTCTCCTCAGCCCATTGGCATTGTCGTGGCTGCTGTTCCCAGCCCTATAACGGTAAGCTGTTGGCGTGGATGTTGGTAGACACAGTGGGCCCTAAACCTTTTGCTGACCTCCCCATGGGCTTCCAGGTGGGTAGTAAATTGGGGTGGAGTTATCTTGATGATTAGTAGAGGACAGGGACGCGGACTTATAAAAAATATTGGGGGGGCCCGGGAAAGCTCATGAATAATAAATAAGCTCATGAATATGCAAATAAAGTGGCGCCGCCTCCTCGTGAGCGAATAGGGGAGAGTGTGCTGCGCCTATTAATCAGCTCCGAAGGAAATTGGGTGGAGCTTTTGCTCGGGAGGGAGGGAGGGCAGGAGGCATGCAGCCCGACCCTGTGCATTTTGGGCTGGGGGAGGGGCGGCGATGGCGCTCTGCTGGAGGGGCGCCGGAGATTATTGGAGGGGCGGAGCCCCCCCAAACGAATTTTTGAGGGGGCTCGGGCCCCCTCAAGCCCCATGGAGTCGGCGCCTATGGTAGAGGAAGACAGATGAATTCAAAGTTATTTTCTCTGGAGATTTATTTGGGGGGAATACATGGAAGGAATTGAACTGATCTGTAGCAGGCTTTTTAAAAAAAATTAAATGGGGTTAAAGAAATGGAAGCGAAAGTGATTTGGGGTGATCCGAGGGTGGGGTGCAGATTTATTGTAGAACTTTTTCTGGTGTGATTTGGATCAGGAAATTATCTGGCTTTGCCTTCTGTGACATTTAAAATCTAAGCGTGAATCTATAAATAATAAACTAGCATTTATGGATTTTATGCAGGTTTGCGCCTGTGGCCCTGTGCTTTCATGTACCTTGCAAGATCCCTGACAATTGGGAAATGTAGCTATCCTCTCATTTTTTGTTCCTTGGTGAGGTCACCCAACGGTCGGGGGGGGGAGGAGGGAGAGAACAGGAAGCCTGGGGGGGAGAGGGAGGGAAGAGGAGGAGTCTCCCTTGCTGAAAAAGTGGAATAAGGCAGGTAGAGAGGTAGGAAAAAGGTGCAGCTGAGAATCAACATGTGGCAGCCACAGGGAGGCACATGGAAGTTTGACGGTGGCAAGGAAGAGATCCTTGGTGATTTTGTTTTTTTTAAAAAAAAGATATTTTATTAAAGTTTTTTAAAATATAACAGGAAAAAATAAAAATAAAAAGAAACATACAAAATGAAAACAGTTAAAAACACATTAATTTTCATTACATATCTTCCATACGCTTATTTCCCCAGACCTCCTCATACCTCCCTTTTTTGTATTCCAGTTCAAATTGTTAGTTCAGCAAATCCTTACCATGATCCTTGGTGATTTTGTGAGGATTGTGGATTGTCAGTGCAGCAGAGTGGACGAAAGATGCGTATCAGTGGAGAGCCCACTCCAGGAGTTTGGACAATAGTTGGTGGGGCAGGAGGTGTTGAGGAAGCCGTTTTCTGAGAATGGGGAAGAGACACATGTGTTTGGAAGCTGCAGGAGTTGATTTTTGATCGACATGAGTGGGTTAGAGAGTAAAAAAAACATAGGGCATGGGAGATTGTAGGGTGGGGGGCTGTGTCAAACAGGAAATAGTGGAAGTGGACAGGAAGGAGACTTGCCTTCTGTAGACCAAATTCGATCTGTTTAGGTTTGCTGGGTGACTGGTTTTATAAGAGGAGTAACTGGAACCTTATTTCCCTCCCCCAACAGGTGCCGAGGACCCGGCAGTTGGTGACGTCGCCTAGTCCTGTGGGTTCAGCCGATGGCAAAGTTCTCCCGCTCAACGTCCAAGTGGTCACCCAGCATATGCAGTCGGTCAAGCAGTCACCAAAGACCCCCCAGAATGTTCCCGCCAGCCCTGTTGGGGATCGTTCTGCCAGGCACCGCTACCCTCAGATCCTGCCCAAGCCTGCCAACACCAGTGCCCTCACCATCCGATCCCCAACGACAGTGCTGTTCACAAGCAGCCCCATCAAGACCGTTGTCCCTGCTCAGCACATGAACGTGGTGAAAATGACCACCATCTCCCTCGCTCCGAGCAGCAGCAGCGCCGGCAGCACGCCGGTCAAGCACACGCCTTCAGTGGTCAGCGGTTCCGGAGCAGCCGACGAGCTGAGGACTGTCCCGCAGATTCAGAATGGGTCCGTCGTTTCGCTTCAGTCTCCAGGGCCCAAAGCTGGTGGCAGTGGAGGAACAGCAGGACGAGACTTGGCTCCCTCTGCGTCTTCGGTTGAGGTCAAAATGGAGCCAGAGGCAGCCCTGGAGGAGACAGTGCTGCGGTGCCAAGAGAACTCAGACGCCTCTAAAGTTGCAAAGGTTGCTCTGAGCACCTCAGTTGGGCAGCAGAGGAAAGGTGAAGCAGAACTGTGGAAAGGTCAAGCCGAGGAGGTCCGCGGAGACGGGAAGTGTGTCCAGGGCTGTGACCCGAGAGCCGAGGAAGCAGGAAGGAAAAGCCTTGCCCAGCCCACTGAATCCCGCCCCGTTCCCACATTGGAGATCAGTCCTGGCACGATCACTCCCTCGGTTGCTATGCAGACCTTCTCTGGCACCAGCATCCCTGTGCCTCCCGGTGGTGACAAAGTGTGTGCTAAAAGCCCAAGGAAGCGGCTGCCATCTGCCTTTACAGACTCCCAGGGCCCCCCAGTCAAGAAGCTCTCTGTGGGGCAGGTCTCTGCAGCCAGCACAGAAGCCCCAAAAGCGGGAGGTGTGAAGAAAGTGCAGCAGAGAGTGGTGGCTGTGGCCAAGAGCGAAGGGGCTTCAGCACTTGTGCAGGTGCCTGGCAAGGTGACCATCAAAGTCCATTCTGCGGTGCCCAGCAGCTTAGTGACCACTTGCCCCCTGGACGCCGACCTTGTTCTTGACTCCAGCGATCCCACTTTAGGGCAGCAGCTGGCAGACTCCTCTTCAGACATCAAAGTGAAGTTGGAAGGGAACGTGTTTGTCTTAGAAAGCAGTTCCCAGCCCAGTGACGGCTTTAGCCCCAACATATGGCAGCATCTTGCAAAGAGCTCCGACTTTGCCCCTCTGAACTGCGAGCAGCAGCCGCTGCAGGAGGACGTCGGTGTTATGGCTCTCACAGAACACGCTGGCGGCTCAGAGGCCTTGCCGAAGTCTGTCTGGGAGCCAGTGCACTTCGAAGGGCTCCAGCAGGCAGCTGCCTACGGCCAGCAGGTGCAGAGCCAGGGGCCAGAGCCCTCTCTGGAGCAGCAGCTGCAAGCGCAGGCGCCAAGCCAGTTAGCTTTGCAGCCGGAGCTCAAGGAGTTTGAGGATGCCGCCTCGCAGTCCAACGAGAACTTCTTCTCCTTCGACGACGACCTGACCCAGGACAGCATCGTGGAGGAGCTGGTGCTCATGGAGGAGCAGATGTCCATGAACAGCTCTCACCTGTACGGGAGCTCCCTGGGCATGGCCCTCCAGAGCCAAGGGGCGGCCCAGGGGGCATCCCTGTCCTCTCACGCGAGCAGCGCCCACTTCTACCACCCGATCCACAACAGCGGCACCCCTGTCCACACCCCAACTCCCACGCCCACCCCGACACCTACTCCTACGCCCACTCCGACGTCCGAACTCATTGCGGGATCGCAGGGCGTGTCGCGAGAGAGCCCCTGCTCCAGGATGGCTCAGACAACGCCCGTTGACAGTGCCCTGGGGAGCAGCCGGCACACGCCCATCGGCACGCCCCATTCCAACTGCAGCAGCAGCGTCCCACCGAGCCCCGTGGAATGCAGGAAACCCCTTTGCCTTCACGCCCATCAGCTCCAGCATGGCCTACCATGACGCTAGCATCGTCTCCAGCAGCCCCGTCAAGCCCATGCAGCGGCCCATGGCCACGCACCCCGACAAAACCAAGCTGGAGTGGATGAACGCCGGGTACAGCGGAGTGAGCAACCCGCCTGTCTCCAGCCATGGGATCCTCCCGAGCTACCAGGAGCTGGTGGAAGACCGCTTCAGGAAGCCCCACGCCTTCGCCGTCCCCGGCCAGTCCTACCAGTCTCAGCCGCGGCACCACGACGCCCATTTTGGCCGCGTAACTCCTGTCTCTCCCGTCAGCAGCGCCGGCAGCAAGCAGGAGGGCTTTGCTGTGCCTGCGCCCCTCGACGGCAAAGGGGCGGGTTCCTCCCATAACAGCAGCTTCAGGTGCCGGAGCGTCAGCCCTGCCGTCCACCGCCAGCGCAATCTCAGTGGGAACACCGCTTGCCCTGCTGGCAATGTGCTGCGCTCCAGCACGACGTCGGCCGCGACCGCAGCGCCCTTCGGCAGCCCCGTCACTCCGGAAGTCCACAACACGTTCAGCGCCGTCCACGCGGACGCGAGTGCCAGCAGCCTTGCCCAGAGGAGCCAGTCAGTCCCCTTGACCGTCATGATGCAGACGGCTTTCCCGCCTCCTCAGAAGCAGGCGAATTCCAAGAAGATAACAAATGTCTTGCTGAACAAGCTCGATTCGGATAACGATGACGCGGTGAGGGGCCTGGGGATCAACAACATGCCCTCCAAGTACACAGCCAGGATGAACCTGACCCAGATCTTAGAAACTTCCTCTTCCACGTTTCCGAGTGCCAACGGCCAGAACGTGCTCAGCCCCAGCCCTTCGGTTTTCGAATTCCAAACACCAAGTTACCTCACGAAGAGCAGCAGCGCCGATCACATCCCTTTTGCTCCCGGAGATAACCAAGCACAATCGGAGCCTCTGGAGGAGGAGGAGGAGCAGCAGCAGCAGCAGCAACAGCTGGATTTCAGCAGCACCGTGAAAGACTTCCTGGATGAGGGCAGCCTCCAGAGCAGCCAGCAGCTGGCCAACCAGGTGGCTTCTGATCTCAGCAACGTGGCCTCCGTCTTCTCCAATGACATCAGGTTGGCTTCCGAGCTCTCGGGCAGCATTAATGATTTGAACACGCTGGACGCAAACCTGCTCTTTGACCCGGCTCACCAGCAGGGCCAGGACGATGAAGCAACACTGGAAGAATTAAAGAATGACCCCTTGTTCCAGCAGATCTGCAACGAGTCCATTAACTCAATGACTTCGGCAGGTTTCGATTGGATGGAGAGCAAGGACCATCCTGCTGTTGAAATGCTGGGTTGAATCTTTTTTTTAAAAAAAAAAGATTAAAAAAATTAAATAAATATATGTAATATGATGTATGTAGCACACTGTATCTAAAAGACAGACAGACACTTTGTATTTGTCTTAATGGAAGTGCCTCCCTGCAGCAGAAACATTGACTATGACTTAATTGTGGCATTTTTACAAAACAAAAAAACCCCAACAACAACCAACACCTTTTGCTCCACCAGCTGCTCTGTTCTTCAGCAGGGAATATTCAGTCTTACCCATTTTAAAGACTTTTCTGAAGGATACAGCCTGATCCAGAGCCAGTATTAGATTTTAAAAAATTTTACTTACCGAACAGCACTTTTTTGCTGTTGCAAAAGAAAAAAGTGGCCGGGGAGGTTGCAAGAGTGTAGTGAGTCTAAATTGCTAAGGAAAGGGGGCTCGCCAGTTCCCCAAGCAGTGTTACCTGGCTGCTCCCTCTGTTCATTTCAGCCAGTGCCGCCCTGAGTCCCTTGCTGGGCTGCTGTTCCCTGGGCTACCAAGCAAGCTGCACTGGAAGGAGTGGAGGCCACGCAGCAACCGTGTTCCTCGGATGGAGAGGGCTATGTGCACTTGGGTGTGGACACAGGGCCCTTGCACATGCTGGCGCATCCCTTGCGCTGGAGGGCCTGCACACATCTCTGAGGAGCGAGCCTGTAGAGGAAGCGGGGGAAGCGGTCCAGGAGGCAACAGTTACCTGTGTATATCAGCACAGGTTGCTTGGTTGGGTGATGGACTTTAAATGGCTGCTTCCCAAAGATTCTGGGCTCACTATCGCCTCCTCTGTTTCATTGCTGTTAGAGAACCACAGAGGTGGGGGTCCCAGCTGTGGATAATGGCGGAGGAAGACTTGGGTAAAAGCTGACCATACAGCTTAGAAGGTGTGAGAACGCTATACTTAGACACCAATACAACTTAAAATGACAATAAAGGGCTAAAAGGGGGAGCGACAGATAGGAACTATCAAGGAATGAGAAAGAAGCACTAAAATTTTATTGGAAAGTGTGTGGGGGTGTGCTTACCCTTCTTTAGTTGCTTGAAAATCTCAGCTTAAAAATCTGTTTTTATTGGTTTTAATATCCTTGAGAGGAAATGTAATTCTGAGCCTTGAGACTTCATAAGACTTCATTCCGTTCTGTTTCCTATTTATTTATCAGAATTGGAGCAACCTGAAGTTAAGGTGGAAATGGCCCCCAACCCATCCCTTCTCACTTGTAAACAACATTTGGGGTGCAGAAAAGCAGTTGCCTCTTGACTGACGTGCAGCCCCTCTGCTCTTTCCCGAGAAGCTGATAGAAAGAACAATTTCCATAGAGCCATAAGTGCTTCTAGATGCCAGGGGGTACAGACATGCCATGGGATATATTTCAGAAGCTACCCTACACAAACCCAATGGAAATGGATGGGGAAAGATGCATAGGTTTGTTGGTGCCCCATGTCCGCCTGTTGCAAGCGGATGCGCCCAGCAGGAGCTGCCCAGGGAGTGTGGCCATTGCCTTTCAAAGGGCTGTGAAGAGAGAACAGCCAGCCATTAGCCAGCTGGGGCCTTACTCAGGCAGAAGGATCTGTGCCAGAACTGTGACTTCACCTGGGAAACCTTTTGCCAGATCCATTGTCCAAGGCTGCGGGAAGCTGTTGCCTGGGTGCTTGTGCTGTGTTTGCCTCATCTTGTAATGTGGGCTGATCATTTTGCACCTGCCAAAACCCAAGTAAGGTGTCAGGGCCAGAATATTTCTGGGAAGGAGAGAAAGAGAGAGGAGCTGTTGCAAATGGCTGCCCATGAGACAAAGCAAGCAAAAAATGCACCAGCCAGTCGTGGCAGGCTTTTGAGACTACCAGCCGGTCAGACGTAGATTGTGCCCTGATTGTTGGCACATGTAGGCCAGTTCCAGAGCAAAAGGTTTCAGGGCAGCAGTTCTGGTTAATGTGCTCGTGAGGAGGAAGCTTTCCCAGTGTTGTTGTGCCTCTACATTCAAGGTGCTGGAATCCAGGCCCCGTGACAATACTTCATTTCAGGCCCCACAGGGGTTGCCAGAGTCTTACTCCATGTGAGCCATAGCCAGCCCCTTTGGCGTCAGTGGGGTGGGGTGCAGGGAGTAAGGAGCAAGGGCCATGGGGAGTTTCCTGGCTGCTTGTGTGTTCTTGGAGTTAGGGAAGCAGTGTATAGAAAAGTTGACTTTGGAGGCGAGGGCAAAGCAGCAACTACTTACCTGGGTACCCCAGAGGATTCCACAGCACATGCACCCAGTATATTGTGGTTTTTTAAAAAGAGAGAAATCCGATTTCTGCATGGTTTTTGGTTGTAATTTTTAAGATTTGTGTGTGCACACGTGTTTTTCATTAAATAAAAAAATCTGGAAGTACAAAGAATCAAACCAAACAAGAGATTTCCCCTTTCCATCTAGGTTTTGTCCTGGGTGGCAGGATAGCTGTGTGTGTTTGTGTGTGTGTTCTCACATCACAGGCCCTTAAAGGAGGCATGCTGGCGTATATTTTGAGCACTCCTTGGCAGAGAGGGATGCCTCCTTCACCCCTGCCCAGGCATTACTGCTGTGCAGATGGAGGTTCCCATTGGGTTCTCTGCCCCCCTCCAAGAATGGAACTCTTGGTTTGTCCCTAAGGTGATGGTAGTGAAGGTGCAGCAACCTGGGGGTGGGGGTACATGTGCTGCTCACCTTCATCATCCGTCTGATGCTCCTGATTGGCCAGCAGGGAGCTCTTGCCCACATCCAGATCAATTGGGAGTGGAGCACTTTTTTGACCGGTGACCCACCTGTAACCCAAAATGTGTTGGATGCATTGTAGATACAGGTTTGAGCATGGACTGTAATGTAGATACAAGCTACAGATGGCTGAATTGAAATCAATTTTAAATGTGAGACATTCAAACTATCATGTGACCACTATCATTTTGTCTCTCCGCTCCCCCCCCCAATAAAAGAAAGGCCTGTTACCTTAATTTTGAAACGCCACTGGTAAATCGGACTGAAGCGATAATTCTGGGAATTCTGCGATAACTTAAAAGCGAATTGAATGGAAGTTAGGTTTGCAAGGAGGGCCTGGGGAACCAAAACTTTTTCACACACACTTCATGGTGCTAGACCCAAAATGGGGTTTTGTGTATTGTTGGCCTGTGCTTGTTTTGTGGTTTCCTCCGTGTGTTTGGGGTTGTCATGGGCAGCTTGCTGGACCCCTCCCTCTTCCTGGTGCTTGTAACTCCTTCTGCTCTCTGCCTGCAGACAAGTCCCTGCTTCACACCAAAGCGTGCCATCTCCGGGGGAGGCAGAAGCCCCCTTCTGCCAGATAAGACCCCTGCGTAACAATGATAATTTTAGTTGTTCAGAGGGTTGCTCTCCTTGGCTAAAGGCGAATGAACTTGCACCCCCATGTACAGTATTGCCAAGAATATATTTTGGATTTGGCTGGCCAGTCTGTTGGACTGTGTGGGGTTCAGCTATTGCACTAAGGCTTCTGTTGAACTGTGGCAGGCACATTCCTTAGGATAAATGCAACAAATTTGACGGCCCACGGATTATAAAAAAAGAGTGAAAAACAATGACTACAGAAAACTTTTTTAATGTGTTTCATTATTAAAAGGCAAAATGTCATGCAAATGACAGGCAACTTGTCTTATGTAGCAATGTGCATTGATCTCAATGAGATGTTTCTATTTCTTATTCTCTTACGTGAGAATCTTACAGCAGGAAGAAAAAAAAAAGAACTGTTTTGTTTGCCTCACCATGTTAATACATGACCACCTGATGTGCATGCGTGTTCTCTTGACTTACCTTGTACAGTGCTAGGTAGACTCTTGTAACCCACTCTTTTTCATTATTATTATTTTTGCGCTGTATTAGATCTGGGTCTGTGCTAACCAGACAAGCATAGCTGAATCACCAGGTAGTTACATTTTTTTTTTTTACGTTTACTAATTCTGCTTAGTTATTGTTAAATACGTTACTTTCTCATTATCTTTATTGCTCTGGTGTTGGGGGGGGGAATCCTTTTGGCATAATTTTTTTCATGAGAATTCATGAAGTAAAGAATTTGCAAATAATTGCAATAAGCACTGACTTTTGAACTGAAAAAGAAGGAAATTGTTTCTTGGGCAGTGCAGCATCTGAAGTTTATATAAAGTCTTGTACTATACTTTTGTGCTTTCTATAAGGAAAGAAGAAAAAAACCACCCTCTCTACCTTTTCATCTAGTGCACAGATTCTTCTCTCTCTCTCTCCCCCACCCCCGGTGTTTTGTTGTCTGTTGTACCTGCTGAAATGACAGTAGTTGGATATTGCAGTAGCATTTCAGTTGATTTTTTTATTGAAAGTGCTCAAAATTTGTTTTTTTTTAATGTTTTCAGAAACAATAAAACATTTTATATTAAGCCGGACTTGAGGAGCAATTTATTACATGGACACGGGTGTTAAGAAACGCCGCGGGGGAGGGTGTGTCTCTCTGCAATGTGTGTGGGAAAGGGTGTATGCAAGACCTGTACAAGCCCCATGGAAACAAGCATTAAATGTGATTAACAAGAATGGTTCACATTGACAGGTTGCTTTGGAGCACTCAAACTGCCTTGCCTATGATTCACAACAAATGAAACTGCTTTAGACCCGGTCAGACCACTGATTGAGCTAGCTCAGTGTTGTCTACACCTGATGAGCAGTAGCTTTCCAAGGTTTTGGATGGAAGTCTCTCCCAACCCCACCTAGAGATGCCAGGGATTGATCTTGAGACCTTCTGCATGCAAATTACGGTATATGCTCAGCTACTGAGCTGTGGCAATTCCAAAAATATGGTTATTAATTGGGGGAGGGGTATGGGCTGTCCAAAGACTGGAAAACTGACTAGAAAACCCACTTTACAAAGTCACATCTCAATATCTTCCTCAGCTGGTGAGACAATTAACGGGGACTGCCCAACATGATGGACCAAGCAGTGCTAGATTACCAAATAGGCAGGGCCTATGGGCATAGCTGTCAACGTTTTCCTTTTTTTAAGGGAAATTCCCTTATTCCAAATAGGATTCCTCGCAAGAAAAGGGAAAAGTTGACAGCTATGCCTATGGGCCCCACTCCTTTTCGGAACCCCACGACAACTGATCAAAATAATACAGATTTGATATTGAAAGAAAATTACAAAAATGTATTAGGCGATCATTTATGAGGCCCCACCCCACCCAGATTTCAGCTGCCTAGGGGCCTCCACGGGATTTAATCTGGCACTGGGACCAGGAAACCAAATTCTGCAGCCAACCAAGCTCACTGAGTGACCTTGGGATCAGTCACTCTCAATCTAACATACCGTATTTTTTGCACCATAACACTCACTTTTTTCCTCCTAGAAAGTAAGGGGAAAATGTGCGTGTTATGGAGGGAATGCCTACGGGTGGCGGGGGGGATCTGCTGCAGTCGTGAGCAGAGGATCCATGGTTCCCCTTCCTTCCCTCCTCCGTGGCTCGCTTTGAAACAGCAAAGCAGAAGAGCCGCTGAGTGGGGAAGAGAGAGGGACAGAGAGCCTGCTTCTTTAAAGGAGCAAAGCAGGAGAGGAGCCGCTTACACGAGTCCTGTCCGGTTGGTTCCTCCCCTTATACCCCTCTTCTTCATTATTAGCAGCATCCTTCTCCACCCACCCCACGCGTGCTCCTTGTCCCTTGAGTGCTTTTCCTTCCCTCCCCACTTAAAACGTGGTTACAAAGCACGGATCCACATGGATCCTCAGGATTTTTGCACTGGGTCACCCCAAATTCACCATCAGATCACATAGCATGTCCATGGCTACAGCTTGCACCAAAAAAATCACGCACCCACTGTTGCCTGGGGCCGCAGTGGTGCAAAAACGTGGTTACAAACATGGATCCACATGGATCCTCAGGATTTTTGCATTGGGCTACTCCAAACTCACTGTCAGATCACATGTCTGTGGCCACAGCATGAACCACAAAAATCATACATCCACTGTTTTGTTTAGAATATGTTTTTCTTGTTTTCCTCCTCTAAAAACTACATGCGTGTTATGGTTGGGTGCGTGTTATAGAGCGAAAAATACGGTACCTCACAGGCTTGAGATAACACCACTGTGGAGGCAGAGCCATATCTGCCACTTTGGAGGTACAAGGCTAGGATAGAAAAGTAAACACCCTTTGAAAAATTATGTGGGAAACTACCATATTTTTCCATGTATAAGACTAGCCTTTCCCCTTTAAAATGTCAAAAAATAGGGGGTGTCTTATACACGGATAGTGCAGAGGGTGGACTGGCGATTGGTTGCCACGAGCAGGGGGTGCGTCTTATACATGGGGCGTCTTATAGGCGGAAAAATATGGTATATATTTCAGGAGGTTTTCACCCTGCACTTGGGTGGAAAAAGTTCTCAAGATTGCCTTACAAAAAACCAGTAGCAAGAGAGTTGCGACCTTCGGGCTTGCAATCTAAAGCATCTTCAATCTTTTCCTACCTGGGAACCATTTTTCATAGGCACCCATATATTTGTATGGTGACAGACTGTGCTGCTGCTGTGACCCCCTCAGAGCAGACCAGGACCTAGTAGAAGGTCTTGACCCACCAGTTGAAGACCAGTGAAACACCAGGAAAACGAAGGGAGGGGAGGGTGGCATAATGGTTAGTGTGTGGGACCATGACCTAGGAGACCAGAGTTTGAATCGCCACTCAGCCATGAAGCTCACTGGGTGACCTTGGGCCAGTAAATGTAAAATATAAGTAAATAAATAAGTTGCATCTGTTCCTCACGACCCACCCAGGATGGAAATCAAGCAGGAGAGCTGCTGGTGGGAGCTGCTGCTTGGCTACAAGGTAAGTCACTGCGCCATTGTTATTGTTGTTTAGTCATGTCCGCCTCTTTGTGACCCCCTGGACCAGAGCACGCCAGGTCCTCCTGTCTTCCACTGCCTCCCGCAGTTTGGTCAGACTCATGTTTGTAGCTTCGAGAACACTGTCCAACCATCTCGTCCTCTGTCGTCCCCTTCTCCTTGTGCCCTCCATCTTTCCCAACATCAGGGTCTTTTCCAGGGAGTCTTCTCTTCTCATGAGGTGGCCAAAGTATTGGAGCCTCAGCTTCAGGATCTGTCCTTCCAGTGAGCACTCAGGGCTGATTTCCTTAAGAATGGATAGGTTTGATCTTCTTGCAGTCCATGGGACTTTCAAGAGTCTCCTCCAGCACCATAATTCAAAAGCATCAATTCTTTGGCGATCAGCCTTCTTTATGGTCCAGCTCTCACTTCCATACATCACTACTGGGAAAACCATGGCTTTAACTATATGGACCTTTGTTGGCAAGGTGGCGTCTCTGCTTTTTAAGAAGCTGTCTAGGTTTGTCATTGCTTTTCTCCCAAGGAGCAGGCGTCTTTTAATTTCGTGGCTGCTGTCACCATCTGCAGTGATCATGGAGCCCAAGAAAGTAAAATCTCTCACTGCCTCCATTTCTTCCCCTTCTATTTGCCAGGAGGTGATGGGCCCAGTGGCCATGATCTTCGTTTTTTTGATGTTGAGCTTAGAACCATATTTTGCGCTCTCCTCTTTCACCCTCATTAAAAGGTTCTTTAATTCCTCCTCACTTTCTACAATCAATGTTGTGTCATCTGCCCATTGTTATTACTATTTATTTAACTTATTAAGACACCCTTGGTTCCCCCCCCCCAAAAAAAGCAACTCAACGACAAACAAACACACACAATAAAACCAGCATAAAACAAACCATACAAAAATCCAAAAGCGCACTCAATCTTTTTTAAAAGGCCAGATTAAAGCTTCCCACCCACAAACAACCAGAAGCTCCAAGGCCATATCGTCAAGCTGAGCTACCCGCTCGGAAACCGGGCAAAAAGAAGCGGCCGGGAACGTGATGAGACTGACTAGACCTCGCCGGCCACGCCCACTTGTGGCTCCTCCTCCAGAGCTCGGCCTGGCTCCTCCCCGCCCCGCCCTGAGAGGGGAAAAAGGCGGGACACGGGGATGGGCGGGGCGCCAAGCCCGGGAGGCGGGCGGCGTTGTTGTTGACACGAGCGGAGGCGAGGTGGGCGGGCGCCAGCTCGGCGTCCTCCAATCCCCTTGAGCTTCCCGCGGCGGCTGAGGGCGGCGCGGCGGTCTCATTGGCTGCGGGGCGAGCGGCCCGGCTTATCTGGGCGTGGCCAAGGGAGGAGGGAAAGCTGGGCTCGGCCGCCTGTCGCTCATCTTGCCAGTCCGTCAGTCAGGCGAAGACGCGGAGGGGTTCCGGCGGCCTTTGTGCTCCCGGGGCCATGGCCGCCGCCGCCGCCTCCTCCTCCTCCTCCTTCTCGCCGGGGAATGTGCTGGGGCTGCCGGAGGGCGAGGCTGCTGCTGCCGCAGAGGTGAGCCTGCGCTGGGCCGGCCCGAGGGCTTCTTCCCCCTCCTGCCTCGAAGGGTGGCGGGGGCAGCGGCCCCTGCGCCTTCCTCGTCGGCGTCGCGCTGGTCCTGCTGGTCCGGCCCGGGGCGGCTCCCTCTCAGGTCCCCCACCGCCGCCGCCTTTGCTCGGGCGCCCCCTGGTGGCGAGGACGGAGAGGCGGCAAATGGACCCATTTCACAGCTGGGGCAAAGGGAGGCCGGCCGAACCTTGGGCTGGGGGCGGCCGAAGGGGCGGAGGCAGGGAGCGGGTATTAGCCCCCAGGTTTCCTCCTCCCCTCCTGTTTTTCCTCCTCCCTTCCCAACCCCTTTTCCTCTTCTCTTCATTCCCCCTTTTGATATGGGGTGGCGTACTGGTTCAAGAGAGGATCTTTTCGGGGGGGGGCTGGGAAGGTTAATACAATGTTTCTTAAACTTGGGTCTCCAGCTGTTGTTGGACTACACCTCCGTTTATCCCTGACCACAATCGTCCTTAGCTAGCAGGACCAGTGGTCAGGAATGATGGGAGGTGTAGCCCAACAACAGCTGGAGACCCAAGTTTGAGTAACACTGGAGCACAACAAACTCGTGTTTGTTTGTTTGTATGTGTGTCTTGCTTCACACCAGAGGAGAGGCTGTGGGGCAGTACTGGGGAGCGGTGTTTGTCCCCCATGTCTGGTTGGGGAGACTTGGGCCAGAGAAAGGCCTCTTATTTTGCATCCTGTCCTGTGTAGGCAGAGGCAGGGTGTGGGGCAAAGAGAAGTGCTGAGAGCATCCGCTCCCATGCAACGGGGCCTTCAGTCTCCTCCCCATCTGTCATCTGTCTGCAGCCACTGGCAATCTTTGAAAATCAATCATGGGAACTGTGAGTGGAGTTTCACTTTTCTTTTTTATTAAAGAAGTTTTAATAGGAGCCCTCTTCAGAAGTAAATCCAACTACAGAATTTCTCAGTGGTGAAAGGAAGGCATCCTGTCTATGCCCTGGAGACTTTATCAATTCCTATCTCTGAAAACTGAATTCCCCATCTCCCAGGTTTCATCGACCTGGCTTAAAAATGGAGAGTCCCCATCTCTGTTGCTTCCTCTTTTTTTCCTGCTTATCCTCCGCTGACATCTGAGATTAGGTTGTGCAGGTTTCCAGAACAAGTGATCAAGTGAAACTGCTAGGACAATCTTTGAGTGGTGGCAGCAGCTGCTCTTTCCCATCACAGGAAATGCCCAAGAATACATGCATAAAGTATCAGCTTCAAAGCATACCTGTCACTTGTACCTTTGAGTAGGTGCATGTTAGGGCTGGGCAATAATCTGGTTTTCAGCATAGTGATATATCACCAGCCAAACACCACAATATATAAATATATCAGGATGGAACTATGTAGGGCAGAGCTTTCCAAACTGTGTGTTGCAACACGTTAGTGTGTCGGCTGCAGTGTGTAGATGTGTTGTGCAAATGCTCCCCATGCTCTTCCCGGGGCTGGAAAGGGGTTAGCTTAACCTCTGGTTTGCTAGTAAAACTAAATTACTGTGTCACAAAATGACGTATGTCTAAAAAGTATGTCACCATCATTAAAAGTTTGGAAACCTCCGATGTAGAGACATGTGTGGTTTCTGTAGTGTTGTGGTTCTCATCTTCTTGCAATTGTGAGGCCCACAGATGCAAGCCCGGCAGAAACTGCCTTGGAGTGGGCCCACAATGCAGTGGGGATGAGCACCTGTTTTTCATGCAGTGGCACTTCTGGCGTAAAAGATCTGGGGATATTTTGGAGAGCTGCTGCCCATTGGAAGAAGCAGTAATGTGATGGTGTGATCTGGTCTTAGGTGGCTGCATTCTATGGACTTGCTTTTGTTTGGATATATAACATTTTGAAGTTAAAGTAATATCCCTCTCAGTCCAGATCGAGGTTAGCTGCTTGTGTGGTTGTAGTGTCCCTAGTTGGAATGTTTTGCCTTGAGGGCCACCGTGTCATCTGTACTCCTCTGTTTAAACCTCTTTGCATTATGGGTGTTGAGTATGATAGCTTTCAGCATTTCAGGGTAAGTACCATAGCTCTGAAGGAAAGAACTGGGTAACTATTTCTAAGGTGTGTGTGTCTGTTAAAAATTGCACTCTGACAAGTACTTCTAAGAATTCATGTTTGCCGAGGAAGGAAAATGTTAAGCCTGCAGTCCACACATACTGCCTTCGAAAATAACCTTATTTAAATGAATGAACCTCAAAGCCCAGGGCTATTTGGAGGAAGGATGAGACTAGAGAGGATGAATCTGCCAATTCTGGTTTCTCATTTTGTTCAATCTTAAATTCAGTTTGCTATGTTTCCACATCAGTTTGCAAACCTTAAAAAAGAAACCCCACAGGAAAATGTTATGCATTATTCCTAAATAAACACATTTTTGCACAGCTTTTGTCTACAATATTCATTTATGCAGGCTGCTTTCCCAAACATTTTGTATGTAATTTTTATTCATAGACACACTCCTGAGCACCAATTTTTCTAGGTCTTTATTTGCAAAGCATGTTTTAGCTGAAGAGCTACAGTGCAAAATTGGAGGAAGTGTGACTTTTGAAGAATCCATTTTGGTTTGTATATATAGGTTTGGAAAGTACTAAGTAAGTAAAAATTCTCTTCCTATCTGCAGATGAAATACATAGGATAAGATAAACAGGTTGTTCCATGCTGCACTGGAGCAGCATGGCTGGAGAATATTACCCCTTACTGTATTGATACGTTGCCCAAAACCAGTTTAAAGTTCAGATTGCGATAACGATATCAGAATTTTTGAGCTGGCAATGTATCCTGGATTCCGCTCACCCCTGTGGCTGCTTCAAGCACCATGCAATTTTTTTCTCGGGGTTGCCGTTGTTTCAAGCATGGCCTCCTCAGCTCTTCTCACTCAAATAACTTTATTGTACTAGCCATTGGCCATGACAGATCTGAATCAAAAATAAATACAAGCAAAAGGGGTGTTGCGCCCTGCAAGGCTGCCTGATGCTCACCCACTCCCTCCTTCACTGCCAAGCTGTTGGCCCCAGGAGCCTGAAAAGGTGCTGGGGCCCAGCTGCCCCCAGCCATGCCTGTGCCTACCTGTTGTGTCCGCTCACCTGCCTGCTTGCCAGCACCTTCGCTTCCTTTTCCGGCTGAGCAAACGGGCAGCCTCCTTCCTCCTCACACCAGGTACTGGGAAGTGAAGGCTTGGCCACGTCCTGTGAGCCTCTGCTGGTGGGAGCAGCACTGGCTCCTCTCCCTCACCTTCAGGACTATGTGGTTGATTGGCGGCGGCAGTCACCAGAGATGGGAACTGCGCTGCGTTGATAAAGAGGAATGGAGTAGCCTCTGGTGCCTTGCATGGAGGATGGCTCCCAGTACTGTAGTTGCATCCGTTGCTGTGAGCTGGGCAGGCTCTGGGGAGAGGCTGTGGCTCTTCATTGGGTGGTGGCATGTGGTGTCCCGCCTGATGCGCTCTGCCCAAGGCAGCTCCATCCACCTAGCCTTGCCATGTAGCAGCAGAACCTGTGCATGCTGTCACTGGGTTTAGGGGTAGGCGATGTAGCCTTCAAAACCGCTTTGAACTAGTCCACATCCAGGAATCAGTACTGGGCTGCTTCTTGCTCCAAACCTTATTTCATCTTTCCTCCCCATTTCAGACAATGTGATATATCAGTATATCATGATGTTTGGCTGGTGATATATCGCAATGTTGGGACGCGGGTGGCGCTGTGGGTAAAAGCCTCAGCGCCTAGGGCTTGCCGATCGAAAGGTCGGCGGTTCGAATCCCCGCGGCGGGGTGCGCTCCCGTCGTTCGGTCCCAGCGCCTGCCAACCTAGCAGTTCGAAAGCACCCCCGGGTGCAAGTAGATAAATAGGGACCGCTTACAAGCGGGAAGGTAAACGGCGTTTCCGTGTGCGGCTCTGGCTCGCCAGAGCAGCGATGTCACGCTGGCCACGTGACCCGGAAGTGTCTCCGGACAGCGCTGGCCCACGGCCTATAGAGTGAGATGGGCGCACAACCCTAGAGTCTGGCAAGACTAGCCCGTACGGGCAGGGGTACCTTTACCTTATATCGCAATGTTGAAAAACTAATATCGCCCACTTTATTTATCTGTCTTGTAGACAGCTTTACATTTCATAAATCTCTTAAGCAGTCCACATATTTCAAAATAAATAACTATAAAAATACAATACAACTTTAATATTCAGCTAATAATACTCATCACTTCCACATTTTTAGTAACATAATTAAGCAGCAAAACAATGTACATAAATAAAATCCCACAAAATCGAATTCTATACAAACTACCAAACAGCATCAAATACAACATACGGTATCTAGAACAGGCTTCCTCAACCTCGGCCCTCCAGATGTTTTGAGACTCCAATTCCCATCATCCCTGACCACTGGCCCTGCTAGCTAGGGATCATGGGAGTTGTAGGCAAAAACATCTGGAAGGCCGAGGTTGAGGAAGCCTGATTTAGAAAATATCATAAATAGTCCAAAAAGAAAAGCAAAACAAAAACTTGCATATAACCATGTTGTCACCCCAATGGCTCAGCTATTCTCCTTAAACCCAACATATCACTCCTTCCACTAAATTCTCACTTCAATAAAATATATTAATAAGCAACCAATAATTATGTATAGAAATATAGGTCTGCTGAATAAGAACAATCCAATAATAGGAGACCTCCCCCAACCCTGCTCAGTTTCAGTTTCATCTCTCATCTGATGCAGTACAAAACCTTCTCATCAGCTCTTTACTGGGAAGATTAACCTCTTCTCCACCAACAGACCTTCACCCAACGTTTTCGATGGGTTTGGCCAGAGGAATCCTAGGCTGTTTTGTGGACATTCTCTTTTTATGTGGTGCACTATATTTCTTTACCTTGTTTTACTAGGTTCCTAAGGTGGGAAGACAGTGCATCTTAGAGTCCTGTCCATCCCTCCCCCCCCCCAGCCCCACCTGTTACCTAAAACTGCTAGTTCATATCCAGTTTTTGAAATGTGTAGTAGAGGCGAAGTTGGCTTTGTGACTGCCGCCTGCTGGACAAGGGACCAAGCATAGCTTGAGGATTTCTATGTTGTACTAACACACAGGGCTTGTTTGCGCTTCCGTTCATCCAGTGCCTAGAAAGCAGGAGTTTGATTGGTTTTGTCTTTGCCCCCCCTGCTTTTCCCTAGGAAACCATGCTTAAGCATTAAACTGGAGCAAACATCAATCTGGAGAAAACCCGGTTTGCATTTGCTTCAATTCTGCAGTAAATAACAGGTTTTTCTGGTGGAAAATGGTGGAGCAAGCAAAAGTGTGGAAGAGCCCTCAGTAGAACAGCTCCTAAACTGAATCCCCAAACCCACAAGAAGACCTCCTTTCATTCTGCCCCATTTTCTCCTATCTTGCAAAATGCTCTACTGGGGAACTTTATGCTGCTTCCTCAAAAAAGACTTACAATGAAACTTCCTCTCTGTGCTGAGCTCCCATTGTTCGGTCCCAGCTCCTGCCCACCTAGCAGTTTGAAAGCACATCAAGTGCAAGGTAGATAAATAGGTGGGAAGGTAAACAGTGTTTCCATGCGCTGCTCTGGTTCACCAGAAGTGGCTTAGTCATGCTGGTCACATGACCCGGAAGCTGTCTGCGGACAAACGCCGGCTCCCTCAGCCTATAGAGCGAGATGAGTGTGCAACCCCAGAGTTGTCCGTGACTGGACCTAACGGTCAGGGGTACCTTTACCTGTTATGGGCCACACATAGATTGCTATGGGTGTGACTGTCCTGAAAGCTTTGATTGCACAAATCAACTTGAAAGCGGCAGAGTACAAATGATCCTCTTAATATGATTGGGATGGACATACAGTACATTCTGCCGCATTCAAGTTGAAAGCATATTCTGTTATATCTCTGGTAAACCTGTGAGGAGGGAGCAGGTGGAAGGAATTCTGGAAAGTAAAATAACATATTTCTAAGTATCTTGTGTTTTTCTTCTTGGCTTGGATATTCTACTTCACGATCAAATTACATAAGATCTCTAATAAGAGACAGTTCCTCTGAAGGCTGTTCAGGGTCATATGTAAAGTGTTGAATGGCGGGCTTGATTCTTCATGTATTCAGCTTAATAACTGAATCTTAGTGCGTTGAAGGGGGGAAAAACTATTAATAGTAGCTTGTGTCCTTCCTGCTCCAGTGCCTTTTGACACTGGATTTCTTGCATTTTGTATGCCAGCCAATGCAAGTTATCTCACATTTCTTGGAGTTGTTGATCCAGCAGCTCAAAAAATCATCTTAGTGCAAGTTGCCACATAACTGTGTATTCCTGTGCAAGCTATGCTCATCTTTAACCACAACCCATTGGAGACTAATTTTGGTTTGCTTGAGTGTCCTTGTAAAAAATTCTACCAGAAAAAAATCACTTTCATTTCAAAAGTTCTGAATGTTGTTTGGTCAATTTCTTTAGTTAGCTAAATATCCCACTTGTATTCCAACTTCAACCAGTTTCAGCTGAGCAGTAAAATTTTGTCATTTTAAGCACCACCACCCCCAAAAAAACCCCCAATCACTTTTCATTTGCTTTCTTCATTCTTCTTTGGAAGCACAGCTGCATTCCTGCACCCACCTTAATCCATCTTCCTTTCAATGGAACCCAACACACTGGGCCTGATTAAGAATGGGCAAGCCTTTAAATGATTCTTTGGTCTGTGGTTTCAACAGCCACCTGTTTCAGCTGAATTAGGCCCTAAAAGAGTGGCAACTAGGTTCCCACTAGATTTGCTGAAAGGAGGCATATGAGGATGTTGTGTAGCAGAGTGGTATTGACATCTAGCTCAGTAGAGTATGAGACTCAGGGTTGCGGGTTCAAGTCCCTGCATTGTAGAGGGTTGGACTAGATGACCATCGGGATCCCTTCCAACTCTACAATTCCATTATTATTCCTTGCTTTCCTGAAAAGGGATTGAGGCACTGGGAAACTAGAAGGGGAAAAGTATCCATAATGGGTTCCTTTATTCTTGGTGAGCTTTGTCCTGCTGTGCACCAAGGAACATGGGCTCGGAGACCAGGACCTTGTCTTCTATCTCCCCCCTCTTAACACCCTGTGTGTTCTCGCCTTTCTGAAGAAGACCATTTTGAGACAGTGTTTGTGAGAGTGGTCATACACTGCTTAATTTCCATGCAGGTTATTGAAAAATTGCTAACAAATTGTTTATGTGGTGTTGTTTTTAATCTTACTGGATTTCCATGGGAAATAAAAAATCTGGATTAAAGTTGGGGCGGGGAGAGATACAGGCTGGAATTACATGACAAAAATATTGTGTGAACGTTGAAAGAAATTTGCATGAGTGAATTCTCGTCCCGTAATAAACACCTGTCTGGAAGCACCCCAAGTGTTAGTTGAGCAACCTTTGCAATAGGTTCCATTGTGAAAAACAGCTTTCTCCAACCTGGTGTCCTCCTGATGTTATGGATTCCAGCTCCCATCGGTCCCAGGCAGCACAGTTGGCGGGGTGGGGTGGGGGGTCCCGGCTAGGATGCCTTAATGTAATTGGGATCATGAACTCAAACAATAGCCTGGGGTGGACAAGCTCTAGATTTTGCTGTACTTCCCAGCAGGCAGCGTGGCCCATGGTCAGGGATGATGGGAGTGGTAGTTCAGAAACATCTGGAGGAGGGCCAGATGTTCCCCATCCCTGCAACAACACCTGTCTTCGGGGCAGGATAACTGAGTACTCCCTGGGAGACATTCTAGAAATGGGGAAGTTTTTATGCTCTGTGAAGCTTTTCTTCCTTCCCCCAGTTGCCCTTGGGGTTGTGGTAGCGAGATGTGGCTGCGGGAACCCAGCCAGATGGGCGAAGCATAAATAATAATAATAATAATAATAATAATAATTTATTAATTAATTATGTGGGGTGGGGAGCTTGAAGGCAATATTTACACTGCTTTGCCTTCTATTTCCTCAAGCCTTAGGTGCACAATTTGTACCCTAGAGGGAGCACTTTCCCATAATTTGGGTGATAACTACAGTAATCACCATCGCTAAGACGAAAGTAGATATTGTATAACTTAACCGTTCAGACCACTTCAGGTCTGTGTGCTGCTGATGGCAATTGGGAAAAGAGACTACCTGTGTTTTATTGACTAGGTATTGTTCTGCTTCATCTAAATGGTTACTACAAGTACTTTCCTACCTGGTACATACTCATTTGTGCTGCAGGAAGACTGAAGCATCTTAATTGTGAAGTGGCTGTGGATATTGAAGGGCTGATGTAAAATCTACTTCTATACGTTATGTGAACCAGCCCTTGTGAATTAGGGAGCCTACATCTCACATCATCTCTGACTGTTAATCCATGCTGGCTGGGACTGATGGAAGTTGGGAAGTCCAAAACCACCTGGAGGGCCACTGGTTGAGAGAGGATGGCATGTAGGCATATTCAAGTGTTATGAGTGCAGATCAGAAGATGGTGAACAGCAGCAGCCCAGGTTCCTTGCTGGCTGCTGAGCCCCTTCCACCCTGCTGCTTAAGGAGCAGAGAGCACTTGGAGAAGCCTGATGAGCAGCAGGGCAACTGTCTTCCCTGTCAGTACAGCCTGGCCCTTTCATAAAGAAAGCAGGATGCTCTGGTATTGCCTTGTGTGGTTGAGAGGGTGTTGCTTTGGCTGCCCTGCCTGGCACCGGGAAAGAGAAGGAAGTATAGCTTTTTGCCAAGAGAAAACTTTGGCCTGCGATGTCACGCGGGTGCCTGGGGATGCCCCACATCTAACCAAGCCAAACAAAATGAAATTGAAATAAGTGAGCTTCTAAGAAAGATGGTTTGGGATTTGGAAAAGAAGGGTTTGGTGCACACAAACCAGCCTCTACCTAATGTGCCATCGTAACTGGAAAGTCCAAGGATTGTGTTTAATTAACTGCCTTTAGTTTCTTTTGAAAAGATAAGGGAGATAGAAATATTTTAATTAAAATTGTTTTTATTTTCTAACCACCATTTTCTTGACAGACTTGACTAGAGTAATAAGCTTCCCAGGCCTTTTACTTACCCCCTGCCCCCAAAAACTGATCAGGCAGAGATAGTAGTAGTTTACAAAAATTAAGGTAAAATAAAATGATAATAAAAGCATTACAATTATTCTCCTAAATAATCAAGCCTGGTGAAAAAGCAGGTTTACCTAGCATCTGAAAGAGCACAAAGTTGGGCTGAGATGCAGCTCAGTGGGGAAGTCATTCCATAGATGCAGAGCCACCACCAAAAAGGCTCTTCAGTGGGCCCCGGCACTGCACACCTCATTTAATGCAGGAACCACCAGAACAGCCTCTTTCACTGACCTTAAATACCTAGGCAGGCTGATATGGAAGAAGGTGTTTGCTCAGATATTTGGAACCCAGGATTCTAAATGTCAACCTAAGCACCTGGACTTAGGCTTGGAAGATAACAGGCAACTGGTGCAGCTGTTTAAGAACAGGAGTTAAATGTGACCAATCTGCTGCTCCCATCAGCACCCTGGCTGTACCTACTGTAGTAGATGGTATCAAAAGCTACTGAGAGGTTAAATGTGTACTCACTTTCATATTGTGGAATCAATTGTGGGGTAGTTCTTAAACTGCACAGTCACCTTGCAGCTTGGCCAGAAGCTAACTGGAAGCAAAACTACTTCTGTTTCAGGAAAACTTGCGGATAGTGAGGCTGAAGGTGATAGCTGGAATTGGCCTGGCCAAGAAGGACCTCCTAGGAACAAGGTAAGCATCCAGTTCTCTCTACAAAGAGGAAGGGAGGAGGAAATCATGTACTGTCCCTTCTGAAAAATCTCTTAAACTTACTTTTTCAGTGCCACTATTAAGTGGAGTGTTAGTCATGCTTGTTCCAGTGCTCCTTGCTCAACCTCCTGATGATTCAAGGTTGTACAAGGAGTAATGAGAAAATGATTTGACTCCTATGTAGGATCCCTTCCAGATTCTACAAGGCATACGAGACTGAATGCAGGAAATTATGTCATGTTCAGTCCACCCCACCCCACCCCCGGCAAGTGTTATAAGAGGTTAGAGAAGGTAACCTGTAGAGATCTGGACTGACCTGAGTTTTGGGAAACCTGGATTCAAATCCCTGTTCTGCCACGAATCTCATTCCAAAGAGAGGCACTTGCTGAGAATTGAAACTTCTGGGGCAATTGTTGTCAATTCTAAAATATACTACTAAATATATTCCTCCTCTTCTCTGCTAGCTTAAGGTCAGCTGCAAAATGGCCACGTATGATTCTCCCCTTATCTCTTGATAGTGAAAAAACAAAACTTTTGGGTGTGTGGGAGAGTATTAGTGACATTTTGGCGTGGATGGATTGACAGAATTTAGCAATACAGACCAAGGTCAGTCTGTCTCTTTAAAGGGGCTGTGATGCCCATATCTCTTGCAGACAAGTAATTCTATTTTAACCGTTTGTGCTTGTATTTTGTACAGTGATCCCTATGTGAAAGTGACAGTATATGATTCAACAAATGGAATCCTTACCAGTGTTCAAACAAAAACTGTTAAAAAGGTTAGACTTTGCACTTTCTTTGCATAATGAATAGGTGCAAAATCAAGCAAGTGACTTGAAAGTAGACATTTACTTGTTTAAGCTCAAATAGGTGTAAGATGCAGTACTGGTAGTTACCAATGCAAAATAGCAGCAGGAAATAGGCAGAACAATATACCCTTGTAAGATGGCCACCTCCAACTTGGTGTGGCACTTGATGGTTCCTTGTGGATTTTTTCAACAGCTACTGCAAACATAGTAACTATGTAAGAGATGTGTTTTTCCTAAATCAGCCCATAAAAACTGTACCAGAGTCTGATAACAACCCATTGCTACTAATCGGACTCCTCCAGAATCTGTCTCTGGGAATCTTTTTAAAATGGGCAGAACAAAACATAATGAACTATGTTGTCTACTTACATTTTAGCCACAGACACATAGATGTTGAGATCTGCCTATAGAAGGCGACTTTCCCACCCGCTCCTCTTCCTGGCACCCTCCTCCCTCAAAAAAACAAAGAGTTTCCTTTCCCGCAAGGGTTGGGAGGTCCTTCTGAATGGATGGGCTCGGAGGGAGAAGGACCAGGTTTCCTCTTATCTTGCTTTAGCAGCTCAGCCCGCCTCACTCAGCAGGAGCCTTTGGGATGTACTTGTGGATAGAGAAGAGAGTGGGAGCTCCTCCTCCTGCCCACCCTGTTCCCTGGCCAGTTCTCTTGGTTGTTTGATGCTGTTTTCTAATCTGCCATTTGCAGATGCAGTTGATATCCTCTGGAGTTGCTGATTTGTAAATGCACATCTCCTAGTACTGAAAAATTGTACTTGCAACTTTGGAATGGGTCTGTGCCAAATACGATACTGGGGAAACTGAATGGCAGAGAATAAATACATTTATAAACCCCCAAGGAAGGATGGACTCCTCTGGAACCACGGCATTCTTTCCAAGTTCTTTTCCTTGCAAGGGTCAAAGGATATAGGTGCGGTTGGCCAGCCTTCCTTCCTGTTTGGTCTGCTCATAGGCATAAAGGTTAGCTGACGTTCAGTGCAAAGTTCTCAAATAAGACAGTGTGCATTATTGAAGGGGAATTGTGGAAGTCAGCTATTTTTAGCTCTCAGTCGGCACCTAACTAAGACAGTATGTCAGGTCTGTGTTTAGTGCAGCTCATCAGATCCACAGTTTTGTTCATCTCTTCGAGGCAGATCAGAGTGAATGTGCTTCATGACACTGGGGCGCTTTGAGGGCCAGAGGCTGAAATGAAGCACTCAGGTGTCTGTTGCAGCTATATCAGCTCTCCTTGCAGCTGGGGTGATGCTACTTAGTTCTAAATGTTTATTCCTTGCTGGGGATGCCTTTACATCGGCAACTGCATACTTTGATGCTAATGCTGGTCTCAGGGACGCGGACTTATAAAAAATATTGGGGGGGCCCGGGAAAGCTCATGAATAATAAATAAGCTCATGAATATGCAAATAAAGTGGCGCCGCCTCCTCGTGAGCGAATAGGGGAGAGTGTGCTGCGCCTATTAATCAGCTCCGAAGGAAATTGGGTGGAGCTTTTGCTCGGGAGGGAGGGCAGGAGGCATGCATGCAGCCCGACCCTGTGCATTTTGGGCTGGGGGAGGGGCGGCGCTGGCGCTCTGCTGGAGGGGCGCCGGAGATTATTGGGGGGGCGGAGCCCCCCCAAACGAATTTTTGAGGGGGCTCGGGCCCCCTCAAGCCCCATGGAGTCGGCGCCTATGGCTGGTCTATATTTCTAGTAGCAGAGCCATCAAAGACCTTTGCCTGAGATCGTGGGAAATTATTGTCAGGTAGACCAACCCGATGCCCTTCAGATATTGGGGGCTACAAATCCAAAAGTCAGATCGCATGTTTGGGAGGGAACCAACTGTCCCAAATGGCTGATGGCATCCAAAACATTTGGAGGGGTACCAGGTTGGCAGAGGCAGAGCTAGGTAGGTATTTCTGGCCTATAAGGGCCAAGTGAGAAAAGGTAGCTGCGTATTTCTTGTACTAATTTACTCTTTCTTTACTTGCAGACGTTGAATCCAAAGTGGAATGAAGAGTTTTATTTTAGAGTAAGTGAACCTTGTTGCATGTTGAAGTGATGACTGAGCATTGTAATCCAGCATAAGTCTGTTGTGATTAATGCCCTTTAAAGTTACGTGGTGTAACAGAAAGCAACGTTGTACTTTCTAAAGGTCCTTTCCTACCAAGCCAATTCACCAGAAGTTAACTGTTTCTCCTAGGTCAATCCTCAGAAGCACAGATTCCTCTTTGAAGTGTTCGATGAAAACCGTTTGGTAGGTGGACTTTTTGTTGTTTGGGAACAAAATCGGAATCCTGTACATTTTCTTGTGATGTATTTTGGATTTGTTGGCAACTGTGGCACTGTGACATGCAAGCCAATCCCTGCGCTCTTAGGGTTATTTACAATTTTTTGAAATGTTCCACATTCCACTACTTGTTGTAGACTCCCTAGTTGTCCAAACTCTTTCAGATCTGTGGTGTGGCCTGGTAGCCAGATTTAAAAGGAGAAGGGAGCTTTAATGGGGAATTGATACTGTACTGGTGAAGGCAACACTGGAACTGATTTCATGGAAAGATACATGTATTGTGTGATGCTCTGAACAAGGAACCTCTGGGCAGCTGAGAGTACTAGAGAAGCAGTGGGCAACCTGTGACCCTCCAGATGTTGTAGAGTTGGAAGGGACTCTGAGGGTTATTTAGTCCAACCCCCTGCAATGCAGAAATCCTGCCCACAGCCATCCCTGGGTGGGCTTGAACCACCAGCCTTCTGGTTAACAGCCAGACACACTGACCCATGCTGTTGGTCTCCCATCAATCTGACTCCCTCAGCCAACATAGCCAGTGGCCAAGGATGAGTTGTGGCCCTCCATCCATGTTCTAGGAGAAAACAGAGACCTAATAAGACCTTGTTAGTGGAAACTGTCACAACCAGCTTGCTTCTGTTGCTTTTTCCACTTGGCATGCTCTATTCTTTTCACTCACAAGACCCAGCTAAGAATTAAATTGGCTCTAGCACAGGATTTTTGAAAACTGTTTCTCTTCCTCATAGAGTATGTAAAATGCTGGCTTTAATGGAAAACTCCCTGAAAATGTAGTAAAGGTTAAATAAATACCTAGCAGAAAATATTCAGTCATGTGATTTACACAGGAATAAATGGTGCAGTGTTCTCTGCTGCCTGCAGTTTAATTCTGTGTTGCTGTGGTGGGATTCAGAAATGTGTAGTGTGTAACTTCTGGGTGTTTAAAGATGTCTGTAACTGGATGAATGTTTGCTGGCTAGCATAGATGTTGGAGCAGTGCATTTTCCTCAAAGTGCCACTAGGTGCCAGGAAAGAATCTGACTTAGGAGCAGCGGTGGCAGCAGCACAAAAGAGAAAAGGCAAGACGTAAATGACAGTCATGAAAGTTAACATTTCAAGCAGATCTCCGATATACTCCCATTTGATTTCTACCACTGTGAATGTGCTCTTAATAGAGGAACTGCTTGTTTTGGTGGTGGTACAGCAGAAATGGTATTGAATACCTTGGTTTCATAAGCAGCTAGGAGAAATGTTTGGTTTGGTTCCAGACCATAATGTGGGAATACTGAAATTTGTTTTCAACAGATTTCTAAATGGAACTCTTATTACAATTATATCTGTCTACGTAGGGAATGTTTTTCCACACCTTGTATAAAAAATATCTGTTTCTCTCAGAGCTCAAGCACCAGCTAATTGTAAAAACAGTCTGCAAATTTTAAGCTATAAAAGTATGGGCAGAGTGTAAAAAAAAATAGTGCTAGCCTTTCCAAAATATGCTGGTTTCTTGGGGACCCACCCATGGTTTTTCAGTCTGTTCAGTCGCTTCTCATCATTAAGCCCGCCCACCTCTTCAAAAATGAAAGGGCTGTTTTTCTCAGTATCTGCCTTTAAATTAAATGTATGCAGTAAGAACTTCTCTCAAACTGAAGTTCCTTGCTACTTTATGCAGGGCATACTCTTATCCAGTTACTAGCACTATTGATCTTTCAACAGTGAATCCTAGATTTGATAATTATGTGGAACTTGGTTCCTACCAACTTCCTGTAACTCTACACCGCTGGGTAAAAATATTAGTGGTCATACACTGCTAAAGAAAGCACAGACCCAGATTCAGCCAGGGCAGCCGGGGGAATCTGTAGGAAGAACTGCTGTTGAATTAATTTGCCATGGAAGGGTAGAATTCAGACAAGGCTTCCAGTGTTGGTCCACTGCAGCTGAGTTGAGCTTTAAAGGTCGCTTGGCACTAAGTGTTTTGTCAGTGAATGTGCTCTTCACAACAAGCAACCCTGGGCAGGCCAGAGACGGTAGTGTGGCAGGAATGACTTGCTAAATTCAGAAGGCACTCTGGCTAACAGCTACCTGCATTTCCGTGGTCTTCATCTGTTATACTGAAGATTAACTGGCAAGTGATTGCGGGCAGCTGCCTTCCACTTAAGAAGAAGAAGAAAAAACTCTCTGACCTTTATCTTTGGAAATGAGGACAAATGGCAAGGCAGTTGAGGCTGCATTTTGCAGCTGAAAGGAGTCACACGGATCCGTTATTAGAGACCCTTGGAGATGGCTGGTATAAAGAAGATACTCGCATGTACACCCAAAGTCCTGAGTCGAACGCTGCCCCTTACGTTGTTGAAATGAAGCGGAATCCCAATCAAATGCAGGAAGAAAACAAACTGCCAGTTTCGTCCCGAAAACCCAAGCGGAGCGCTTCGCTGAAGATTTCCTTGCAGACTTCTAGAGGCAGTGGATGTTTGCAGCCCGTGGCCTTGGAAGACCATACTTCCCTGGTCAGCCTAAGGAAGAAAGGGGACTGTTGTAACAGGAATGCGACTGTCAGTCAGTCTCACCAGCTAACAAATGGCAGCGGTCTGGCTGATACTGCAGCGTTTGGTGGGGTTCCCAGCAGTTTCTCAGCCAGTGACAAAGGAGCCTACAGCAGCGCAGGGAGTGACTATGGGTCGTGCACAAGTACCACAAGTGATGGCGGGTCCTATAGCAGTAGCATCATCAGTGACAGCAGTAGCTGCCCCCTTTCTGCTGGAGATGCCTGTCTTTTTTCTGGTAACATGGTCTCTGGCAGCTCTGCAGGTCGAAGCACCAACCCCAAATCCTCTGCTCCCCACAGGAGCAGCACTGCGCAGAATAGTGTAAGCAGAAATATTTTTGACCAAGAAGACCCAGAGCAAGCTGTGAGGGCAACAAAACTGCCATCAGCGAGAGAGAGAAATGTTTCCTTACGACGCTGCTCATCTCTGGTCATTTTCCCAAGGAGTCCTTCAGATACGCCGCCAATGTCTCCAACGTCTCCTCCGCCAACTCGGCGGCCCTCTCAAGTGTCTCATAGTGAGCAGGTGCAAAGTGAAGACAAGGCCGTGTCCGGGGGGTCCCTCTCTACTGTAGTCAATGGATTTCGGCTTTCTAAAGGTTCTTGTTTTCCTAATGAAAGTAGGGATGTTAGGCAACTGCATTTGAATAGCTCACTGTGGGAGAGAACTTGCGGTGAGCAAGGCACCTGTGAGGAAATACCAAATGGAGGTTCTTGTATTTCATTTCACCTCTCCCATGGAGCACGAGCACCGAAGGGAGACACCGTGTCCTCTTCCAGCGGATCCTCCATAGCAGCCTACCCTAATCGAAGAGTCAGACATACGGCATCTGCCTGTTTGCCCTCGAATTTGGAGGATCATGCTAGCATAGGAACTGAAGAAAGATCATCTGCGTGGAGAAGCAAGCCCCATCATGGCCTACAGAGGAGCCTCTCACTGGGATCGTCCCAGCCTTCATTTCTATCTAGTTTTAAATACAGTTCCAAAGCAGGAACGTCACATTTACACATACAGTTTGGATCCGAGAGAGAGGGCAAGCCTAGTGGAGTTCAAAGGAGTACTTTGAGGAAACCTCTTGAGGTGAGTCCCTAGCTCCAAAAAGAGCGACCTCTTGCATGTGATGCTTTTTATTTACACTAAAATGGGGTTAAACGTCTGTGGAACATATTTTAAAGCTCTTTTATTGTATTATAATTAATAGATTATATTAATTAATTAATTAATTAAGTGGCTGGGGAGGCCCAGCCAGATGGGCGGGGTATAAATAATAAATTATTATTATTATATAGATCACTACAGTGAAACACACGTGTGTTTAAAATTGGCAATCTGGTTTTAGCTGTATGTTGTTTACTGGTTTTGCGGTGACTTAGTGTAGTTAGGTTTCCTTTCCATGACTGTTGCTACTCTCTGTACCTAAAAAGTTTAAACTGATTTCCACTATCAGTTTTATACTAAGCCATCAGACCTCAAGGGAGCACATAGCATGTTATATTCTGCTCATCAATTTTCATTTCACTTTAAAACTCTAACAAGTTACACATATTTAACAGAAAGGGGGAAGCAAGGTGCTTGTTACTTAACTGAATTTTAGTGGGTTTTGTTTCATATTTATGTTTTAAAAATAGCTGTCTCAGGAAAAGATAGGGCTGAATGTCAGAAGATATAAATATTTTAAAAAACAATTTAGCAACCTTCGGCCTAGAAGTGTACTCTGGATCAGAAAAGGGGCATAACTCCCTCCCGCTTCCACAAATTGCTATTTTAGTAATGCTACTTGCTGAATGAACTGTGAGCTTTGCAGACCAGTGTGGCATGAGAGGCGGGAAATGCCCAATCGATCAGCAGCACATTCTTTTAGCAGCTGGTTGTTAAGGAGTTCTCATATAGCACTAATTGTGCAATCACAGCAGAAGAGATTGTTGGCTTCAATTCATATAATTCTGGAAATTAATTTCAGGGCAAACAATTTTTTTCCTGAGACTCTAATCTTGTATAAATAGCAGCTGTGAAAACATTTTAAGATAATTTGTTAGGATGTCTTGCTGCTGTGATAGTAGTTCATCTAGAGACAAATTTAAAATCTGACATGAAATGCAGAGCATTAGTAACAGTAGTCAAATATGGTTTTGATGCCAGGCTAACTGTGTTTCAACAAGAGCCCGTGCACTTATGCAAAATATATCCATACTTGCATAAAGACTGCTTGGATCTGGGTCTCAAGTCAAATTAACTGGGCAATATGAAAAGAACCCTTTAATGCAGTGATTCCCAAACTTGGGTCTCCAGCTGTTTTTGGACTACAACTCCCAGCATCCCTAGCTAGCAAGACCAGTGGTCATGGATGATGGAAACCGTAGACTGAAAACAGTTGGAGACCCAAGTTTGGGAAGCACTGCTTTAATGCTTATGGGGGATGGAGCCTGCGGCCCTTCAGAAGTTGGTCATCTGTAACTCCCATCATCTGCCCTCACCAGGGGCCACGCAGGCTGCTGGGAGTTAGAGTTCATCAACATCTGGAGGGCCACATGTTCCCTACTCTTAAATTTGGGTAGCCAAAAAAGAAATTCGAAACAGTGCTGTATGACCACATTCTTATTAAGTTGCAGCTGAAGGACTTCTGTGTTAAATAAGCACTGTTGGAAAAGTAGCCTTCCCAAACAATTTTGTTAAATATAAGTGTCGTCTCTAATTATAGTTCTGTATTGTGATTCATTTTAAAATTAACAGTCCTGAAAATACTTCCTTGACTCCAGTTAGTCTGGCCTAGTATAACGATATGCTGAGTCTCATTTCCAATTTAACAGGATGATATTGGAGTCACATTTAGTAATGTCAGCTATCTGTGCCGAGTGTCATGAAATTAAATTTGTGCTTGGGTTTCAGACTTCAATGTCTGCAGCAGCAAAAGGCCTCTTGCCTGCCTGCTCTGTAGGTCTCCTTGCTGAGAGTTAAGCTTCCCTTTCTCCATATTCCACAGCATTTTTGTAAGGTTTCTGTGCAGTACTTGGTGAGAAGCGTTGTTTGGCTGTCGGGTCCTGGAGCTTTGACTTGAAAAGTTTGGGACAGGGAGCAAGCCACACGTGAAGGATACAGCTAGAATTTTGCCAGGTGGAGAGGAGAATGGGAAGGGGTTTTTTTGTGCAGGGTGTGTATGTGATAGTTTCCACCTTAAGACATACACACACCGTTTGCCAGTAATGTCCTTGTCTTGGCCTGTTGCTGGTATCACATGCTGCAAGAACCCTGGGGAGCAGAGGAGAACGCTGGGAACAGCTGGCCCATATCAAACTGATTGGTCCACAATTTTATAAAAGATACATTAACAAGACACAGCAAGTCACCCCAGCAGGGGACACCAAAAGGAAGGCACCAAAGAAAATTGTCCCTTTGGGTTGAGTTACTCCTATGGGCAGCAGTGAGGTCATAGACCTCACATTCTGAGATATATTTTTTTTGAGAGGTTGGGTAACTCTTGAGTGAGAAACAGGCGTAAGGGAGTGTGTGGGGTGAGTTTTCAACTTAGCCTCTCAGGGAGAGGAGGAGTGCTGGGGGTGGGGGAACAGCTGCTTTGGTGAGAGCTTAGATCAGCTGTTCCCGGTTACACACTTGGATAACGGGGAATTTGTGATGTGAGCACAGGATGAGTGTGGTGGGATGTGTTGGAATACGCATGCTGGGGTGACATGGGGGGGAATCGGTATCCTATAACAAGTTATTTCTGGGAGGGAAGATATGTTATGGCAAACAGAAAAATAGAGGGGGAAGGTGGCACCAGACCTTTGGCTCTACTGACCCCATTTTGCAGATAACTGGTCATTTGGCTACTGAGGCTTCTAGCCCGGTGCTGCTGTTGATCAATGCCAGGTCAGTATATAAGAAGACCACCTTTATCTATGATTTAATATTACCAGTGAGGGGACTGACTTGTGTAACCAAGAACAGGGTGGGTGAATTGGGTAGAGTGACTCCTACTCAACTCCCCGCCACCCCCCAGATCAGTTCAGCACCAGTCAAGACTGGCAGGCTGGCATGCAGGCAGTTGTTGTAGTCCATAAGACATTTGATAACTAGAAAAGCCCCTGGGCTGTAAGGTCCTGTACCTGTTAGGCTTGTCGTTGAGCATGCTGCTGAAAGGGCCTAAACTTGCTCTGTGCCCCTATGTGACCCTGAATCAGTTTCTTCGGAATCTTTGTCCCCAACCATCTTGTCAAATGCCATCGTATTTGCATGTCCCAGAAGGCTAGCAGTTATACAGGCTGTTAGTGTCAATGCTACAAAATCTAGATGTTTCATCCGGCCTTTGCAGATGTTAGTAAATACTCTGTGGTAAGGAGGTCCAGCTCCAAACAGATAAGTATCTTGCAGGATTGGTCTCTTTGGAATGTTGATGGCGAAGATTGTGCATCAAGCTCAATACAAGCTTACAGAGTCGCCTGAGTGAGCATTACCCCTCATAAAGGTGGGTTGAAGTGTGGGTGGGTGATACACACTCCAGAAATTGGAGTAAAATTAATTGCAGTTTGCTTTCTTACAAGACATTGCTTCTAAGCTCATCTCAAGCAAAGCATTATTGCATTTAATGAAATAGAAGGAAGTGGCCTTGTTCTAATGTTTGTTCCATGTGTGGGGCAAGTGCTGTGTGAGGGCGACATTGCAACACATGGGAACTGTACTGTGTTTGTTTCCAGGTTTGGGATATGGGCATAGCTGTCAACTTTTCCCTTTTCTTGCGAGGAATCCTATTCGGGATAAGGGAATTTCCCTTAAAAAAAGGGAAAAGTTGACAGCTATGGGTATGGGTGATGCTTTACCTGATAAGAGCCTTGACTCAGTTTGGAGTGTGTCTTGGTCCTTCTTTCCCATTGTGACTCATAGAATCGTAGATTCCGGCTGTTTTAAGCTTAGGCCAAACCTGTATCTTCCTGAAGTTTGCAAAGAAAACATGCATTGCCAGTTAAACATGAAGCCGCCTTTTTGATGTTTGGACATTAAGTCCAATATATAATGCAGTGAAACTGAGATGGTAAGAAGAATATTTTGAGGTCCTGTCTTGCCAGTCTTTCCCCACCTCCAGTGTTGTGGACTGGTGTCCCCAAACTAAGGTTAAACAAAACAAGGTGTGATATATTCTTGGTATGTTTTAGTAAACTGTTGATAGGCAGGCCCTGTAACTTACTTCAGCAGCACAACTCTGATTTTCTGGTAATACTAAAGCTGATGTTTGGCTTTGTGTAATACATTTCAACAGTGTGACGCGGCAGCTAAAAAAGCCAATGCAGTTCTGGGCTGCATCAATAGGAGTATAGCATCTAGATCAAGGGAAGTAATAGTGCCACTGTATTCTGCTCTGGTCAGACCTCACCTGGTGTACTGTGTCCAGTTCTGGGCACCACAGTTCAAGAAGGACACTGACAAACTGGAACGTGTCCAGAGGAGGGCAACCAAAATGGTCAAAGGCCTGGAATCGATGCCTTATGAGGAACGGCTAAGGGAGCTGGGCATGTTTAGCCTGGAGAAGAGGAGGTTAAGGGGTGATATGATAGCCATGTTCAAATATATAAAAGGATGTCATATAGAGGAGGGAGAAAGGTTGTTTTCTGCTGCTCCAGAGAAGCGGACACGGAGCAATGGATCCAAACTACAAGATTCCACCTAAACATTAGGAAGAACTTCCTGACAGTAAGAGCTGTTCGACAGTGGAATTTGCTGCCAAGGAGTGTGGTGGAGTCTCCTCCTTTGGAGGTCTTTAAGCAGAGGCTTGACAACCATATGTCAGGAGTGCTCTGATGGTGTTTCCTGCTTGGCAGGGGGTTGGACTCGATGGCCCTTGTGGTCTATTCCAACTCTATGATTCTATGATTTTTTTACAAATAACTTCCATTTTCAAGTCATGCAAATTATTGCATTCTATTTCTTCACAATGATCTTTCTAGGACTGACTTGCAAGTAAATATGACTAGGTTTCGCCTGTTACTTATCCGTTGCCTTTACTGTTATCATTCTGTAACCTTCTGGACCTTGGCTCAGGGTCTTGAGAGCCTTGTGCCCCCTTAATTCCTGTCACCTGTATCCTCCCAGGTGCTTCTGAAAACTTGTACTTGATTGAGAAGAACCTGTGAAGTTGCATAAAGTTATTGGTGTCCCTGCACAAATGTTTATCCAGTGTCCTGACTCTGAGGGGATGAATTTCCTCTGCAGGGTGTCTAATTTAAACCAAAGCCTCCTTGGCATGTGGACATCTTTTTCTTCTGGAGTACATCCAGTGATATATCAAGAACTCTTTGCTTCCTATCCTCTGCAAGGATTAACTGTATTCTTTACCAAAAGGAAGCCTAGCACGTACCTAGCACAATTACTCACAAACTGTTCCTGGTATTTCTGTGCTCACTGCAAGAGTGTGTGTTTTTGTACAAACTTCAGCATGCATCTGACTGGCCTGAAAAAAATTATCTCATATTATTTGTAGCTGCCAAAATGAAATAAGAACTGAAGCAAATTATGAAATATGGGAGGAACTTGAAGTGGTGCCGGGGGGGGGGGGGAGAGGAGACTGAAGTGGTAGAGAAGTTCTCAGACCTTGCTACAGACAAGAAAGCTGTTTAACTCTTCAAGACAAGCATAGTCAAGTGTCTGACCTTGTCCATGGAAAGCAGAAGTTCCCTTGGAAACACAGCCACTAAGAATCCGTAGCATAAGGGGGGGAAGTGTATCCTGGGATGCATTTTGTGTTTCCCTCTAGAGGTCTTATGTTTTGAGCCCCATTAAAACAGCATTAGATTCCAGTATAAAAGATGGGGCACTAGACATCTGTATAGATTCTAAATAATTTTTAATAACCTTGGGCTATTAAATAGAGAGTATGAGAAGCAGAAGCTCCAGCTTTCCCCAAGGTGGACAAGTGACAAGTATTTCGCAATGCAGTCTTATTGTGTGTGTATATATCTGAGGACCAGGATACCCAAATCACTATCTCGCCCAACTAGTCCCTGATCATGGGTTAAGAAAGGTAAACTTGTTTGTATCTCTAACAGTTTTGAGATATGCCATTGGGCACATTCATCTTTTAGTTGGGTCAGCTCTGAAATGTTAAAAAAGAAAAATGCTATTTGGACCCAGGCAATAAAAGCAAAATGTGAGTACAGTGGTACCTTGGGTTACAAACACCTCAGGTTACAAACACTTCGGGTTACAGACTCCGCTAACCCAGAAGTAGTACCTCAGGTTAAGAACTTTACCTCAGGATGAGAACAGAAATTGTGCGGCGGCGGCGGCACAGTGGCAGCAGAAGGCCCCATTAGCTAAAGTGGTACCTCAGATTAAGAACGGTTTCAGGTTAAGAACGGACCTCCAGAATGAATTAAGTTCTTAACCAGAGGTACCACTGTATCTTGCCTGTAGACTGACTAACTGACTGATCTGAGGATGTTTGTCAACCAGAATTCATCCTGCTTTGCCCTGTCATAAATTCAGCTGCTAGAGTTTTAACTGAGACTCAGAAAGCAGATCATATGACTAATCTTACTTCATCTCCACCGACTACCCATTCAAGCTGCCGGTGTTAGCATTTGAAAGTCCTTAAGGGCCCCATCAGAATTGCCTTCTGCTACATGAACCTGTCTGACCTGCTGTGTCCCATCTATGTTTGAGGCAGGCTAGTAAGTATCGGAGACGAGGCCTTCTCTGTGGTGGCACCTAGATTTGGAGAGCTGTCCTTGGGAAGCTCGTTCCTTCCTTGCTTTCACGTGGACAATTAGGACATGCTTGTTACAGCTTGTTTCAGCTTGTTTTCAATCTCTTGTTGGCTTCGTTTTACTTTTGTATGACTTACTGATACTATCTTTTCCTCAGTTGTGATGTTTTAATGTGAACTGTTGATTCGTTTTAAAGCTGTGTTTTATCACTGAATGTTTTAATAAACTGGTTGTTAGCTTTTTGGGGTGTTGCATAGGAAAGTGGGATAGATATATGTTGAAGGAAATATTGGGGAAACAGCAGAGAATAAAAAATGGATCCTGTTTCTGAACTTGGGCAGCAGCAAGTTGATAGACAGTAACTCTAAACCCTCAAAAAAGGAGACTTGTGAAGGAAGATGCATTGCATGTTTTTGAGTAAATCAGAACAAAATGTCTATTTATAAACTTTCTTCCATTATTCTTGGTGGCTGATGCCTTTGTTCTCTGTGTGGACCTGCCTCGAGAACACACAACACATTTTGGGGGGTGGGGGGCTTTTGCTCAGACAGAACCTTTTCTTAAAAGTTGCATGCCATTAATTTTTTTCTCTCTTCCTAGACCAGAGATGACTTTCTTGGCCAAGTAGATGTCCCTCTCTGTCAACTGCCGGTTTGTATTTGTTTAAAAATAATCTTTTGCTCTTCAGTTCAAAATTCCTCTGTGTCTTTTTAGTACCTTTTTGTCTATTTTTTGAAGGGAGAGAGATTGTCCTAGGTAGGTGGTACCTTTGAGCATTTGCAGCAGCAGGTAAACTGAACTTGATTACCCTGTGTAACCTGTCTGTGCCCTGTCTCGCCAGAGAGGTACATGCTCTGGTTATCTCCCTCTTGGACCACTGTCCCGACAGATGGGATATCTTAAAAAATGGCTCAGCTCCTGGATTCAAAAGTAGTGAGGAAGACATGACATCCCTACTTAAAAAGTGTGAGGGCTACAGAAGGCAGATATCTTAAAGAGAGACACCTCTGGCAAGGTGGAGCTGTGGCTCAACGTCTTTGCCATTGTGATGAGCATGGAGTGTTGCTGCTGTAAAACAGGATGTTCTTTGTAGAAGTGAACACTGCATAAATTCTTTTCTCTTTTTTTTTTATAAATATTTTTATTACATTTTCAAATACAAAGTCAGAAATATAAAAACATAAAAGAAAAGAAAAGAAACAAAGAAAGTAGAAAGAGAGAATCCAACTTTCAAAAACATTTTTACATTACCAACTGGACTTCCCCACATCTCCCTCACCCTGCGTTCTTTACAAAAAACATATCAGCAAATTATTACCTTGTTTCATACCTTACTTGTATCTTTCAAATATTATACTTCTAGATTTAAAGTATTTTTTATCAATTACTTATACCTTACGATAAACATAGTATAACTTTAAGTTTCAACCTTTTCTTACTTATGACTTAGTTTCCTGTCCACCAAATCTAGTTGCTGAAGCTAGAATTTCCAAATCATGCAAATTCTTAACATTCATACAACTTATAGTGTTTTTGTAAATAGACCTTAAATTTTTTCCAGTCCTCTTCCATTTTTTCTTCTCCCAAATCTCGGATTCTGCCCTGCATAAATTCTTTTCTCAACGGAGGAGAGCATCGGTATTTTTTGCTTGGGTAAAGAAAAACCTGAAACTGTTGTTTCATTTCAGACAGAGAATCCAACTACTGAGAGACCATATACATTTAAGGATTTTCTTCTTCATCCGAGGAGGTCAGTAAACATACCTGGAAAGCACTGAACATCCTGATCTGCACTGTACATTAACATGAACGTGTTCTCTCTCATTATTGGTGGGAGTGACTTTTCTTCAGAAAACTTGTCCTTCTGTTGTCCTGTGGCCAGCCGGGTACCTCTGGGAAACCTACAAGTGCAATAGCAGTCTCGCATCAACTGGTATTCATAGGGAACCACACACCCATCATGAGTAGCACCAATTGATGGCCTTATCCTCCTCCATGGATGTGATTAATCACTTCGTAGAGCTGTACAAGTTTGGTTGCCGCTGCTGCATCCTCTGGCAATGAAATCTAAGCTTAGCTTTGCAGTGTGTGAAGAAGCAGCAGCAATTCCTTTTGTCTGGCCCACATATCCTGTCTAATGAAAGTGATGGGCGAGGAGTTTCAGGACAGACAAAAATAAGGCTTCCTTCACACAGTGCATGGTTAAAATGGACTCCACTGATCCTAGATGGCAGGATGGCCATCAACTTGGACTGCTGTACAAGAGGATTAGACAAATTCATGGAGGAGGGATAAGGCTATGTATCAGAAGCAGTATACCTCTGACTACCTGTTGCTGGGGAGAGTGGGAGAATGCCATTGCACAGGGTTCCTGGTTGTGGGTTTCTCATGAGCATCTGTGAGAGCCGGCCAGGTAGGCCTTTGGTCTGATCCAGTGGTGAGGGCCATCTTCTGGTGGGCTTCCAGCTGCAGCAGTAGGATGAAAGAAATAGGAGGCAGCCTGGGTGGGTAGATGAGGCATGGCTACTAGTCCAGCATGAGCCAGGCACTATTTATAAATGTTTGCAAGTGTTGGCATTTTAACAGGCTCACAAACTTTTACAATCCCCACCCCCTCTGCTGCAGCCATAAATCCAGAGTGAAGGGGCATCTCAGGTTAAAAATGACCTACATACCTAAAAACAATGAATCTGAGGAAGATGGCACAGAACAGGCAGAAGAGCTAGAGGTGAGTGGTTTGGTCTTTGGTGTGAAATGTGGCCTGATCTGGTATGATGAATTCAGCCAGCACATGCGTTTCAGGTGACTTTAGTCATCAGAATGAATTCAGCCTCTGGCCACGTTGAGAAGGGGTCTCTACTGAGTGTGTGCCACAAGATTAGCACCCGCTGAAATTGGATCAGTAGCAGTTCTTGAATAGGGGTTTCCAAACTTCATTCAGATGGTCCGTGGCATGCCTGTGGATTTGCAGCTGAAGGTGGGAGGCAGTTCATCCATTGTGTTAAATATTTATATTGATTTCTGATTGTATTTTTATTGCCTCTTTTATCTATTATGTCACATTCTACAAAATACAATATGTAAAAAATAAAAGAAGCAATAAAAATATAATTTATAAACCATGGAGCATCCATGCTTCTATGAGATTTTGAATTGAGGGGGAAATGAGTGAGTTGAGGTATCTGAGTGGCAGACCCCATCACAACACCAGAGTTGTTATACGCCTCATATAACACCCATGTATTTTTATCAGCAATCCTTCATATAATATGATAATTCATTGTCAGTATCTCATTCAAAACAATTAGGATCCACCTGACTTCAGTGATGGATCAGAATGTTTGGTGTTTTCACCCCTACAGTAGAAGCATTATAAGAAGATAGACTTTTCTGGTGTCTGTATCTGGTTGGAAGGCATGAGGAATGCTGCATGATGGGAACATGGCCTGTCTTGAGTGCTTGGCTGTATGTGCAGAGGCAAGATTCAGGCAGCCATTGCAGTGTTCATGCCATTGTTCATATGGCATTCTTAGCCGCCCTTCAACATAAGGTCCTGGGCAAGTTACAACCACATAAACATACAAGATTCAAATAAATTAATGCCATCTGCTCTTGTTGTTTGCAGCCTGGCTGGATTTTATTGGACCAACCTGATGCTTCTTGCCAGTTGCGGGAGCCAGAGTCTTCTCTACCTGCAGGCTGGGAAGAGAGGCAGGATGTCCTTGGCAGGACCTACTTTGTCAACCATGAATCGAGAAGGACACAGTGGAAAAGACCAACCGCTCAGTAAGTCTTACTGCCGTCTTAATTCAAAATAATAGGGATATTACTAAATGCATGTTACTAGAGAAGGCTTGTCTGTGGGAGGTGCTTAGGACTTCTAATCTGTGGATCTGATTCAAAATACTTTTCTGAGATGGCTGTTAAGCAAGAACATTTCTTGATTTCCATTTTAAAAGGGGAAACCCCCACAATTTTAAATGAAACAAATTGGTTTTGCATTTTATAGCTACCGTATTTTTCGCCCTATAGGACGCACTTTCCCCCCTCCAAAAATGGAGGGGAAGTGTGTGTGCGTCCTATGGGGCGAATGCAGGCTTTTGCTGAAGCTTGGAGAGCGAGAGGGGTCGGTGCACACTGACCCCTCTCTCTCTCCAGGCTTCAGGAAGCTATTCATAAGCCTGGGGAGCCCGCGGGAGTTCCCACAGGGCTCCCTAGGCTGTGGATAGCAGCCTGCTGCACGGAGCGCAGAGCACCCCGCCCTTTGGGAAGCTATCTGCAGCCTGGGGAGCCCTGCGGGAGTTCCCGCGGCTGGGGGCAGGGAATAAAAATGTTTTTCTTTATTCCCCCCCCCAAAAAAAAACCTAGGTGCGTCCTATGGGCTGGTGTGTCCTATAGGGCGAAAAATACGGTACTTTCTTTGACTAGTCATGCACCATTTGTGCTTCTGTGTAGAGGGCCGACGAGCCCATTGCTCTTCCGCTGTAAACTGCAGGCAAAACTGCAAGTAATTTCCCAGATTATTGGGAATGTTGTAGCACTTTGACCCCTGTGAATATTGCATTGTGTTCTGTTGACACTAGTAGGCATGACATAGCTGTGTGTGCAAAGGCCCAATTATTTCCCACATCAGTCTTTTTAAAAAATTATTTACTTGTTCTATAGTGCTGTTTATTTCACCAGTATTTCACAATGGTCCTCTGAATCGGTGGGGGTGCTTGACTCTTATTTCCCCAGAAGTCAGCACCAGTAGGCTTCTTTTACAGCTTTGCAATACCCCTTAACGCCTCTTCCTCTTCAGCTGCATCCAGAAAGGAAGGAAGGAGCCAGTGTGGGTCATTGCCCATCTTGCAGCACTGGAGGAAACACAAAGCGGTCAGCGGGCCTAGAAACTGGGCAGGAGGTGGCATAGGATTATGTCCAAGGAAGAAGCAGGCAGCAGGAATAGAAGCGCAGGCAGAATAGGAAGGAAAGGAAAGATCATGAGAAAAAGCCTTTAGCTGCCTTTTTCAGATGGATTGCACTTCTTCTGTCTCACAGTATATTAGAGATGCATATACTTGTAGCGGCAACAGGATAAAAAAAAAATGGGCTGTCTCAAGTCTCCACTGCTTTCTTCACAAATCACAGGGGCCCTTGTGTCTCCCTCCTGAGCTGTAGCAGGGTAGCAGTTCCCAGATGCTAGGTAGGAAGGGTAAGCACCTCAAGCCCCAACTCTGCAGGTGAACAACCGAAGCCTTCCAAGACTCTTCCTGCTCTTCCTTTGGAAGGAAGGTAGTGACTGGGGAGCAGGAACTCCTAAGATGGTCACTTTTTATAGACAGTAAGGTCTCCTTTTTATCATCTTCGATATCAGCCAGGCCTATTTGGTGGGAGTTGAGAATGAAGCTAGGTTTATTAAATTTGCTTATAGGTAAAGGTACCCCTGCCCGTACGGGCCAGTCTTGACAGACTCTAGGGTTGTGCGCCCATCTCACTTAAGAGGCCGGGGGCCAGCGCTGTCCGCAGACACTGTCCGGGTCACGTGGCCAGCGTGACAAAGCCGCATCTGGCGAGCCAGCGCAGCACACGGAAGCGCCGTTTACCTTCCCGCCAGTAAGCGGTCCCTATTTATCTACTTGCACCCGGGGTGCTTTCGAACTGCTAGGTTGGCAGGCGCTGGGACCGAGCAACGGGAGCGCACCCCGCCGCGGGGATTCGAACCGCCGACCTTTCGATTGGCAAGCCCTAGGCGCTGAGGCTTTTACCAACAGCGCCACCCGCGTCCCCAAAATTTGCTTATAGCTCCCCACTAAAAAACCCTAAAATAAGTTAGAAGCAGTGACGGCGCCAGGCCATTTTGTGCTTTAGGCAAGCAAAATATGCACCCCTCCCAATTTTGGTTGTTGTGCTAACTTCAGTTTTCAAAGACAGATGTCTCAGAGAAATGATAAAATTCTTCAAAATATAAAATACATGTCAAACATTATCATATAATAAAAACTAATCTGTATAAAACCGTGCCCCTCAAAGGTCAGTATTGCGCCCCTCTGAGGTCTGTGCCCTTGGTGGCTGCCTTGTTGGCCTGATGATAGCACTGGCCCCAGTTCCAAACAAGAAAAAAATACAGTAATAAAACTAGAAAAACAGATTAAACCCTTCATCTGGAAGAGACCCGTGTCAGGCCTGAAGTTTGTCATGGTCTCCGGTCATTCAAAACGCTGAAAGCTCTGCCGAATGCCTTACGTTGGTCTGCTTTAAGCTTCTCAGCCAGCTCCAGGATTTAATCTTGTGATCTGCCTGTTCTCCCTGTGAAAGCAAACCTTTCGTTTACATTGTACCTCTTCAAATATTTGAAGCCTCAGAATCCACCCACCTCCCATGTTCCCTTAAACAACATTTTTGTGCAGGGACAACGGACCCGACGCAGAGACTGGCAACATTCAGCTGGAAGTGCAACATGCTTTTGCTCGCCGGCATCAAATATCCGAGGAGGCGGAGAATCTGGACCACAGAGAATCTCCTGAGGTAGGAACCTCACTTTTTATAGCTTTCATAGCACCTCTTTACCCTGACATTTGACACTTGAGATGGATATTTTTAGGGCCCCCTTATTTTTGTAATTGTAAGTTGTTTTAAAGTGTTTTAAATATTGAGTCTTAATGTTATAATCTTGCTTTGGGACCTTAGAATGAAGGTCAGGTAAATCATAATTGTTTTCACCTGTCTGTCTCGAGAGACAGTGGAAGAGTATGTCAAACCGTTGGAGTTCCAGCACCAGCTGTGGCTGCAGAGACCGATTTGGGAGAGACATGTTTTGTTGCAGCTGGGGCAGATGGAGACGTCTGGTTGTGCTGCTGCAGATGCACCATGTTGTTTCTTCTGTCTGTGCTCCTCCCAGCGATCATTCCTCCTCTGGTCACTGCTATGGATAGACCTGACTCTCTGTCTCCAGGCGCTGTGGTCATCTGTGAGGGATTCCCACACAGCGGGATAAAATGATGGTGATGATGATAGTGACATTAAAATTCTGATGAAATATTTAACGTTTCTTAGAGTTGGGAGATCATCACAGAAGATGAAGCAACTATGTACAGCAACCAGACTCCCCAAGTCACTGTGCAACACAATTCTGAGGCAGAGAACAGCCTTACAGAAGAACTGAGCACAGAGCTTACCACCTCTGGGAGTTCCACTGCTGCCCAAGCAGCTTCCTGCACTGTAAGCATGATGATAAATCAAACATTGCATGCTTTAAGCAGCAGGGTCTGCCCCTGAAGAGGCTCTGTATCACACACCCTCTCCCAACAGCTAGCTTGTTCAAAGGGTAGCCTAGTTCCATCTCCTGGTTTCTGGTGTATTGGGTAAGCATAGTAGGGTATGCATGTACCAGGGATTGACACCTCTGCATGTGCTCCTCATCACAACAGTAACTGTAGAACTAAAAAGCCTTTTCCCCTCTTGTCCTTCAAGAGTGATTTAAGCAGAAGTAGTAACCCTCAGACGTACCAAGCTGAAGAACAACCAGCTCTTCCTGTTGTAAGTTAAGCTCTGAATTATCCTGCCTGATTGTGACTCTTTTCACTGCATGTGACCAAGTCGCATGTGCTCCGTCCGTGTTACTGCAATCCTTTCACTACGACCTAAAGCATTGGGAGAATATATTGGAATAGTGTTGAAGGGTTTCCTGTGCTGATTCAAGATGACCAAAGAATAGGAAAACAGATAGGAGAGAAGAACTAGTTTGGAGGGTGATTAGCTTAGCAACGTGGTGGTGAACGGAGGGGAACTTGTGCGTTTCAGAACTAACAGGGAAATGAGCAATTAATCTGAAAACAAGTAGAACTCCCTTCAAACAGCACACTGTTGGGGTTTGGAATTCACTCCTAGCTTCCAAAATGGGGCTAGGCAAACTTATGGATGATCAGAATACTGCTGACTGACTGGGATGGCACCTGCAACTTCTTTCTGTTGGTCAAATTTATTGCCAGTGGCTGATGTTGCTTTATATTAGTTTACCACCTCTGGACATGCTCACAGATGGAGTAGGAGACTGCCTAGTCAGTGGTGGAGGTTGACTGTATTGATAACTGTATTGATAACTTGCTTCCTAAAAGATTTAAATCTTTGTTCTGTGATGTGTCTGAGCCCTGAAAAAAACACACCACAAGTAGCCTTTGCCAGCTAATTCTATCTTCTTTTAGTTACTGCCTACTTCATCTGGACTGCCTCCAGGCTGGGAAGTAAGGAAAGATGACAAAGGAAGGCCGTATTATATAGACCACAATTCCCAGACTACCACCTGGAAGAAGCCAGCTGTACAGGTACCTCCCCCCCCCCCACTCCACCCGATAGTCTAGATAGATCTAGAATTAAGATTACTGCATGGGGTTTGGCCAAGTCACTAAAACGTACAGCAATCAATTCTTGCTTATTCAAGCTTTCCTTGCAAGTCTCATTGGATAAGAAAACGTGGACCTTGTAGTCTTTCAGTCTTGTGGAACGCCCAACTCCCATTAGCCCAGCATGGACATTAGCCTGGAATGATGGAAATTGCAGTCTGATCTCTAGAGAGCCACAGGTCCCTTGTCCCTGTTCAGATAAACATTGCAACAAACTCCACCATCCCTGATGGTGTGCATGTCACTACAGAGTTTGCTTGTATCAACATGCATTTGGATGATAGCATTGGAAATGGCATTAAGGAGCTGACAGAGTTTGTCTCATCCTGTTTCCTATTGGGGCACCTTGAAACCAGTGAATCGTGTTTCTTTGAGATCTGTGAAGAATTGGTTGTCATCCTTTTGTTCCATTTGCTCATCCCCTGAGCACAACCTGCCATTTTGTTCCAGCAGCCCAAATGATTCAAGCATGTCTTTTATCCATCCAAGGGTCCCATGCTGAGGGCACTTCAGTACATGCAAGAGTTTACCTGAGCGTCTGTAATTGCAGTGCACACATTGGGCTTAAAAAAAGAAAATACAGGGGTCTTGTGCAATATCTTTACAGTAGTACCTCGCAAGACGAATGCCTCGCAAGACGGAAAACTCGCAAGACGAAAGGGTTTTTGGTTTTTTGAGTTGCTTTGCAAGACGATTTTCCCTATGGGCTTGCTTCGCAAGACGGAAACGTCTTGCAAGTTTGTTTCCTTTTTCTTAAAACCGTTAATACAGTTGCGACTTGACTTCGAGGAGCAACTCATAGCACACGGTGTGGTAGCCTTTTTTGAGGTTTTTGAAGACTTTGGTGATTTTTGAAGCTTTTCCAAAACTTTTCCGAAACCGTGCTTCGCAAGACGAGAAAAATCGCAAGACGAAAAAACTCGAGGAACGAATTAATTTCGTCTTGCGAGGCACCACTGTATCAGAATTTCAGTATAGCTACAGTCTTGCACAAGACCTCTGATTAATTAAGATAAACTAACAAGTAGGAATAGATATTGTCCCCCACATCAAAAGCACAACTGTTGTTGTTGTTGTTGTTATTTTATTAAACCTATTGTCACTCGGAGGTCTCCAAGTGACTTACAGCAATGTATATGCATATTAGATATATATACACACAAAAAACCGTAAGAGGGAGAAAGTGGATGGATCATGTCATACACCAATATATCATCTAACATAACATTTATTTTTTTTAAAACAAAAACAACACACCTGCCATATAAATTACAAACAACATTAACCATACTCAAAAAATAAACAGAGTTTACTGACACCCACTGATTAGTAGATAAACAACCATTTAGTAAACTATAACTGGGGACTTCATCACTCTTGTGCAAACCATATGTGCAAATCAGGAAAATAACACTCTTAAGCCAAACCTCAGCAATAATTGTAAAACATATAATTTGAAATTGCCCCCCATTAAAAACAACCAACCTGTATTCTGTCAATTGTAAAACATGATAACTGAGACTGATAACATTCCCTCTTGTGTAATCCATCTCATAGACTCTGGCTTGAGGCGTTGAGCAAGATCTTCCCTGCTTGCCCGCACATTTCACTCTACTTGCATTCTCAATTTTCCAGCAGATCGGGGTGGATGTGGGTCAGCAGGCCACAGCTCCGCATTCTTCCACCAGACAACCGTTGGCATCAGATGACTCACCGCAGCAGCCTTCGTTCCAGAAACCCCCAGAAGCTGATCTAGGACTTCTTCCGAAAGGCTGGGAAGTTCGTAACGCTCCAAATGGGAGGCCTTTCTTTATTGACCACAATACCAAAACCACAACGTGGGTAGGTAGCTTCTGGATTTGATGCTGCTGTGTATTTTTAATATTGAGGAGACAGAAGGTGGGTGGGGTGAAAGGACAATTCTTTAAAGAGCAATGCAAGGTCCTTACACCAGTGAGAGTGTGTTTGGCTTGCTAATTGACCTTTGCTGAACTGCAGACACTTCCCAGCAATATCACGTGAAAGAGGAGGAATCTGTGACTTTCTCTGAGGAAGGGAAGGCCCGGCTTGTCCCCTTGAAAGGCTCCCTCTGAGCTTGGTTTCCATGTGATCTGCCTCACACAAGGCACTGACTTGCTAGCAGGTCCTGCTGTTAAGCACCTTCCCTTCCTGATTCCTTGCTGGGTTACTTATCCTGCTAGCTGCTTCAGTTATACCCTAGTAGCCATTTATTCGTTTTGATTATAAAAACCAAAAACAGTAAAATAACAAGAAAATCCGCTGGCTGCGAAGAAAACAGAGTTGAGAACAACCATGTTTCCATAAAGCAAAGCTGAGCCAGAGCTATATCTCTCCTCACCACCCGACCCCAATCCAGGAACTGGTCTCAAACCCCAGCATGGCATGTCAGTTTCTCTTTCTGGAGAACATTCTGTCATTACCTGGAGGGAAGCTGCTAACAAAAGGAGCAGTTGCCCCAAGAAAGCAGAATTCGCTTTTGAAAGGAATGGGGAGCAGATAGAGCTACTTAAATCTGTCAGATTTGCTGACTGAAAGCAGCAGTTCTAAGCACATTTTCCAGGGATTAAGTCCCGTTGAACCATGATTTCGCCCATGGAGAGAGGCATGGCTGGATTTCTATGGGGAAATCTTCCTCTCCGTGAAGTGTCACATGGATCCGCTGTTTGAATTCTGCCTCCAGCTGCTTGTGGGGAAAGTAGAGTTCAGTGGCTTCCCTTGTATGGAGGCCTTCCTTTAGCAGCCATCCAGGAGTCTTAAATGTCCGTGGCTAAAACAGTAGCTTAACAGTGTTTTTTTCCCTTGTCGAAGGATGACCCCAGATTGAGAATTCCTGCTCAAGTGAGAAGAAGGACCTCTTTGGACCCTGCAGACCTTAGCCCTTTACCGGTAAGCACCTGCCTCTTGGCTTTTTTAATACTTCACATCCCTCAGATTACCATTAAGCACAAACATTTAAAAGGCTGCTGCTGTTTAAATCTGTGGAACCATGCCAGCACACCCATCATTTAGCATCCTGCCAACGGGTACTTATGGTTTTCTCTCTTTCCTTTAGCCTGGCTGGGAAGAACGAATACATACAGATGGAAGAACATTCTACATAAACCACAGTATGTAGAAGTTATAGCACGACTCTCCCTTATAAGATAATACGACTCTCCCTTATTGCTCAGCCTTATTGCAACTAATACATTTGTGTGCTTGCAGATACCAAGAAAACTCAGTGGGAAGACCCTCGCTTGCAGAATGTCGCAATAGCTGGACCAGTAAGACTCCCTAGATTACTTTTAAAGCAGTTGTAGCAGCTAGCCAAGTATTTGCATCTTCTGTTCACCCCAGGGCACTTTCACCTCGGAAGTTTATAAGTCGGGTGCAGGTTCAATATTTATCCTTCTGAGCAGTCGGCAAACTGTATGGTAGAAATAGGAGGATACAAAATGGTTCAAATGCCTTGGTGCAGTTATTTTGAATGTGAGAAGTGACTGAAATGGGGCCAGGAGTTGAATTAGTGGTGGGAGGCGATGGTGTTGAAGTTCACAGGCAGGAGGTGGGGCAGTGCTTGTGAAGATGAACATCTCCTAGAGCTCAGTGATCTTCATTTGTCTATTGTATGCGGCCTTGGGAAAATTTGGCAAGGTGGCTAGTAAACATTAAGTGAGCTAAAGTAACCCTTCCCCCGGGGCTCTTTGAGCCAGTCCAGCATTCCAGACACCAGCTGGTAATGATGGTTTTGCAAGGGGAGTGCCTTGAAGGGCCCCCTCTCCATTGCTTCTACCAGGAAAATAAAAGGCCTGGGGTGAGGAGAAGTACTTGATTCCTGGCATGGGTTCCTGGTACCATCACTGGGCCTCTAACTTTGGAATTGACTTGGAAATCGTGTGTTTTTCAGATTTTCTTTCTTTCTTTTTTTTTGGAAAAGCTCGTCTAAACTGAGATGGCGGGAGGGGCGGAAGATGGTTTCACCCATCTCTATAGTGACAGTTGGATTTGAGAAGAATTCTTGAGACTCCCCTCGTCACAACTGAGCCATAAGATTGAACCCAGTTTTATGCATCTGAATCCCCGAATCTTCATTTTATGCTTTCATACCGTTTGATTGATTTTGGGTTGTCCTTTTCTTTTAAGGGATTTATATTGTACATAGTGTACACCACTTAGAGACCCTTTGAAACAAGCAGTTTAGAAATGCTTTTAAATAAATAAAGTGCAAGGCTCTCAAATTGGTCTCCAGCCACAGCTCAGTTGCATCCCTGAGATAAGTAAGGTGGAGTGAATTCAGGCCCCTTTTGGCAGGCTCTGTGGAAACTATTTACTAAAGGTGGTATCTGAACCATTTTGGATCCATTGTGGGATCTGTTCTTGTTCATTATTCCCCCCCCCAGACAAAATAGAAAAAGCTAAGGAGGTTTATTAAAGGGGCTGATTTTGTGTTTGTGAGGGATAAGTGATTCAATGCTGGCTTGCAGAAAATGATAATTTTTTGTTGGAATAAATTTATATTAATACAGTGGTACCTTGGTTTACGAACTTAATCCGTTCCAGAAATCTTCTTAAACCAAAGCGTTCTCAAACCAAGGCATGCTTTCCCATAGCAGCGGGGGACTCAATTTACAAATGGAACACACTCAACAGGAAGTGAAACATGTTCTTATTCCAAGGCAAAGTTCACAAACCAAAACACCTACTTCTGGGTTTGCAGCATTCTGAACCCAAGTTGTTCATAAACTAAGCTGTTCTTAAACCAAGGTACCACTGTATTTCTATAAAAAGTGAATTAAAACTTTGGGTAGTACTGTGGACAAGGATTGCAAAACAAGTGTGTGGTATAACTGAAAGATGCTCTAGTTCCCTCCTGAGTGTCCTCCCACCCCAAATTCTGTCACAAAACTGTAATCCCCTGGCCTAAGGCAGAAACTTTCATGCATCAACAAATATTTGCCCCAATAAAATGTGATATTGGATACTTGGATATCTTACATTCTTCTACCCTTCCCTCTTCTTCTTCAAAGGCTGTGCCTTATTCCAGAGACTATAAAAGAAAGTATGAATTCTTCAGAAAGAAGTTAAAAAAGCAAGTAAGTTATGAGTCTAGTAACTTCAAAGTGAATATGTTTCCAGAATGTGTGCTGCTTCTCCAGTCTTCTTCTCTTGCAATGAGTTCAAAGATCAGCAGTGGTTCACCTCCCCCCTCCCCCCTGGGCTATGACAATGTTACATGATGTACCACTGAACAAACCAGTGGAATGACTAGTGTACAGACTACTTTAAATAGTCACTTGGCACAGAAGTACAGTTGCACACGCATGCCCCCCTTGTTACCTATACATAAGAAAAACCCTGCTGGGTCGGACCAAAGGGTACCCAAGGCCCATCAAATCCAGCATCCTGTTCCCACGTTGGCCCATTACGGAATGCCCACAGGCAGGAGCTGAGTGCACCAGCAGCGCTCTCCTCATTTTTGATCCCCAGCAACAGGTATGCTGTCCCTCTTAGTTTTTATTGGTCATGAAGGGCAGGGGTCAAGGGGTCTGGCAGTTCCTCCACTGCGAGATGTGAAGTTACAGGGAACCAGGCAGAGGGTCTTCTCAGAAGTGGCACCCACCCTGTGGAACACCCCCTGCCCACCGTCAGATGTCGAATAGATAAATAACTATATGACTTATAGAAGACATCTGAAGGCTGCCCTGCACAGAGAAGTTTTTAATGGTTGGTGTTTTATTGTGTTTTTTAGATTTTGTTTGGAGCCGTCCAGAGTGGCTGGGGCACCCCAGTTAGATGGGCGGCATATAAAAAAATAAAATAATACTATATAGCACACGTGGTCACCTGTGCCAATCTGAGCACCTTGTCCATGCCCCCAAGCAATACTAACTGAAACTCATCCAAGCCTTATTCTCTGTGAATTCATTTAATCCTGTCACCTGCCCTGTGATCCTCAGATGAAGGGCAATATATAGATTTAATAATAAAAAATACATAGTCTTCTTTCAAAGCCGTCCAAGTTAGTGGCCATCTTGTGGGAGTGAATTCATTAGCTATGTGCTCTATGAAAAAATAACTTTAAAAAAGGTATACTACTTAAGTGTAGTCTTTGTAAGCTTGGAGTATTAACAGTCTAGGCTGATATTTGTTAGGGCACATAACTTCAAATGCTCCGTGTTTAATTGAAGAGCATTCTTCAAACTTCTTGCCAAAAGTGCAGGGCCCTGTTTAAGTATCCTCCCTTCATTTTGCTTGACAGACTACTCTAACAATCAGTTACCGTGTTTCTCTTCAGGGTGATATTCCAAGTAAGTTTGAAATGAAACTTCACCGTGCCACAATCTTCGAAGACTCCTACAGAAGAATTAGTGCTGTAAAGAAGCCGGAGTATCTCAAAGCGAGGCTATGGATTGAATTTGACGGTGAAAAGGGTTTGGACTATGGAGGGGTCGCCAGGGAGTGGTTCTTCTTCATCTCCAAGGAAATGTTTAACCCATACTACGGATTGTTTGAATATTCTGCCACGTAAGTAAGACACCTACTGTGGCCAAGATTCTGCCATTTTTCTGCGGATGTGAAATGTTGAACAGCTTAAACAACAAATTAGCCAGCCTGCCATCCAGATACTTCATACCTCATTTGAAGCTCTCCTATGTTAGCTGTGTGTGTGTGTGCATAGAGGGAGCACTAAGCTTCTTCTCTTGGCTTAACTTGGCTACTCTAAGGCTCCTCTTTGCCCATTTCGAGAATGGCAGTTCTACAGTTTGAGCCTTAAGAACCAAATTTAACCTTGAGCCAAACTCCAGGAGGAGGAGGTGAAGGAAGCAGCCCTTCTGCTACTCATCTTTGCACTTCTACCTGGGAGAGGCCCAGCAGGATGAGGCAAGTGCTAGACTGGATGGATGGCAAGTTCTGACTTCCTGGGGAAGGGCAATAGCTCAATGGCAGAGAGTCTGCTCTGGGTGCTCCAGGTTGGTTGAACTGCAGCTTCAGTGCTCAGTATCTCCAGACAGAGTTGGGGAAAGACTTTAGGGAGCCATTGCTGGTCCACATAGTCAAAGCTGATCCTGATGGACCAATGGCCTGATCCCCATAGGGCAGCTTCTGAGATGTTTGAGCAAATGTCTACTGCTCGTATATGGAGCACATGGCCTCTACTTCCCTTGCAGGGATAACTATACTCTCCAGATCAATCCAAACTCCGGCATGTGCAATGAAGACCACCTTTCATACTTCAAGTTCATCGGCCGTGTGGCAGGGATGGCCGTCTACCATGGGAAGCTCTTAGATGGTTTGTACTTGACATTACAGAGGCTGCTTCTTGGCCGCTTATTATTAGCACTGCGCTCCATAACATTTCTTTGCGACCAAGCTCTTCCTCTTTGTCTCTTGCAGGTTTCTTTATTCGCCCTTTTTACAAAATGATGCTTCAAAAGCCAATAATTCTTCATGATATGGAATCTGTGGTATGTAACGTTCACCCCAAGCTGCTGTTGTTGCCTCACATTTTTATGGTGAATTAAATTAGTGCACAGTCTTACCCATTATTTACATTTGTTAACACCTTCCACCCAAAGGACGGTTAATGTTGCTGGTCTTAATCACTCATCCCTGTCGTGTTCACTCTAGGACAGTGAATACTACAGTTCTCTGAGGTGGATTCTTGAAAACGATCCCAAGGAACTGGACCTCCGGTTCACAGTTGATGAAGAACTTTTTGGGCAGGTTTGTAGCCATGCAGGGCTTAAATTAGAACATTCAAATGGTACAGGATGCCTTATGGTTGCTTCAGTCTTACCTTGACTAATATTGATTTATCCTTTTTTGATAATGAAACAGTAAGTTGATAAGGGAGTTGAATTAGAGTTTTTACCTGGTCGTCTCAATATTTGTGGTCATCTGCAAAATAAGCTTAAATTGCAGTGAAGCATACATGCATGGCAACAAGCAGAACACTGCCACAAGCCTGTGACCACAAAGAATTTAATCTCTTGAAACAGATGTAGGTACCAGGTCTAGTTTTTCAGAGTAGCAAACGGTCTTTTGTCATCTGACCAGGAGAGTGTTGCTCTGGCACCCTCAGAAGTCTGCTGGGACAATTTTGTGAGACACTTTAGGGATAAAACACTCAGATGCAGACAGAATTGGACGCCATGGTTAGAGCAAGTCTCTAATGGAGGTGCCCAGAGCTCTGCCTGTCACATCTGTGCTGGACCAGTTTCAATTATTGTGGTCTGAAGATGTGGATAAGCAGCTCATGGAAGGGCAGTCAACCACCTGCCTGTGCTTCTGGTGTAAATACACTGATTTGATTTTGATTTTGAATTGTATCATTGTTTCATTGTAACTCGCCCTGGGACCCTATGGTGAAGAGCCTGTAAGAAACCTCACAAATAAATGGAGAAATCCCGAAGCTCCGCCAGCAAGCCCTGCAACTGGTAATAGCAAGCCTTGCTGTATCTCATCACTCACTTCAGGTGATCAGCAAATAGGAGGTCTGCGTTTATGGAGAGAGGAGGAGGAGGAGATTTTGCCTTGCGCCTTATGTAGTGCTCAGTTTGCTTTGGTCCTCTTGTCTTTAGACTCATCAACATGAATTGAAACCTGGAGGGTCAGATGTGGTGGTCACAAATAAGAACAAGCAAGAGTATATTTAGTAAGTAACAGACTGCAGAACTGACACCACCCCACCCCTTGTGTGTGCATTTCCCAGTGGCAACTGTTCGCCATAAACTCTTTGTTCAATTTCCAGTCTGCTCTATCTTAAAGCTAATGCTATGAAGAATCTGTAAAAACCTTTTGAATGTAGCTGTCATGTTGGTGTTTAAAACTCAATACTTCCTTCCATTTTACAGTCTTGTAATACAGTGGAGATTTGTGAACAGGATCAGGAAACAAATGGCTGCCTTCAAAGAGGTACCGTCATTTGCAGATACTCTTTGTGTTCTAATGTTGTCAATAGTCTGTTTCAATATTGATTTCAGTCCATTAATTTTTACCTGTGTGCAATTGAATTTTTACCTTGCTCTATACCTAGAGTTAGGGACGCGGGTGGCGCTGTGGGTAAAAGCCTCAGCGCCTAGGGCTTGCCGATCGAAAGGTCGGAGGTTCGAATCCCCGCGGCGGGGTGCGCTCCCGTTGCTCGGTCCCAGCGCCTGCCAACCTAGCAGTTCGAAAGCACCCCCGGGTGCAAGTAGATAAATAGGGACCGCTTTCTAGCGGGAAGGTAAACGGCGTTTCCGTGTGCGGCTCTGGCTCGCCAGATGCAGCTTGTCACGCTGGCCACGTGACCCGGAAGTGTCTCCGGACAGCGCTGGCCCCCGGCCTCTTAAGTGAGATGGGTGCACAACCCTAGAGTCTGGCAAGACTGGCCCGTACGGGCAGGGGTACCTTTACCTTTACCTTATACCTAGAGTGGCTTGCATTATTATTTTTAAAGCCATAAAGCTGTGTGAGCACAGCATGAAACCCCAAAAGAGAATGCGGAAAACTTAGATTCTCTCCCCCCCCCTCAACTCCAGCCGTATTTTATGGGGATGGATTTTGTCAGAAGCAGCTCAGTCTGTCTACATACGATCAAGAAGATGTGTCCTGCTGCTGCAAAGGAGTTTTGCTTTTGTTTTTGTCTCAGTCAGGATAAAATAGGAATCTGTCCTAAATGTCTTCCAAAATGGAATGGGACCGAGGTGCAGCAAAGCTTCTTTGAGAGGGAGTTCCATAATGGTGGGATTGTGGGGTTATGGCTACAAACACATCACCATTCCAGTTGTCCAGCTTGCCTTATGCCTCTTCTGTATTCTAGGGTTTTTTCGAACTAATACCACAAGATCTCATCACAATCTTTGATGAAAATGAGTTGGAGGTAAGCTTTCTTCTGCTTCTTTCAAAAACCTGTTTCCTTTGGGGAGTTTGTGTGTTGATATTTTCTGAGATAATGTTTCCTCTCTCTCTCTCTTCAGTTACTGATGTGTGGCCTGGGAGATGTAGATGTGAATGACTGGAGGGAACACACAAAGTACAAAAACGGCTACAGTGCAAATCACATAGTTATTCAATGGTTTTGGAAGGTAACCAAAATGGTGATATCATTCTTCTAGCAGAAACGTTTTAAGCAAATGTTAGGCCAGAATTGCATGAGAGTGTCTATGTCCTGCTACAAGTAGCGAAGAGTACACAGGGTGCTCAACATGCTCTCTACTGCCCTGGTTGTACTAAAGATGGATGGAACTCAACTTAAAACAGTGGCACTGTTTAACCACCCATCACTGATCCTGGCAACCTCCTAAGTTAACAACAAAGGCTTCTTCTCTGCAGTGGAAGCAAAAAATAAACAAACAAAAACTCCACCTGGAATGAAACCAGGCTAATTTTCTCTGAGCAGACACTTAATAAACAAGCCACATTGACCAGATTGAACAACGAACACGTGTGATGGTTGGTCATAAGGTTAGCATTTCAGCAACTCTTTGTAACTCTTCCTAGGCTGTGCTGCTGATGGACTCTGAAAAAAGAATCCGACTCCTTCAATTTGTGACAGGCACATCCCGCGTACCTATGAATGGATTTGCTGAACTATACGGTATGTATGGGATGCGGGTGGCGCTGTGGGTAAAACCTCAGTGCCTAGGACTTGCCGATCGCATGGTCGGCGGTTCGAATCCCCGCGGCGGGGTGAGCTCCCGTCGTTCGGTCCCAGCTCCTGCCCACCTAGCAGTTCGAAAGCACATCAAAGTGCAAGTAGATAAATAGGTACCGCTTTCTAGCGGGAAGGTAATGGCGTTTCCGTGCGCTGCGCTGGTGCTGGCTCGCCAGAGCAGCTTCGTCACGCTGGCCACGTGACCCGGAAGTGTCTTCGGACAGCGCTGACTCCCGGCCTCTTAAGCGAGATGAGCACGCAACCCCAGAGTTGGTCACGACTGGCCCGTACGGGCAGGGGTACCTTTACCTTTACCTTAACAGTTACAATAGCGAGGCATTTCCACGGGCATTCTAGAGCAAATTCTTCACATGCTGAGTCATCCTTCACAACCTCATATTACAAATGGTCAATATTATCCCCGTATCACAGATGGGTGTGTCTGTGTGTGAAGCTGTGGTGGTGGTGGCCTCTTTGTGAGTTTATGGCCTAAGATGGGCTTTTAAGTTATTGCCTTCAAAATCTCATTGGGGTAAAATAACACCCTAAAAACAAGGGACGCGGGTGGCGCTGTCGGTTAAACCACAGAGCCTAGGATTTGCTGATCAGAAGGTCAGCGGTTCGAATCCCTGCGATGGGGTAAGCTCCCGTTGCTCGGTCTCTGCTCCTGCCAACCTAGCAGTTCGAAAGCACGCCAAAGTGCAAGTAGATAAATAGGTACCGCTCTGGCAGGAAGGTAAACGGCGTTTCCGTGCGCTGCTCTGGTTCGCCAGAAGTGGCTTAGTCATGCTGGCCACATGACCCGGAAGCTGTACACCGGCTTCCACGGCCAATAAAGCGAGATGAGCGCCACAACCCCAGAGTCGGCCATGACTGGACCTAATGGTCAGGGGTCCCTTTACCTTTACACCCTAAAAAGAGAGGGTGTGCCTGTCCCAATATCATGTGTAAGCAAGATAAATGCAGGGGCAACTTGTAGAGGGATTTGTGGGGTGTGGGTGGGTTCCTGCACTTTCTACCTGCCAGTTTCCCTCAGGCCAGAGCAGGTGGGCCAGTTGGCATGGGCGTACTCCAAGTCCTCCTGGTAGAGGCAAAGGGGGCAAATCTTTTGTAAAGATTATTGATATTGCAAAGAGAATCGGGGGGGGGGTCCTTTAGCGCAGAATGTTAATCTTTTAAAGAAGAGTCATAAAGATTAATACAGAAATACAGATAAGTAAATGCAGAAACGGGGCCCACATTTCCCATCTGGCCTGGGCCTATTGCCAGCTTTGCATGGCCCTTTTTCTCCATTCAACTTGGGAGGACATCCAGCAAAGGATTACTTATCCTCCACCCAATGGACCTTGCAGGATGTCCTCCCAAGTCCAATGGAGAACAAGGCCCATTGAAAGCTGGCAATAGGCCCAGGCCAGATGGGAATGCAGGCCCCATTGCTGCCCCATTTCTGTCAAGCTGATAATAGCACATGTGATCCCTTGCATGTGCCCTTCCTGTCTACCCTCCCCTACACACACACACCTCTTCAGTGTGGGGTTGGGGAGATACAGCTGATGAAACCACCAGCTCTTGTTTATCCCTGATAACTGGAATTAATTTAATAACTAACTGGAAGATGTATTGATTTGTTTGCGCTGCAATTACCCAAATAGGAGCAAAAATACTTAACAGGAACCCTCCATCCTGCTCCCTCAGAGCTGAGTTGTGGGGCCAACTTTGTCTGCATGTTCTTGGAAAAGAACTTCTTAAATATCATGATTCACCACTTCTGTTAATGGCTGCACAAGGTGCCATGAACCCGTTTGGGAGGGTCACCAAGTCTAGAGGCACTCTGGAATCAGCACATGACATTGAGCTGCTGCTTTGGCTTTCAAGCAGCCTCATCATGTTCATTATGTCAGGAACCCTTTACCACACTCCTGCAAGGTAGGCTTTTGACCTTGTGTTGCAGATGAGGATGGGTTTGCCACAGGGCAGAGGTAAGGTCTTCTCCACTGGACCACCTTAATTCACAAGTCAGTCTTGGCCCCTACCCTGCTGTAGCTGGATTAGTTTCTTTTTCCCATAGTTTGCATGTTCCACTTCCATAAATGAGAGCTGCCTGTAGCCAAGGCTTACACTGTGACCAGGTGAGGATCTAAAATCATTAGGCTTGCTGTGTTATGTTCCTTGCAGGTTCAAATGGACCACAGTTGTTCACCATTGAGTACTGGGGCAGCCCTGACAAACTGCCGAGAGCTCATACTTGGTAAATATTCCTGAGCATGAAGTATTCTGTTGAGATTGTTTCTCTGTCCATCCTGGCATATAATATAGCTGTTTTTCTTGTGTCTCTTCTATCTCCACCCCACCCCAGTTTTAACCGCTTGGATTTGCCTCCATATGAATCTTTTGAAGACTTGTGGGACAAGCTTCACTTTGCAATTGAAAATGCTCAGGGGTTTGATGGCGTTGACTGAGCCCCAGGAGAGGAGGGTGACAATGCTGTACTTCTTTTCTGTGCTGCAATTTGAGAGTTTACAAGCAAAACAAATATTCCAGGGACTCTGTTGCTGCATTTGAATGGCAACTTTATGGTATCCTCTTTTTTTTTTTTTAAAAAAAGTGTTAATTTCAGTTACAGCTAATTGTATTTTGCATTTCAAACTCTTGCCTGTTGGATTAGCGGGTGCGCATGAACACTGGTGAGGCTGGCATGAATGAGCCTTGCATTACCTCTTACAAGAATTTGCCGCCTTGGCAATCTTAACTACTGAAAGCGTAAGCTGTGAAAAGCCGAGTGTGTCTGTCTGTCTTCCGTCCATCCGTCGGTCCACGTGTGTGCATTCTCTCTCCAGAGGTGGCCGGACAGCCCACGGATTCTGCTCTTGGGTTGCGAAGCACTTCTTCAGACTTTCCAAAGCACCTTAACTATATCTTTGGGTAACCTTAAAATCTTTCCACCTGTGCTCTGGCTGCACTTGTGCACATTGCTGCAGGCGCTGAGCTGGTAGGGCTTGTGCTGGATGGCAGCTTCCCTGTCCAGCTGTGCTTGCTCTGAGCAGCAAGAAGCAGTGCAGGGAGACTGGCAGCAGCTGCTTCCCTGGGCATTGCACAGGAGGAAACGTCTTCCCAGTCGATTATGCCCAGTTGTTTCCTTTTTTAGTATTCCCAATTCTATTTCTAAACTTTTTAACTTTTGAGATTAAAAAGTAGCATGGACTTAAATGAGATTATTTTAAAACCGGTTTGGATTTATATGCTAGTGTATTTTTGGTAAATCATATTTTGATAAATTGTCTAACAAATAATATTTTCAGCTTTGCTTTTTTGAACTCAAGACAGACTTTTTTTTGTTTTTGAATACTACAGTGTTAAGTCATAGGAAAATGCCTTTTCATATTCATTCTTGCAGTATTGCACCACAAAAAATAAATAAATATGCAGACATGTTTACAGGGTTTTGCGGGCCAAATTCAGCAATCTGATCTGTGCAAACGTGAGTGACGCTTCTCAGAATAACCACCCAGGGCAGAATTTGGCCCTGAAATTAGTTTAGATGTTACAGGACTCCGCTTCCATCCCTATTCCAACTGCATTTTTATATTTTGTCAACGTTTAGTCTAGAAACCAAATAAAAATACAGTATAACCAAAGTTATAGTATATAATGTGCAATTCAGCATGAAACATTTTGTACATTTGTTCAATAAGAAATAAGGATATTTTAGTATGAGCGTCAGGGCTGGTATTTTGGTCAATGCTGGTTTAAAATCATGTTTTGAGAAGTGGAAGTTTACAAAACAGTCTTTGGTTTGGGTTGACTCTTGAAGTCTTTTGTTATGCACGTATCTGGAGCAGTTCCCCAAGTGCCACAACCCTGACCCAGTTGGAAGGGGCTCATGCCTGACCTGTTGGAGAGGTCAATGGGCTGCCGCAACACTTGGTGAACTGCACCAAAGACCTGGAGAAAAGGCAGGTCCACCCCTGTGGCCAGTTGCCATCTCACATGCACATTGTCGAAGACCTGCAACTCGCCCTAACAAATGGGCCTTAAGGGGTCTTTCAAATCCTTTTTGGACGGGGTCTAATGCATTCAAGAGTATTACAAGTAAATAAAAATGACTATTCAATCTACATACTTTTTTGGGGGGTTGTGTGTGTAAAATTTGGAATAATCTGTCTGTATAAATTTGAATGTAACAGAGTACTTTAGTCTAACAAATGAACAGCCTGAAGAGAACCTGAAACGGTAAATAAAATCTATTCTGATAAGCTGGCTGGTTTTCATTCAAGTCAATTCAGTACTACTGAAATGGTCTATAATTAGTTGTCTGAAGCAGCCATTCCCATCAGTTTCTCCTCCTTTGCCTCTTAGCTCCAGGAAATATCTGCTCCCAAAGCTCTTGCTATTTATCCCCTTACCTTTCACTGTTCCTTGTTGTGTGGATCAAATGAGGAGGTGGAGAACCAGGTAACCTGCCTTGAGCGCCTCCTTGGAGAGGGAAGGTGGCATATTAATGCAATAAATAAATAAAAACCCTGAACTATGGAGTGTGCGTGAAAACCTGTGACAGTGGTTCTCAAACATTTTTCTCTGGGCCACACTTGCAGAATAGAAATTTGCTCATGCCGCACTGAATTTTTTTATTGACAAGAAAACCAGAAGAAACAACTAGCAGTGCTTGATTTATATTTTGTATTTTTCGCCCTATAGGACGCACTTTATCTCCTCCAAGAATGAAGGGGAAATGTGTGTGCGTCCTATGGGGCGAATGCAGGCTTTCGCTGAAGCCTGGAGAGCGAGAGGGGTCGGTGCGCACTGACCCCTCTCGCTCTCCAGGCTTCAGGAGAGCCCCACCACCAGCCCCACAAGCTCGGGGGACAGCGGGGAGGCTCTGGGTCCCGACTTGGTTAGAAGGCTGGTGGGGGGGGAGAAGCCTGCCCCTCCCCGTCGCCAGCCCCGCAAACTCGGGGGACAGCGGGAGGCGCAGCTTCGGCATGGCTCTGGGTCCCGTTCTGGGGGCTGGCGTCGGGAGAAGCCCGAGCTTCCCCCGCCCCAGCCCCATGCCTGGGGGGGAAAAATAATTCCCCCCCTTTATTCCCCCCCCAAATCTAGGTGCGTCCTATGGGCCGGTGCGTCCTATAGGGCGAAAAATACGGTAACATGCTTTACAATATGATCATGGGATATCCAGAAAGTATAAAACAATGTAGCTATATAGGAACACAAATCATTCCCTAAATATCATTATAAACATATATATCTTAAGTATGTATGCAGACTCAGTGAGAGGCGTGAGCTTGCCTTTGTCAGGTAATCTCTAATTTGAGACAGACATATGTCATGGAGCACCAGAAGAACAACCAATTATCTTGAAGAGAGGCATGGACACTATTTCTGGTTGCATATCCGATTTTTTCTTTTCTTTTTATACTCTACGAAGCTACCCTGAAATGTTTAAATGTTTCTTTGATTGCCCTTGAACCTTCCTGCCACATTTGCCATCCTCTCCTGCCACACCATTTGAGAACCATTGACCTGTGACAAAATGCAGCTGTTTATTTAATGCATAGATAAAATCTACTCCCAAACATGCAGCTGTGTCAAACCCAGACATCAGTTGATTTGCCTTATTATGCAGTTGGCTGATTATGAAAACCAAGCTTATTTCTTGGATCAAGCAAGTCTCTGAGTTGCAGCCTGCCAGGCAGTCACAAGATGTCCAGCTTCCCTCTGAGCCTTCCACAGCCCTTAGAAATGGTGGGTGAGGTTTGTAAAATGGGTTATATTCCACTTCCACATAGTCCAGATGACTTCTTTCAAATGGGGAGTTAGATCAGGCTTCCTCAACCTTGGCCCTCCAGATGTTTTGAGACTACAATTCCCATCATCCCTGACCACTGGTCCCCGCTAGCTAGGGATTATGGGAGTTGTAGGCCAAAATCATCTGGAGGGCCGAGGTTGAGGAAGCCTGAGTTAGATGAAGTGCTAAACATGCAGCTCAGAGGCTGATCACAGATCAAAAACCCCAATGTCTGAGGGTGGGATCAGCCAATGTGTAAGTTATCCAGGATTGTGGAGTCCGCTGCTTTTGCATTTCTTCAATAGAATAAGTGAAATCTTTCTCTGCAGTGCAACTCTGCTCCGAGTGACATACATCAGTCCCTTTTCCCCCTTTGATTCAGCTGCTGATCATCTATTCCAGGAGGTCTCACTTTTCCCCCATCAAGGTTAGTGAGGTTAAAAGCGCTCTTGCTATCCACAAGATATCCCAAGCCATTTTTGCTAATCTGTCTTACTGGTATAGCTAGCTTCCTCCTCAAATATTCAGTGGCAAAGATTTTCCCTGTACCTTTGCAGGCAATGAGTAACAGCGCTGAGATTGAGGCAATTTTGATTACTCATCAAGTTCCACCAGAGGGCATAACAAGCCAGCTATCACACTGCAGATGAATTTAGGGCCAGAGCAAGGGTACACAAGTTTAGGACTCAAATAGGACTCTGAAATTTGCCGCCTGAGGTGCCCCAAATCACCTTATCTCCTGGTAGGAATATTAATGGGGTCTGACTTGAATTGGACCCAGTAACAAAAGGGTGGAGAAAAGCTTCATGAACACAAAAAATAGGATCCAACATTCATCCTGAATATGTGATTAATTCACTCAACTTGGCAACTGTTCCCACTGGAGTAAGCAGAAACCTTTTCAGTTCCACAAGGGGGGGCACCGAATCTTATGAATACCATCTTAAATAACTCCAAAATGTGGTTCCCTCCAGAAGTTTTGGACTACAGCTCCCACCAGCATGATGGGAGTTGTAGTCCAAAACATCTGGAAGGTGCTAGGCTCCTGAAGGCTGCACTGAGTTTTCCTAGAAGGCAACGATGGAGGCAGCTGTGCATTTAAAAGTAGTTGGCGTTTTTAGTGAAATGTCCAAATGGTGGGGAAATGTCTCAAAAAGTGGCTATAGTGGCTCTGGGTTATATTTGGAGCAAGCACTTGTACCACTGGATTTGCTTATCCCCGTTGTTGGAAACCACAGGAAGGCAGTGCGCTGCTGTGCTCAAATCCCACAGGCATCTGAGTGGCCACTGTGAGAACAGGATGCTGGATGATGTGGGCCGTTGGCCTGATCCAACAGGCTCATCTTATGTTCTTCGCTTTTCCGCAATCCCTCTGCTGCCTCTCCTCTCTTCTCAGCCACTGCCAGCTCGGACCCCATTGTGATATTTTATACTTGTGTACACTGCTTTTTTTCTGCCAGTTTATCTAGCGTGGAGAGAAGTTTTTGGAGCTCCTCCTGATTCCTTTTCTTTTTTCCACTCTAAATAATTTGGTGCCATCCTCAGACTTTGTTACCTATAATTGTTTTCAACCAAGTCCTGCTTAGAATTAAAAAGCACTAATCCTGTTTCAGATCTTCAGGGTTCCCACTGATTCCATCTCTCCATAGTAAGAACTGTCTTGGTTCATCCTTGTTCTCTTTAACCAGTTTCTGATACAGTGGTACTCGGGTTACATACGCTTCAGGTTAGAGACTCCGCTAACCCAGAAATAGTACCTTGGATTAAGAACTTTGCTTCAGGATGAGAACAGAAATCGTGCAGCAGCAGTGGCGTGGCAGCAGCAGGAGGCCCCATTAGTTAAAGTGGTGCTTCGGGTTAAGAACAGTTTCAGGTTAAGAACGGACCTCTAGAACGAATTAAGTACTTAACCCGAGGTACCACTGCACAACCCACTTAAAGATTAAAGCCACTGTCCATTGTCTCCTATGCCAGCCTGCTTCTACTTGTGGAAGAGTGTTGCAGATGAATGTGTTCTGTGCAAAATCCTCACAAAGTGCTGCCTCTGTCGTTGTGGCACCTGCTTTGGTGCAGTATCTCCCATGGAAGCAAGGACCATGCCACTGGACACACAACCAGCAAAAGGTGTCACTTGTACTTTTGCATTACTGGAAGTTTGCTAACGTTCCTGGAGACATGCAGAAGGAAAACAGAAGGGGCTTGTTTCTGACTCCAGTTTGGTGCCAGGCAGAAAAAATCCTACTACAAAGCCTGTTGGGTCCAGGGAAACGAATTCCTCCCTCCGCTCCCCTTGTGCATCCAATCTGAGCTAAGCAAAAATCCCAAGAGTTTCTAGCTGTAAACAGTTTTGTTAGCAAGATGAGCAAATGGACAAACTTTCATGAACTGTTTTTTCGTTTTGCAAAAAAACCGCTTCAGAGGAGCTTTTGTGTGTGGTTCAGGACCTCTCTGAAATATAAGACTCCTGGTGAGGAGAAATATTGTTATGGAAGCTAGACCTGTGGTCCAGTGTGTGTGAGAGAGAGAGGCAGGGAGAGGGCTTGGGAGATGCCTTGGAGGCTTCCGATCTGTTTATCTTCACACTCCTGAGAGGTCATCGCTCTTGTGCTGTGACAGCAGCTGGTAGGTAGGAAGAGCCTTTTGGAGGAGGGGGGAGGTTAAGATAAGGGGACAGGCCTGGTGGAGCCTCCTCTGGTCAGAGTTCCTGCACGTCTGCGGGAGATAAAATGGAGCAGAGGCAGAAGGCCTCAGCCATCTATCCTTCTGATGAAATCGAAGATAAAAAAAGGGGGGGGGGGAATCAAACAGCTAATTCCTAAAAATCCACGTAAGAGGAGACAAGGACATGAAGCACATTTGCGTGTATCTCTGGGCCTCAGTAGGTCTCTGGTCAAGCTTTCCACCTTACAAGTGTGAGTTTGTTAGGAAATTCAGCTATGTGGCCAAAATGCTGCAATAAAGAACAACTCTCAGGGGCACCCTCAGGTGGCAGGTTCAGCCTATACAAAGGCCAAAAGGCAGGTGGCATTCCGGCTAGGCATCTAACAAGAGCCCTGTGCATACTTCTGAACCCCAAGTTACATTTGTGGCGGGGGACGGGCTATGCTTAATCCTCAGTCCCTGAAAACTCCTGTCCTCTTCCATAAGTGTTTCCAGATCTGTGTGTGAGGTTAATGCCAGCTCTGGGTCCCTGCCAGAGGCAAGAGGTGGTCAGTGGGAGCTTCCTTAGGACAACTGGAGAACTTCTTGCAGTAATGTGGCCCTAGACTTCATCTCATGGCAGTGACATGTGGGGAGCACATGCCCTGCTTTCAAGCTTATTCCCATTGGCTACTGTGAGAACAGGATGCAGGACTGGGCAGACTTTTGGTTTGATCCAGCAGCCCAGTTCTTCTTATGGAATTAAACAAGAGGAAATGAAAGAGTAGAGTATTCCCTGCGAAAGAATGCCAATGGGAGTTTTATGCTGGCCACACACAGCACTGATGCGGAGAGATCTTTATCAGCCCTAAGTGCTGCGTGTTATACCTTGCAGAGCTTCAACAAGGTCTCCAGTTATAGCAGCAATTCATCAAAATCAGAGCTAGGAGGACAGCCATAAATAGATAACTAGAAAAGAAAGCGGAGTTTGGCAGGATCTTCAAATACATATTGCCCCAAGCCATTATTTTAAATGTACAGGGACAAATAGGAAGGCAGCAACGGGTTAACGGTGCTTGGAGGGGCATCTTTTGCCCTTTATCTGCTCGGGGACCCCGGCAGCCCCACCGAAGCTCCCCTTGGGGTCCCTCTGCAGCCCCCCGAGTTTGCCGGTCTACTTCGGGCAGGAGCAGCGCAGCGAGCGAGACGTCGGGGGGTCGCAGCCTGGGGAGAGAAAGGTCCGCTCCCTGCGCTCAGGCTGCCGCGGGCCGCTGGATCGGGGGGGATCTTGTGCCCTTATTGCACGGGCTGCGAGGCGGGAAGCCCCTCCTCCGCCCAGCTGCTCCTGGCGCTGGAGGCTCTTCTCGGCCGCCCCGTCGGGCCGGGCAGCGCGGCACAGAACCCCCGGGGCGAGGAGCCCGTCCGGGAGGGCGCGCACCAAGGCCGCCGTCCTCCCCACACCGCGCCGGGGCCCGGGCAGCGAGGGGATCCCCCGGGAGAGCCCGCCAGCAGCCTCCTCCCCGCGCCGGCTCCAGCGCCCCCTCCTCCTCCTCCTCCTCCTCCCAGGCGGGCGCTTGGCGAGGCTGACCTCAGGTGCCTGCGCGGGGGGGAGGGGGCGGAGGGCCGGCTCCAGCCCAAGGCCAATGGAGAGGCCCCGAAAGTAGGGCCGGGGAGCCCCCCGCCGCCTCCTCCTCCTCCTCCCTCCCCGCCTGTCCTGCCGGACCCCGGCCGCAGCCCCCTCCTCCCTTTGGTGTCCCTGCGCTGCCCCAAGCGGGGAGGGGGGGAGAAGAAAGAGTCCCCCGGCGGGCGGGCGCGCTGGCCGGCCAGGCAGAGAGAAGCCATTCGGCCCTCTGGACGGACGGACGCGCTGCTGGCCGGAGGAGGGCGATGCCCCAGAGCGGCTAAATGGCGCCCCGACGGAACCCGCTCCTCGCCGCCTTCCTCGGCCTCCTCGCCCTCCCAGGTGAGCCGAAGCCCGGGCGCCGCCGCGCATCCCCCGGACTAACTGGCCGGCCGGCCGCTGGCTGGCTCGGCCGGTCCTCCTCCTGGCAGCCGGCCCAGAAGAGGCGGAGGCGGCCGCCCGGCCCCTCCTCTCCTCCGGCTCGGCGCTTCCCCTTCCCGCCTCCGGAGCCGCGGCATCCTCTGCCCAGAGCCCGACGGCTGCCCAGGCGGCGCGTCCCCGTCCCTCGGAGCTCTTCCCCTTCTTTTTTTTTGGGGGGGGGTCTCCCTCGCTCGCCTCGCTGCGTCCCGGCCATTGAGGGCTCCCCCCCCCGCCAGTCCAAGGGGCTAACGAGCCCTTGTAAAAAGAGCCTTTTACGAGGCGCCCCGCGCGGGATCTTTTTTTTTGACGAGCTTGTAAAATTAGCGACCGGCTTGTGGCCTGGAAGGGGCCCGGCGACGAGGCTCGACGACCCGGCTCGCAGCGGCGCCTATTCCCTTGCGGAGGGGGGTGGGGTGTCCCTTCATTCCCGCGTTGGCCGGAGGGGGAGAGGGGGCCCAGGGGCCGTTTCCACACAGGGACATCTTAGGAGCCCGGCACCCCAGCTCGGAAAGGGAGGCGAGGGGCCATTTCGCCGGCGAAAGGAAGGGGAGCCGCACGGGACGCCTCCCGCCCCTCCGGGTCCTGCTCCCCTGCGCTTCTCCCCATCAGCCCCAGCCAAGCCGGCCAGGCAGGGAGCTTTTCGGGGTGCGAGGCGGTGTGTGCCCCCCGACTGGTCCTCCTGGGGGCAGCATGCCCGTTTGCTCCCCTTGGCCAACCAGGCTGGGACCGTGAAACCCCAACGGGCATCGATAGTGCTGGGGCTCTAAATTTTTCCGGGGCGGGGAGACAGAACTTTCTTCCCAAAGGACCTTGAAATAAAGTTATCCATGTGCTCCTTTCCCTCTCCTTTGATCTGGTCGCCATCTGTTCGGTTGGGCTGCAGTGTTTGTTCAATTAATCTGTTAATCAATTTGACCAAAAATAAAACACCCCCTTCCCACTTGCAATCAACAAGGAGGAAAAGCTGTCTTTCAGCTTTTAAACAAGTACAGATTTAAAAATGTAACCTTTAGCAACTGCACCCAGCAAACACTGTATATTGATATATAATGTTTTCATGTGTGGAGTGTTATTAAAATATTTCAGGCCTCCAGCACTTTAAATCAGTTACACAGTAGTTAGCATGTGTTTGACCCTACACAGAAAAGAAACTACTTTCTTTCTCTTCCCTTTCCCCTGTTTCTCGTTCTCTCAGGAATATGGTGCTTTAGTGAACTGTTTTTTGCGAAAGAGCCTCAGGACGTAACTGTTGCTAGGAAGGAGGCTGTGGTTCTGGACTGCCAGGCACGAGGCGAAGTCCCCATCACCATCACGTGGCTCAAAAATGGGGTGAAGGTGACTGAAAATGAACGGATCTACACTTTGTCTAATGGCTCTTTGTACATCAGCGAAGTGGAGAGCAAACGTGGGGAGACGCTGGACGAAGGACATTACCAGTGCTTGGCTCTCAACAAATACGGTGCTATCCTCAGCCATAAGGCCCACCTCACGTTAGCCAGTAAGTCATCTCAGTTGTTCTTCGCTGTTGATCATTTCCTTCCTTTGTAAACCTGTTTAGGAACAGAGTGACAACATTAGCCAGTGCGTGCTCGATAAAATGCATTGCTATCATTCTTCCAGTACAATTTTAAACCTTACGGGAATTTTAAATGGCTTCATGGTTCAGTTTGTAAATGCATGTGTTTGTGAAGCCTCTTTTAACCTCTGCTACATAGAGGTTGACTTTGCCTGGGCTACTCCAAATAGTACACCTGGCATCTTCCTAAAGGGAGATTTCTGAGTGAGTGAACTATTGCTGCAAACTGTATTTCAAAACATTGTGAATATATGAACTTGCAACAGCCCTTCCCTAGCTTGGCACCCTCCAGCTCTTTGGGGTTGTAGCTCCCATCAGCGTCAGTCACAGTGTGGTTGCATGAAATCATGGCGGTTGCTCTCCTGCTGCAGGAAGGCTGACTCCCAGGGCCCTAAATATTTGTGAGATGCTTGCCTTTAAGCACATTGAAGCTCTGTTTTGTTGTTGTTGTTAATCTGCTGGTATCAGAGTTGGGAATCCACACCTGCTGCCATCTTGCTTTGAAGGGTTGTAGCTCAATGGTGCAGCATCTGCCTTGCATACTGAAGGCAGTATGAAGCCTCAATCCCCAATGGCTTCTCCAGGCAGGGCTGGGAACTGTCTCCTGCCTGCAACCTGGGAGAGCCCCACTGCAAGTTAGCGTAGACAAGTTAGTGCCGACAGCTAGATGGCAAAGTGATCTGACTAGCTATAGGGCAGCACTTCCTGTGAAGGAGGATCGGCTATTGGTCCTCCATGAGTGTGCCACTGCTGTTCCTCAACTGGACAGAAGGGTACTCAGCCCTGTGTTGTTCTGCAGCAGCAAAAACAATGAATACTCTTCTAGCAAGGGCTGATGCATTTTCATTCTGTACAGCTAAATTTGGGGGAGTGGCTGCTGTGTTCATCTGTAGATGAGTATGTACTGCAGGTCTAGGCAAACTCAGCCCTCCAGATGTTTTGGGACTACAACTCCCATCATCCCTAGCTAACAGGACCAGTGGTCAGGGATGATGGGAATTGTAGTATCAAAACATCTGGAGGACTGAGTTTGTCTATGTCTGATGTACTGTATATAGCTGACATCCCTCTGTCCCAAGAGACAAGGGAGGAGTGCAGTTTTGGGTATGAGGTCAAGCTGTTGGAAGGTTTCAGCAACTGCTGTGGCTGTGTTCATCTGTAGATGAGTGGTGCTCAAGTTTTTCCCACTCTGGCCCATTTGAAAATTGCTGAGCATCTTGGCAGGCCACAGGTTTTTCTGCCTGTTGTAGCAATTGTAAAGGTAAAGGTACCCCTGCCCGTACGGGCCAGTCTTGACAGACTCTAGGGTTGTGCGCTCATCTCACTCTAAAGGCCGGGAGCCAGCGCTGTCCGCAGACACTTCCGGGTCACGTGGCCAGTGTGACAAGCTGCATCTGGCGAGCCAGCGCAGCACACGGAACGCCGTTTACCTTCCCGCTGGTAAGCGGTCCCTATTTATCTACTTGCACCCGGGGGTGCTTTCGAACTGCTAGGTTGGCAGGCGCTGGGACCGAGCGACGGGAGCGTACCCCACTGCGGGGATTCGAACCGCCGACCATGCGATCAGCAAGTCCTAGGCGCTGAGGCTTTTACCCACAGCGCCACCCGCGTCCCTGTAGCAATTGTAACCCTATATAATTCAGATTGTGATAATAGTAAAATACACTTGGGAAATAAAAGAAGCAATAAAATACAATTAAACATCAATATGAATATTTTATATGATGGATGTTCCAATTCCCACCTGAATGAAGCTTGTGGGCCAATGGCAGTCCAGAGGATACAGTTTGGGAACTCTTTGCTGGAGATGCAGAAAAAACCCTCTCACGGCGCTTCACGCACCTGATGAAGTAGACTCTAGTCTAGGGAAGTTTATGACACAATATATATATTTGTTAATCTTAAGGTGCTGCAAGACCTTAAAAGTGTGTTTTGACCCACAGGAGTCACTGTTGGGTCCTAATGAGAACTTAGATGTTGGTGCCTGATGTTGAGAGTTGGTTTAGAGACTAATTACTTACATAGTGTCTGGAGATCACAAAAGGCCACTCCATATGCTGCCACAGAAGTGGGGAAAGGAGGAAGGAGTGAAATATTTAACCACTTCTGTGTAAGGAATGAGCCAGCTTCTCAATGCTGCATGTGGTGGTGTGAAAGCCATTGCTTTACTTGTAGTTGCTATGTTTAGATTCTGCTTTTCTTGAATCTCGGAATTTAAGGCAGCTTACATGTGTGTGTCTGTGGAGGGTCCCAGGTTGTCTCTTATCTGAGCACTGACTGACCAAACCCAGAACTGCTTAACTTCAGCTTAAGTTGTGCATCGTGTGCCTGCAGACCACACCTAGATCTTAAATGGCTGTGCAGTGGCATCTTGTTGGCCAAATGTGATGAATGGAAAGTGACTGCCACTTTCTTTGAAAAGTAAAAACTCTTCAAGACCACATCAGGGTGTTCCTGCATGGGCTTTTCTTATCACACAAAAGCCCTCCCCCCCACAGGGGCTCTTGCAAGGAGCTCATCCACTGTCTTGGCTAGCAGGGGAGGAGTTGCTGCTGGGTTGTGGCCAAAAAAAACTTGCACAGCAGAAGCATGGTTTCCCTTGAATATATTCCTTTTCTCCCAGCCTCACTTACTCTTACGTTCAATCTTCTGTGGGATGGAAATGGCCTCCCAGACTTTGAGTCTGGGTTTTTGTCTTGGTTTTGTTCCTTGTGAGCAAGCTTATTCAGGATCATTTTTCTTACAGCTTGACCCAAACCATGTCTAATTTTTATTCCAAGTAAGAGTGCAACCTTAAAAGTCAAATTTGTCTGTCTGTTTGTCTGTCTGTTACATTTCTATACCACCTTTGACTTCCAATGAGCTCAAGGTAGTGCACCTGGTTATCCCCCTTCCCATTCCATCCTCACAACCACCCTGTGAGGTAGGTTAGGCTAAGAGATGGTGACTGGCCCATGGTCACCCAGTAGTGAGCTCCATGGCTGAGTGGGGATTCATACCCTGGTCTCCTAGGCCTTAGTCCAACATTAACCATTATGCCACACATTTAAACAGTTATCTGGGTGGTGGCATAAATATGCAAGAGGGAAGCTGAGACATGGCTGCATGTGAACTCCTGGGACAGGTGAGTGAGGTATATGGTAATACTGCCAGCGTTATCCTCGCTTGCTTTTATATCCCAAGCAAAGCACTTGGTGCTCTGGCCTCCCCACCACAGGATTTGCCCTTGTGGGAACTGTTCATCTTGTTTTACAAGGCTTCCTTCCAGAGGGATTTGGAGCTTCCTGGAGGTCTGTGGCTGCCTGCTGCTTCCCAGCTTTGCCCACTCAGTGGGGCAAAGAGTGACCTCCACTAGCTAATTCCTCTTTGCAGCCATGGATTTGAGGAACTTCCTGCTTGGCTTGGCTTTTGGTTCCAGAGTTGGGGAAAGCCTTCCATCAGTAGCCTACCTTATAAATGAAATATCCCGCGTCTAAGTTCTCAGGTTTCAAATAAGTGGAGAGTCAGTCACCTGCTACTTTCTGAGTTGGTGGTTCAACCTGTATATCTACAGATTCTGGAAGATGTCCCTTTTGCTCCTGGTTCATTTGTGCTTTTAATCTCCCGATGGTTGGGGATTGGAATCCATGTCTGCCGAATCTTGGTTTGGGTGGTCTTTGCCTGTGTTTGGAAGAAAGTCCTAAAGGCAAAATAATTATTGCTGTGAGATTTCTATAATCACAGTCTCCCAGCTTCCTGGGGAAGCCTCTGATGACACTGGAGGCAGGCAGGACACATTTGAAGAAATGGTGGTGTCAAACCTATGTAGAAACATGGTCCGTGTAAGTGGTGGGGGATCCCAGAGCACCTTGTTCTTGATTCTCAGAAAAGGTGGTAGATGAGCTCCTAAAGAGTTCACACCTCCATCCTTTCTGATGCATTTCGTGAAGCCTAGTCTTGCTTATGAAAACATTTCCCACAATAGAAGACAGATGACTTGGCAGTCTGTGACCACCATGGCCCCAGAAGTTAGCAAGCTCCAAAGTTTTGGATCAAGTAGGGTGACCCAACCATCTAATTTGTGATCCATGTGTTTTGATATTGAAAGGTATAGCTCCATTCTCTCGTCACATTGTCTCACAAGATGGTGTTTGGGTCACCATGAATATAATTAAAATAATTCGGACAATGGTCAGGCTGGCTAGACAATAGAGTTACGGAACAATATACATTATGGTGATCCCCCCCCCACTTTCTTGAATCAAGTGTTTTTCCTGTGTTTATATGGAATTGCAAAGCTTAAAATATATCCAAAGTTTATGACTCCCTTACAGCATGATCCTATACCTATTTATTTGTCCTATGTAAATGTGTATAGGATTGCAGTCTAAGTGTGATAAGGGGTCAAACTCTACTTTTCAAACCCCAAATGCATTAGAAATAAAGGAAGCCTCCTTTCCTGTTTCTCAGAATTTCAGAAGATGTGAATGAATTTCCAGCATTTTGTAGTCAAAGGAAATAGTTTTAGCTGGGCTCATGATGGCTTTACAGCCCTGAAGAACAAAATGACTTTCTTTGTGGCCATGGCAAAGCTGAAACTATACATACTAAGCAGGTGGAGGCTGGGATTCCCTTTCTTCCCTTTCTTCCTTTGCAAAGGGTGAAAAGCAAAAGGCGGCTGCTCCAGCCCCCCACCCCCCCACCCCGCAAGCAGCAGGGTGCAAGTCTCTTCTCTCCCTTTTGCTTGCTCAAATCTCTCACCACCTTGGTTTATCTTTGGTTTCAGAAGGGTATTCCTGGGTGATGCATTTGGAAATCTGAAACTTTAATCTGCCCCAGAGTTTGAGATTTGAGCACATGGGGGGCTTGGATCTAAAGTTAGGGAGGGGAAGCTGCGGGTTGCACTCTAGGCAGCCATTCCATTATTCATGTGCAAATTAAGA